TTTCAATAATTCTTCACCACGTAACCTTTTGATCATGCCTTTTTCCGAAAACCATTGTGAAAAAGCGCGATCTGCGGAATCGCAATATTGGGATGATCATCGCTGCAATTAAGAGCTTGCGCCGCCGTTCAATATTATAAAAAACAATTTCGCAAAAACGCCTCAGCATACCGGTACCTCCGATCTATCAAGCTTTTGATACGTAGAAGAGCTTCTGATAAGCCACTTATTACGAATCAAGAATAACTTGAGAGTTAGTCGGACTCGAAAAGGATTTCGATACATTCAAGACTTTTGCGCGCCTTTTTTTTTTTTTTTCCGTATAACAAGTTCCTTAATAGTTTTTCTTAGCAGCCTTATTAGACTTAAAAAAAAAAAGACTTGCAAAAAGGGCCTTCGTAATAGTAAATCTCGAAGTCAAAGGGATCGGTATAATAGCGTTGTTAATCGAGTTTATTGTATTGATAAATAATTAATAGTTGTTATAACGAATTCATTTTTTTCTCCAAGTCTTAAGTAGCAGTTTGCTATTCAATTTGCTAGTTGCGAGCCAAACAGGCCTTGGTCCGTGCAACTTCTACTATCAAGTTGAGTTGATCCTATTTAGGATCAACTCAAAATAGGATCAACTCAAATAGGATCAACTCAACTGCTCAGTTGCACGGACCTGCAACTGCGAGCCAAACACACCCTAAACGTTACGCCGCCGGGCCAGGCCATCGCGGTAGTACGTACGTATGTACATTACCGCCGTCGGATCGGAGATGAGCGTAAAGTAGGTTAGGTCTGGCCTTGAACCTCTTGAGAATGAATATGTTTTTTTCTTCTTCCTTTTTCCCTTTTTTTTTTCAATGCGAATGTGAGATGCGACAAGAAGGCAAGTCACTCAGTCATTAATACCTGTTGATTAATTGAGGAGCGGAGAAGCGGAGGAAAGGTGAACGAGCGTGAAGAGAGAGAGAGAGAGAGAGAGTATGTGTCTTGTCTTGTCATCTCACTCGATTCGGCATGTGCTGCCTTGCAGTACCGGTACCGAGACAAAGCGGTTTATGCTGGTTAGCGCCCCTTCGTGAGAGAGCGCTGTGAGTACCGGTAGTTGAGTACGACGAGCCTTCACTGCAGGTCTCGCCAGGGGTCTTGGCCTCCTGATGGGTAAGGTTGCCAATCTGGGGCATACAAGCGAAGGGGCATGAGGCGAGAAGAAAACAAACAGAAGTCTAAAGTTCCTTTTGTATAGGGTTTTTCAACGAGGAGTATTATCATGAGTTTTGTTTGGGAGCCAGATTCCCTTCTTGTCATCAGCCGAGAACCCCTGCGCCGGTAAATGCAAATTGAAAAATACGCGAGGACCCTTTCAGGGTGCCGCAGCGGCATCGGACTCCTCGATTGGGATATCTGCAAGTGCGCTCGCGGGACCCGTGGCATGGAAACCATCTAATGTAACTGTGACGGCTCCGGCTTGGACGAGCTGTTGACACCATTAGCGAAAGTTCTGACGCCTAGAGAATCAAATACTTGCAGCTCTACTCAAATCGTCAATCAGATCGTCTGCATCCTCAATTCCTACGCAGAGCCTAATGATATCCTCCGGCATCTGTCTCTCCTTTCTTGTCTCGGCACTGATACTAGCGTGGCTCATCTGGCATGGCATACTGATCAAGCTGTTGACGCACCCGAAACTGACACTGATGCCCCACAACCTCGCAGCCTCTACGATACGCTCCGAGAGAGCTACATCGCCCGTCTCGAAAGACAAAACTGCTCCTGCGCCTCTGGCCATAGACCAGTGCAAATCGTACTGTGGGTGGGATTTGAGACCTGGGTAGCGTACGCGGAACCCGTGACCCTCGAGGAATTCGGCGATGCGTTGAGCGTTAGCTTGCTGCTTCTCCATGCGGATAGCAAGAGTCTTAATTCCTCTCATAAGCAGAAAAGCGTCGTTAGGTGCCAGTCCGCAGCCAGTTGAGTTGATGGTGAAATACATCTTGTCGCCAATAGCCGGATCGTTGAAAGCCAGTACTCCAGCCATGATATCGTGATGTCCGGACAAGTACTTCGTTCCGGATTCATAGACAATATCGGCGCCCAGCTCTAGCGGGTTACAGAGCATAGGCGACAGCATGGTATTGTCAACCACCACTAACGCGCTTTGGTTCATGTCATGCACAATCTTCGAGATTGAGGGTATGTCCACGATCTTAATAAGTGGGTTCGTAGGCGTCTCGAGAAGCACCATAGCCGTCTTGGGCGACACCACAGCTCTGACCGTCTCGGGTTTCGTAGTATCAACATGGCGGACAATAATACCATGGTTCTGTGACATATATGTCAAGAGCCTATTGGTTCCTCCATAAAGATCATCTCCTGTGATAACCTCATCTCCTGGCCTCAGAATCCGTGTAATGACATCCAACGCGCCCATACCCGACCCTACGACCAGGGCCCGCGATGCATTCATAATCTTCGCCAAATGTCTCTCCAGATGGGTCCTCGTCGGGTTGCCCGACCGGGTGTAATCGTATTCGTTGCCACCGCCGGCGGAGGTCTGTTTGAAGGTGGCGGACTGGTAGATGGGCATGCTAGAGGCACCGTATTGGTCCTTGCTCTCGGTGTAGACCAATTCGGTCGCCAGGGCATATTTTCTTCCATTTCGAGGACTGGATGGTGCGGGTGAAGGAGGGAGATCATGGCCGTCGAGATCTATCTGCGAGAAGGCTTTGCCTGGGGCATTGAGCTTGCCAGATGGCCCTGGCGGTGTAGACATTTTTGATGTTTGGTGTGAGGGCGGCGAGTGAGTTTTTTTTGACAGGGGAGATGGTAGGATTATCGATTGATGGATTAGAAAGGTAGAGAGGACCAAGGTTGAGCTCGTCCGGGTACAGTTGAGGCTGCAGATATGATGTTTGTGTATTTCTATGATTTTGTGAGTTGCACCGAATTATTTAGCCAGGAACTCCGATGTTTTGTTGCTCGGCCCTGAATCGGAGTCTCACCAACCGTCACCCGTGGGGTAAATCGCGGGTCCAAGACCTATGATCACGCCTTGGGGCGTGACTTCTTGGTATCTAATTAGCGAGGAAAACATCGACACTTCAACAAGCCACTGATACTGATTGTGGTGGTGGTCAGAGTCCGAATGATCGTGGGTAGGATTTAGTGGTGAAAGCAACAGAGCTCAAAAGGGCACCGTCAAATGCTGTTAGAGGCAAAATCTTCATTCTCTCGCTCAAATTCCGACTATGACTATGCATATGAGTAGTGGCGTCTACCCCGTGTCGCAACTCCAAACGCCATACCCTTATGATACAGCCGCATCTAGTTCTCAACACTGCCTCGACCTTGGGCTTCCGCCGCCTCATCAATATCCTCGTATTCATCGCTTGAATCCGCTTCCTTCTGCTTACTCTTACTTTTTGCAGAGTGAAATGCATGATTGTCCTTGATTATTTGCCCACCTCCTTTCCTCCCAAAGAAATCGTCGGTTCTTACACCACGGACATTCTCGGATTTTACACCCGACATCGCTACCCCGCGCTCCCTCTGTTCCTTGATAAATTCTCGGACTGGCGCCATAGCAGCGTCTCTGCATGCTTCTTTAATATCACTTCCTGACATACCAGCCATGACGCGAGTTAGGTATTCGAGATCGAATTGTTCTGGGTCGGTCTTGGTGTCTTTGAGAATGAGCTTCAGAATTCTCCTTCTCTGCGAGTTCGATGGCAGAGATACGGGGAATTTCTTGGGCATTCTTCTCAGAATTGCTTCATCGATGTCCTGCATTCGGTTCGTTGCGCCGAGAACCAATATTCGTGCTGGTAAACCGACTTCATTAGAAGAGGTGAGACCATCCCATAATGTCATAAACCTGTCTTCTATCAGCGGCAGTCTTTTTTTTTAGAGAGAGGCGACTTACTCGGCCTTGACCATACCACTAGCCTCATGTTCTCCACTTCGTCTCTGCCCAAGGACTGCATCTATCTCATCGATAAACACAATAGTCGGTTGTAATTTTCTTGCCAAAGAGAACACGGCTCGTACGAGCTTGTTCGAGTCTCCATACCACTTCTCCGTCAAGGTCGAGATATGCAGGTTGATGAAGCAAGCTCCGCTCTCATGCGCCAGCGCCTTTGCAAGCATAGTCTTCCCGCAACCTGGGGGGCCGTAAAGTAGTACCCCGGACGGGGCAGCGAGAAGCGAGGAGGATTGCGAGTATAGATGAGGCATCGTCAGAGGGTATATAACCGACTCTTTGAGTTCTTCGATAATGTCCTCTAGGCCGCCAATATCTGCCACCCATTAGCACATGCAAGGCCGTTCCAAGTGAATTCCAACATGCCGTCAAAGCCCACAGGTATATCCTCCGGCGCCACCACTTCCATAGCTATCTGGCTCTCATATTGATCCAAATTCAAATCCTCTTTCCTCGGCCGCCGCGACCCATCGGTGCCTTGTCCAGATTCATCCTCCGAGTCGTCGTGTTCCCTTCGTGATCTGTCTAGTCGACGTAGGTTGGCTGCAGCTCTGACGCGAGCTTGCTCGTGTTGCTCTTTCTCCGGGTCGGTTCCCAAGGGCAGACTGTTAACTATACTTTTGGCTACAAACCACATAGCCGTACTCTATCCCGGATGTTAGCAGGGCCGAGGTGGGAAGGCTGAGGCCAGGCTGGACTGTGTCGAGACTTACGGACACGAGAACCAGTATCAGGTCTTGCAGTATGCCCAGCTTTCTAGAAGGACCGTCACCCATGATAATGAATTCTGGACGCCACGGCCCGATTCAGATAAAACTGCTGGTGTTGGGAGTCGTAAACGTTGGATTGCGAAATCGCTTGAAATTTACGCCACTCGATAATGGTGGCTAGTGAAGTGGAATCCTGGCACTCGAACTTAATTTTTAAGTGTAAAAAAGTGGATGCAGAAGCCCGATTCCATCTGATATAGCGAATTTGTTGAAAAGGTATTTGGTTACACTAGTAAGTGATAGATCGTGCTTCTCAGCAACATTGAAGATGATTGGGAGAAATCCAGTGAAGTCAAAGTCCGAGGCCATTCTGGACTTTCCCAATGAGGTTTAGCGCCTTAAAAAAGTGCCAAGTAATTGGAAGTCAACAAACATTCCCCTCGATTGTTGCCATCCTAGCTGCGCATCGCTCTCCAGTGTTCAGCGCGTAATCATCGACGCGTAAACCCGAGACCGACTGTTAAAAACTTTTCGGCGCATCACTATCAACAATTTTTTCCCGTAGAATTTGCCATCAAGACACGGCAACCGCAACGCGATCGCTTTCGCTCAACGAACGACCTTCACGATGCCGAAACTGAAACAATCAACATTAGCAGAGCTGATCGACTCGGATTCCGACGACGGCCTCGCTATGCCCACTCCAGACTCAGCAGCAGAAAACCAAGCTCCTAATGCGAAAAAAGGCCGCGGACGACCGAAACTTGCGCCCACGAAGCCCGCGCCCTCAAAAGTTACCAAGACGAGAGCAAAGGCACCAACACGTCGTACAAGCGACCGCATTGAGGCAATGGCGAAGGCCGTACAGCCTGCGCCAGTCAAAGCCAAGAGAGCCGCTTTGAAGGATAGGACGAACCAGCACGCTGTCGACGACGAGATTGACGACTTTGCCTTCGATGGGGACTTGGTAATGGAAGGCACGATTGAGGACTCGACTGCGGCAGTAAAGAAGACGAAGCCGAAAGTTACGAAGAAAGCTACCACTGCGAAGGGAAAGGCGGGGAAGGATGAGTTGCGTACGGAGAGTATGATTCAGGAGACTCAAGACGTGTCCAAACCGGATGCACGCGCGACGAAGAAGAGGGGACCTGCTAAAAAGCAGAAGCCGGTGGAGCCAGAGCCAGAGAAGATCGTCCAGGAATCACAGTATGAAGAGATGGACATCGATGCGGAATTAGACGATGAGTTGGTGGATCCGGAACCAGAAACCATAGTGAAGCCAGCGCGCAATCTTTCACGCACACAATCGCATTCTCGACAGCGCCAGCCTTCTACGCAACGAAGACCAGTTGGGAATGTTTCTGATACGGAGAGGGGTGATCCGAGTCTGAGGCGCAAACTGGGGGATTTGACGAAAAAGTACGAAACTTTGAATCTTAAGTACCAGGATTTGAGGGAGATAGGGATCAAGGAAGCGTGCCGAAACTTTGACAGTTTGAAAAAAGAGGACGAGTCTAAGACAAAGAGTAAGTCTCGCATGTTATGATTCTAGACTCGTTACTAATCAAGAACAGCTGCTGGCGAGTTAATAAATTCTCTGAGAGCCGATGCGGCTGGTAAAGCTGCGTTGACGAAGAAGTACGATACGCTCAAGAAAAAATTTGATTCGCAGGCTGCTGAGACGATGTCGCTTCAGGCGCAAATTGCACAACTAACAACCTCTCTCACGGAAGCACGATCCGAGAATAAGACACTTTCAGCAAAGCTGGCCGCTACCCGTATTGCCGCTGCATCAGTAGAGAGTGCACATTCGAGAACTCCGGGCAGTGCTCTGAAGGCTAACGGAGGCATTCGCTTGATGGGAACTGCTGAAGCTGCACAAGTTGCTCAAGCAGCCCAACTGAAGGAAGATCTTTATAGAGATCTTACCGGTCTGATCATCAGAGGTGTAAAGCGCGAGACCGAGGAGGATATTTTCGACTGTCTACAGACTGGTGGACGTAATGGTAGTAAGTACAATGCTTGAGAGGCCTTGTAATTTCGCTAATTGTAATCCAGCACTCCATTTCAAGCTTGCCACGGCTAATGAAAAATCCTCCGAGAGTTATGACGATGCTCAGTGCAACTATATTCCCCAGCTTGACCCCAGCAGAGACAAGGATCTGATGGAGCTGCTCCCTGATTACCTTGTAGATGAGATTACGTTCCCGAGGCCTCAAGCTGCAAAATTCTACGCGCGGGTAGTGAAAGCTCTGACGGAAAAAGTCGGTTGATGGATGAAATGTATGAACAGGATGGGGGCTTAGCATGCGTTTAGACGGCTGGATAGTTGTCAGTGTGTATGGAGTTGCATGTCAGATTTCCTTGGCTAGTTGTTTTCTTGAGAGGCATACCCGGGTCGTTCACAAACAAAATACAATTTTCTCTTGCTTATATTGAATAAGCAACGGTAGCTGCGCTCGGTAATGTGATTGACTGACTGAGCGAACAGTCTCTTGAGGAAAGAAGCGGATTTCAAGATTCAGAAATAAAATAGAAAAATCGAACAACAACACTTAAAACACTGTTGTGTTGTTGTACCCCTAAATTCGGCTCCGAAGCCCCTGATCGCGTACAAAAATAGCGCTTTGGCTCGGCAAAATGACGAAGCTATCAGGGTACACCTTCAAAAGAGACGCGTTGTTGTTCAACAACATCCACCATTTTGTCCACCCCATGGACGCGCCACTCCTTAGATACCAGCCGGTGATACATCTACACCCGAATTCGATCCGAGAACATTCTATTTCGAACCAAGTGTTGCGGCGCATTCGATCGCCTGTGGACAAGAATATTCCTACTGTTCGCCGTATCTGAAGCTACCAACCATGGCTCGAGTCAATCGCTTTGGCTTCCTGGCCTTGGCCTTGGCCTTCCATCTGGTATACATATACTCGATATTCGACATCTACTTCGTTAGCCCTATTGTGTCGGGTATGCGCGAGTTTGGGGTGCAGAGGCCAGATGGCGTTGAAGCTCCCGCTCAAAGGCTGGTTTTGTTTGTTGGTACGTTTCCCCGTATACTGGATCTAGAATCAAGTCTTTGCTGAATTTTTTCGAATATATAGGCGACGGTCTTAGAGCAGATAAAGCGTTCCAATCCTTCCCCGAACCCTATCCCAGGAACGATGCAGACCTCGTCCCCCGCCCCCTAGCATCCTTCATCCGCTCCCGAGTCCTCGAACATGGAACTTTCGGTGTCTCCCATACGCGTGTACCCACGGAATCTAGACCGGGGCATGTGGCGCTCATCGCAGGGCTGTATGAAGACGTTTCTGCGGTCACTACAGGATGGAAGCTCAACCCGGTGAACTTTGACAGTGTGTTCAACCGCAGCAGACATACATGGTCTTGGGGTAGTCCGGATATCTTGCCCATGTTCAAATTGGGAGCCGTAGAGGGAAGAGTTGATGCGGATACGTATAGAGCGGAGGAGGAGGACTTTTCGCAAGAGGCGTCAGGGCTGGACGTTTGGGTCTTTGAAAAGGTGAAGGCCTTCTTTCAGGAGGCTGCCACGAATGCAACGCTTGATGCACAGCTGAGGCAGGATAAGAATGTGTTCTTCCTCCATCTGTTGGGTCTGGATACGAATGGCCATGCGTTCCGCCCCTACTCGAAGGAGTATCTAAATAATATCAAGATTGTGGATCAGGGCGTGCAGGAAATTTCACAGCTGATCGAGGAATTCTATGGGGATGGCAAGACGGCGTTTGTGTTCACGGCTGACCATGGAATGAGTGATTATGGCAGTCATGGGGATGGTCATCCGGATAACACACGAACCCCACTTGTTGCTTGGGGATCCGGAGTAGCAAAGCCGGTCAAGACTGAGGGAATTGCGCCTGGTCATGATGAGTTATCTTCAGATTGGGGCTTGGACAACGTCCAGAGACACGATGTCGCTCAGGCTGATGTTGCTGCGTTGATGGCATATTTGGCTGGACTCGATTTCCCTGTCAACTCGGTAGGCGAGTTACCCTTATCTTTTCTGTCCGGGGATACTGCGGCCAAATCCAAAGCATTCTTGGCGAATGCTCGGGGAATTCTCGATATGTATCGCGTCAAGGAGGAGCAGAAGAAGGCAACGGAACTTCGTTATCGACCTTTCAAAGCTCTCGGCGACGAAGCACACTCTGTCGACCATCGTGTCGAAGCTATTCAAACGCTCATTGATGCTGGGCGCCACGAAGAGGCCATCGAAGAAACTGCTGCCCTTGTCAAAGTCGGTCTTGACGGCCTTCGCTACCTCCAAACCTATGACTGGCTCTTCCTTCGCGCCCTCATCACCATCGGATACCTTGGCTGGATCGCCTTTGCACTAACTACCGTAGTCGACCTGCACGTCTTGCACGGCAGAACTGAGACCTCGCGTACAGCTCTCGGCACTACATTTTTCTCCTCTGTTCTTGTAGCCTTATACGCTTCTTTCATTATATCCAAATCTCCGCATACGTACTATGCCTACGCCATCTTCCCCGTTGGGTTTTGGGAGGAGGTGTATGCAAGACGTGGGGCGCTTGAGGAAGGGAGAAAGGCCCTGTTTGGGCATGTTAGATCTGCGGGCGGGCCTTTTATACTTCTTTTGAATGCGATTGCTGGCTTAGCTCTCATTGAATGTCTGGCATTGGGATACACGCATCGGGAGGTGTTTTCTGTAATATGGGTTGTGGCCGCGTTTTGGCCGGCGTTCTACGGCATGAAATTTCTACGGACTAATAAGGAGCTTGTGGGAACTTGGGTGGCTTCTTGTGTAGCGATGAGCTCATTCACTTTGTTGCCTGCGATGAAGGTTGAGGACGTGGCTCTCATGTAAGTTTTACATCTTCTGTTTAGGGCTCGGCTAATTCGTACAAAAACAGCGTGTCGGGTGGTTGTTTGATGGCGGCGATTGGAGTCGCCTACCTAATCTTCGAAGAGAAGCTACTCTATAAAGCAGAACCGGTCGGGGCTTCTACAGAACCCGCTAAAAATAGTCTCTCGAGGGCGTTGATTGGAGCACAGGTAGGCAATTCGCGATGTAAAGGCCTGGGTTACTGACAATCGACAGATTGGCTTTATAATTCTGGCCACAATTGTTACACGGTCCAGCGCAATTTCTCTACAGGCGAAATTAGGACTTCCAAAAGGAAACCAGATAGTCGGATGGTTTGTGTTGGGTATGGTCTCTTCACTCATCATCATCAGCAACATGCTTACCTCCGACAGTCCTACCACTTCTCATGCCCTTCCTCCACCGATTACAACCTAACAATCACTACTTGCACCGTTTGATGGTGATCTTCCTGGCCTTCTCTCCCATATTCGTCCTCCTCACCATCTCCTACGAAGGCCTCTTCTATCTCGGCTTCTGCGTAACCCTCATCACCTGGGTCCGCCTCGAACACAAAATCTACATATATTCGAAGCTCTCGCCTACCTCACTTGCTCAGGGCAGCAAAATCACCAACGGTTCGGCGATGACCCCCTCAATTCTATCCTCTCCCTTTCGATCTCTCACCCTCTCCGACCTCCGCACCTCCCTCTTCTTCCTCACCCTCCTACAAAGCGCGTTCTTCAGCACCGGTAACGTCGCCTCCGTCTCCGCCTTCTCTCTCGATTCCGTCTCACGTCTCATCCCGGTCTTTGACCCATTCTCCCAAGGCGCGCTGCTGATCCTCAAACTCATGATCCCCTTCGCACTCATCTCCGCCAACCTAGGCATCCTCAACAAGCGACTAGGAGTTGCACCCAGTGCTCTGTTTATGGTGGTGATGGCGATCAGCGATTTCTTGACGCTGCACTTCTTCTGGGTGGTGAGGGACGAGGGGAGTTGGTTGGAGATTGGGAGTACGATTTCCCATTTTGTGATTGCGAGTTTACTGTGTATGTTTGTGGCTAGTTTGGAGGGTGTTAGCGAGATATTTATTGCTGGGGTGCAAGTCGAGGACGGCTCAGCACAGCTGGTGAGAGAGCAAGCACTTCGCAGTGCTGTGGAAACGGAAAGGCAGAATGAGGAGAACCTTAAGAAAGAACATGTTGTGGAAGCGAAGGTCAACGGGGGCTCTCATCATGGGGTGGTGAAGCCGGCTGCGAATGGTGTTGGGAGCTAGAGGGCTTTTCTCACTAGTAGAAATGAGATATCATCGAAACGAGGTGTTCAAAGCTGGTTGATGGTCCGCAAGAGATATGTGTCTGTCTTCCCATTCCGCGATCAGCTGAGGGCGCATACAGGCGACCAGGCACTCGCGGGAGATGCGAGGAAGGTCATCTGTGGCCAACGTCATCTCTTATTGCTACTGGCATTTTGTGCTATGCACCTTTGTATATAATCGGGTTGGGTTGGGTGAGAGGGGATTGGTGAGTGACTCTCTAGCTCCAGGCAGGAAATTCCGCTTGGTATTTGAATGCGTGATGATTTGCACTACCGGGCCTCAATTATACTACGGTAAGTACCCATCGTTTGCAGATTTCTTGACATCGGGCTTATCCATGGAGGTAGGTACCAAGTAGGAGGAGGAAGAGACAGACGAGCTAGGTGCTGATTCAAAGAATCCTTCGAGAATGCCTGTGAACCTTGTTGACAAAGCGTCGATGTCAACATCCACAAAATCTGACATCTGCCGGGCCATAGTGGTGGTCGTGATCGTAATGTTACAGATAGTTAGTCAACTTGTTCGAATTGTTAATGAGTACCTGAATCAGTTCCAACATTCCGTTGTGTGGACTAGGTGTCTAGAAGCCGTTGCTCCTTTGTTCCTTTGTTGCTTTCGACTACCGTACCTATCGACTACCGACTATCGGCACTGCCTACCATCCGTGCGAGTTTGGAGAGGAAAGCAGGATTTGAATTACGTAAGCGAGTATCGATTGGTAAAGAGGAAAGCAACTCTATGTTACGCCGACTTTTCCTACTAGTTCTCGAGATCATCCGCGGGAGTCGTCCGCAAGCGCAAGGAAAGCCTAGATTAATACATACTATACAGACAGTAATAGTTTCGCTTGCTGGCTTCCTCTTCCTCTGTACGCACTCCACAGTACCGTACAATACTTAGCCACTAGCGATCCCGGCCCGCTCTCAAGCCGCAAAGTGCAACAAGACAAGACAAGACAACACTACCGTACACAACCCCTCGATCTCTCTCGAGGCGGTATTGTTGGGCGGATACCACAGGACCGGAAAGGAAAAATACAGGACAGTGCAGGACAGGATAGGCCAGGCATCATGGATATGAACATGGCGAACCTCGATGCCAGCTTCTCAGCATCCGCTCCAGGACCTGTAGCGGCTACAACTCAAGGGTCGAACCCCAATCCGATGCCCCATTCCCAAACTCCAGGGCATCCAAGCTTCAGGCGGTAGGCGCAATCCCCAGATCTGCGAGATACACAAGGCAGGGCTGACGAGTAGACTGTAGACAACGAGCGTCCAGGGCGTGCGAGGTATGTGCCCAGGAACTATCCGTCTTTCTTCTTTTATAAGGCAGTGGTCGCAGCGTGCCTCGGCACCGAGGACCGAGTGAAATAAACCATTACAGCATTGGGCCCTGGCAGTGGGCATTGATCTGAGGACTGTTGCTAATAAATATCCCGTGTCGGTGTCAACAGACCTGCCACTCGCGAAAGGTATATTATACGATTCAAAAATCCTGCCGACGGCACATACTCATCGCCGCTGTATACTGACGCGGACAGGTACGATGCGACGCCGCCAGCCTGGGCGTGCCGTGCACCAACTGCGTTGCCTTCAGCATAGAATGCAAGATTCCGGCGCCGAAGCGGAAAAAGACTGCGGTGGGTAAGACGAAGGATTCGGATAGGTGGGTACGGCATGGAGTCATCGAGTATGGATGCTGATGCAAGTAGCGACCGCGGTGAGACTCTCGACGAGCGCTCCCCGGGAAACAACTCTCCTGCCACGACCGGTCGACGCGACAGTATCTATAACAATGCCGCCGACGGCACGCCCGCGACCTCCCTGACCGAAGCCCAGTATAAACAGCGTCAGGACGACGACGGCACGTATGCGCAGTTTATGAAGCCGAAGTTCACGAGGGCTCCTATCAAAGAGGCTGGACGAGTGGCATACTTGGGAGAGTCGTCCAACTTGACGCTACTGGTTCACGACCGACATGGTACGGCGGATGTGGTTCACTACCCTTTGCCGGAAAATGTCAGGGGATCCCGCGCCAGGTTGACGGAGCTGGATAATGTGGAAATCGATATCCTCCATCAGAGAGGGGCGTTCTTGCTTCCACCGAAATCACTGTGTGATGAGTTGGTGGATGCGTATTTCAAATGGGTTGCTCCGATTGTCCCGGTCATTAACCGGAACCGGTTCATGAAGCAGTATCGAGAGACGAAGAACCCGCCTTCACTACTGTTGCTACAGGCTATCCTCCTGGCTGGCTCCAGAGTCTGTACCAATCCTCAACTCATGGATGCGAATGGATCCACGACTCCGGCTGCGTTGACCTTCTACAAGCGCGCAAAAGCCCTGTATGATGCCAACTACGAGGATGATCGAGTTACCATTGTACAGGCCTTGGTGCTCATGGGTTGGTATTGGGAAGGACCAGAAGATGTTACGAAGAACGTCTTTTACTGGAGTAGAGTGGCTACAATTGTTGCCCAGGGATCTGGTATGCACCGAAGTGTGGAGGGCTCCCAGCTCAACATAGCCGACAAGAGACTCTGGAAGAGGATATGGTGGACCCTATTCACTCGCGACCGATCGGTTGCAGTGGCGTTGGGACGCCCAGTACACATCAACACCGATGATTCTGACGTCGAGATGGTATGCGAGGACGACTTTATCGAGGACGACAATGATCAACCCCCCGAGTTTCCACCAGACCCTATGCATGTTCAGTTCTTCCTGCAATACGTCAAACTTTGCGAGATTATGGGCCTGGTACTCTCTCAACAGTACTCGGTTGCTTCGAAAGCTCGCCGACAAAACGCAATCGATCTCACCCACAGTGATATGGCCTTGGCCGATTGGTTGCAAAACTGTCCGCGAGAGGTATACTGGGATGCGTCTAGGCATCACTTCTGGTCTGCTCTGCTTCATTCTAACTACTATACTACGCTCTGCTTGCTACACCGCGCTCATATGCCTCCAGCTTCGAGTTCGAGAGGTGGTTGCATTGAGGACAACTCTTACCCGTCCAGGAATATTGCATTCCAAGCTGCGGCTATGATAACCTCCATCATCGAGAACCTTGGAAACCACGATGAGCTTCGGAATTGCCCTGCGTTTATTGTCTACAGTCTGTTCTCGGCACTTATCATGCATGTTTACCAGATGCGATCTTCTGTTCCGTCCGTGGTTCAGGCCACGCAAGAGCGAATACGCATCTGTATGAATGCTCTCAAAGACGTTTCCAGGGTTTGGCTGGTCGCAAAGATGGTCTATACCTTGTTCGAGTCTATTCTCGGCAATAAAGTTTTGGAGGAGCGTCTCCAAAAGGCAGCTGGAAAGCGCCATAGGAAGATGACTCAAAGCCTTACCCAAGGCATTAATCAGGCTCAACTCCAGCAAGCCAACCAACTCAAGAGAGAAGACTCTGGCTCGGGAGCTACGAAGCGAAAATACGACGATATGTCTCTCGATTTCAATGTCAACAATGGGCCGGCTCCACAAGAGTCTTACGAGCGATCCCGGCCCCAGACACCCAGTCACACCCCTTCTCGCGAACTGGGACACAACATTGCACCAATGGCAGCACCTCCTGTCACTTCTCCGCATACCAGACCGAACGATGCATTTATGGGTGGATCGAGTTCTCGTCCTCATACCAGGCCTGCCACCCCGTTCAATCCTTCTTTCTCTGTCCCAGCTACCCCACCAGATTTGTACCTTGTTACTCGAAACTCGCCTAACCTTTCTCAATCACTCTGGGAGAACTTCCAACCCGACCAACTGTTCCCCGAGGGTTCGACAAGCATGCAGAATAACCAGTTCTCATCTCCTCATTCACATCAAAATCTGGATCCGAACCTCATGCCGCATATGAGCATGAACCAGATGCCGAACCAGAATCAGGCCGCGCAGTTGCCTCAGCGCATGCGTGGACAAGGCAATATGGCTGGAAGTCCTCAGGTATCAACGCTTAACTTGTCTGGTGGGTTAGGATATCAGGTCCAGCCTGGTATGTGGCAGCAGGGCTTTGATTCGGGAATGCAAGATCCGCAGGGTCATAGCCCAAGTGATTCTCTGAGCAATGCTTCGGCGCAGGCTGTGCCCATGACGATGAATGTCGAGGACTGGTAAGCCCTCTCCTGGGAGGGGACAGAAGCTCGGTATGCTAACTTCGACAGGTTCCAATTCTTTGGAATTAATGGTGACTTGAGTGGAATGAATGGTGACGTGCCTCTTGCCTGAGATAAAATTGTGTGTGGGAAGGTGTAAAAAGAGCGCTTTGGCGTAAAGCCTTTGGTCGATCTTGTGATCGTGTAGTAGTTTAACCCTTATCCAGTGACAAATGTGTGTATCAAGAATATGACTTCTATGAACGATATTTTCCATGTCCCGAGAGTTTACTTTGTGACTCGCAGTGGTTTTGAAAGCTGTCGGGCGCTCGGGCGCTAAGCCCGCGTACCGGTAGTAGTAGAATGACGAACACCGTAGCCCTTAATCCGCTGGAGAGCATCGCTGGAGAGCGGAACAACAAACCAACACGTATCAACCGGTAATCGCCTTTCAGGACTGCGGATCTTGCAATACGTCCCTTAGATTCCGACTAGAATCCCGGATTCCCTGTGACGACTCCTCGACATGTTATCTCCATGAACCATTCCTCTCCTCAGCAAGCAATCGCTCAACCAGCAGCTGCTCCCATGCATGTACGCGAGGGGACGGCCCGCGACCCTGGACCAGAGCTCGAATCCAGCATTGCTATTGAGATTGGATACTAAGAGAAGGGAGTGGGGTACTAGAGAGACAGGGTGACAGAGAGTAAACGAAAACATGAACCCCTCCCGCGCCGACTCCCTCGACCCAAACGGCAGCATTCGCCCGCGAAACCGTCGTCTCATCTCCACGGAACAGGAGCTCGTCAGCACTTCCGCCACAAGCACACCTGGAGGCAGCAGAGCTGCCAGCCCTATACCGAGCAAGTACCCTAGTCGGAGCGTGAGCAAGAGCGGGCAGAGAAATGGACAGCCGGTGGGCGGGCGGCTGGCCCCGCCTCAGGAGGGGAGAGGAGGGCTTGGGCGATCGAGCAGCCCTTTGGGATTTGGAGGGGGCGTATGGGAAGGGGGCTGGATGGGGAGTTGGACGAAGCTGCAGGGGATTGCAAATTCGGTGTTGAGTGCTGTGGAGGGTGACAGCGATAGCGACGTGAATGGGTCGTCGAGCCGGGGGAAGACTGGGCTGGGTAAGGTAAGAGCGCCGAGTAAATGGGGGCCGAGCTCTAGTGCTGAGAGGAAGGACGGTGGTATTGGGATGGGGAGTACGGACGAGCGAGAGGCGGCGCTGATACAGAGGAAGAGGGCTGGGGTGCTGGAGGGCAGAGACGAGGACAGGATAAAGGATATGAGTGGAAATTATAAGCGCAGGACGTCGACGGAAGAGCAGAGGCCTGCGGTGGACGAGGACGATCAGGCGCTGGTTTATATACACCATGTGCAGGAGCAGGACACGTTACAGGGCGTTATACTCAGGTATAACTGCAGACCGGATGTGTTTCGCAAGGCGAACCGCTTCTGGCCGAACGACTCGATCCAGATTCGGAAAACTGTTATACTACCTGTTGACGCCTGTACGGTCAAGGGACGGCCTTGCGACCCTCCGAACTCTGAATCTCCGCCTCAAGGAGTGGATCTCCTTGATCCGACAGCTGGTCTTGAAGAGGCGGCGGCTTCAAACGGCAGTCCGTGGCCTGGAGGCTCGAACGGGAAGTCTGCAGACGTTCCCGAAGAAAGCGAAAACCCCTGGGTCCATGTACGATGGGTGTTGATTGATTCCTCGCCCAACTCGAAACCCGTAGAAATAGCACGCATGCCGCGAAAAACACTGGGATATTTCCCCCCCAGACGGAGAAAGAGTCAAGTGGTTTTTTACTCGGATATCACTACACCACGTGGCTCCTCCGAGTTCCCACGCCTCTCTCAATCACCTTCCAACGGCCAAACAGCCAGCACAACCTCTACACCCTCCCGCCGAACCAGCAACCAAGGCCCGCGTCCCTCCCAGTCTATATCCTCTACCTCGGTCACATCCATCGGCTCCTACTTCCCTCCCCTAGTCCCCAATTCCAGCACTCGTCCCCGCCGCGAAAGCGTTGGCGAAGCTGCGGACCGTCTAGGCTGGATGCGCGGACCCGGCGGCGTAGGAACATTCGGCAAGAATGTACGGCGTCCGGGTCCCGGAAATGATGGCCTGAACTCGTGGGCTCGGAAACACATCCCGGGACTTTCGATTGAGGATATGCCGAGTAGCTTTGTGCCGGGGGACAGTGTAGCCCACTTTGGCTTCAAGGATGAGCTGGCTTCCATCGCCGAATCGTCGCGCAACAACCCTGGCTCCAGCTCTTCCGGGCTGGTGGGTACTTCTGGCTCGGGACAAAACCTGGGGCTGGAGACTGCGGCCGCGGCGATTGAGGGGTGGGTGAGAAGGATGGCGAGCGCCACGCCTGGGACGCCGATGGGGGGCCCAAGGAGCACGCCTGAGCCGGATCTGATTGAGTTGCTGGATGGTACAGGGAGCGATGACGGGAGAGGCTTCGAGATTAGTCCTGGGCGGGTGCGAAGCGGGACGCCCATAGGAATGGGGACTGGTCGTGATGATATGGATGCATTGGTGAGGGGCGCCAACAGAGGGGTCAAGGGTGGCAAGAGTGATTGATTAGCGAGATCTTGGCGGCCTAAGTCAACAAACAGCAAGGTCGGCGAGGGCAGCCGCCTGCAATCGCAGCATGGCCGGAGGTGTGTGTTTGCATGAGATGGGGCGCATTGGGTACGGTGTTGGCGGCTGTAACTTTATCTCTCCCACGAGAGCGAGCAGGTGTGTGTGTGTGTGTGTGTGTGTACGCTGATGCTGATGCGTAGCATTTGGGGCTTTTTCGAGCTTCAGAAAGTTGAGGAGGAGGAGGAGGAGGAGCAGGACGAGCATGGATTTCGGAAAAGAGAGAAGAGAACGGAGGATGTTGGTTGGGCATGATAGATAGGATAGGATAGGGTAGGAAAGGATAAGTAAACGGGAAATACAATTGGTGAAAGCTTTGGAAACTGGGGTGAAGTGCTTCTTTGGGGAGGGGGGATCCTCTCTCCTCCCCTTCCTTCTTTTTTCTTTTTCGTTGCGTACGCCTCAATTGGTTTCTTTTCCGCCTTAATTTACTTCTTTCACTGGGGCTTAATAAGATGCAGCTTGTTTTGACTTGGTTTTCATTTGGCTTCTAGAAGCATATAGAGGAGTCACTTAGTTAGCTATGCCCTATCCTGAATCGGAATTTGAGAACATGATGTTCAGAGAGTTTTGATATTATGTGTTATGTGTGTATTTTGTGTCAATGCGGTTTTACAACTATACGTAATGCTTTTTTTATTTAATGTATTTTTTTAAAAAAAAAAAAAATTAGTTCATATCAGACGCCGCCATGAAATCTCACAGTACCTGTGCTACTCAGCTCATCCGTTCCGGAAATCTTTCTGCGAACTCAAGTTCCACCCGGGGTACCTTGGCCACGAGATAATCCCTGGTTTCCCCCATCCAGGTCTCCACGTCAAAAGATTCCCCTGCCCTGCTGCCGGCGCCGGCGAGACGGGGCTCAAACTCGTGGAGCACCCTCGCGACCACGTCGCGCAGCTCCATCATGGCCAGCTTCCTCCCGGGGCAGTTCGTGATGCCGGTGGAGAAGGGGATGAAGGCGTGTCTGTTGAGCACCAACTCGGGTCTCGTCGTCCAGCGTTCGGGGATGAAGTCCCCCGGGTGGGCGAAGTTCCTCGGGTCTCGGTGGAGGACATAGGGCGGCATCGAGACGACCGTGTCGCGGGGGATCCGCGTTGCTGATGCTGCTGCGAGCGGCGAGCTGGGTGGCCTGCTGGTGGTGGTGGTGGTGGTGGTGCTCGGGGTCGAATGATGTGGGATGACGATCTCCTCCGTGGTGTTGGTGCGTCTGGTTGCGAACAGGACCGTGGGGTAGAGACGGAGCGTCTCTTTGATGATGGAGTCGAGGACGGGATATTCGACGTCGCACCTGAATCTCGTGGGCGGGGCGGAGCTCTGTAGAGGAGGAGAAAGGAGAAGAGGGTCAACTTCCGCCCGTACGGAGCGCTGCAGCTTCGGATCCGACGCCAGGATGGTGAAGATCGTGGTCAGCGTTGTGGCGGTTGTGTCGCTGGGAGAGAGAAGAAAAGGAACCGGATCAGCCACACGGGGCTCAGATGATGCGTGGCGCGGAGACAAGAGGAAGAGGACAACTGACCTGCCGGCTACAATTATCACGCGGGATTCTGAAAAGAGCAACTCGTCGCCTTTCCTCGTTTTGGGGGTGTGGGCCAGCAGATAGCCCATGAGGTCGGGCTTCTCCGAGCCTCGCTATATACATATACACATACATCAACGACCAGCCTTTCCCTACTGGTCCTGTGTTTTGACAAATTGGGAAGAATAGACGGGGAGTTGCCAGAGATGAGAGGGAAAGGGGGAGGTGGGCGTACTTTTCGTCTCTGGTTCAACATCATATTGCTCCATTGGTTGAACCATTTCAGGGGACCTGGGAGAAAGGCGAAGGTGGTCAGGAGGGACATCATCCAAGGCACATGGCACAAGAGCCCGATGGCCGACGTGGCCTCCTCGAGTCCGGCCATCACGGAATGAGAAGCCTCACTCCGGTCTCCGCTGATGAAGCCGCCCGGTTCACCGAACGCCAGCTGGGTCATGACATCGTAGCTGTAGTTCAGAAACAGCTCGTTGATCACGACGGGTTTGTCGAGGCGTGAGCGGATGCGTCTGATGAGTGCCCCGGTGAACTCTTCCAGCTGTGGTGTGTACGTCGCGAGCACTGGTTTAGTCCGACCTTGAATCAGCTGGATCGTGATGATGGGATTTATATAGGGGGCTATATTGGGGGGGGGGGGGAAGAAAAAGAAACACGTTACGGGTTTTCAGGCTCGAGTCCCACACCTTGCGTCTCTGCGTGTGGAAATTCCGATCTCGTGTTGTGCTGACGCTTTTTTCCATCGATTCGTAGAACGGGCCCTTGTGAGTCTTCGCTCCGTAGCCCAAGATGTGACTGACGGCCGCGGGATCAGCTACTGACAGCTCCCGAGGCCCGGTCCGGACATAGTCCCCGTACTGCGCGTGGAGAGCAGCATTGACGTGATGCCAGCGTGATCCGCTCCGGGCGACGGTGAAGAGCGAGTAGAGCTTGGTGAGCTTTGCGAGTGGCGGTCCGGGGAAGTGGTGGAGCGGATGCAGGTAGAGGCGGTGGACGGTGAGAGAAGCGAAGAGCGAGACCATGTAAGATGCCGTGGCCAGCAGGGACGACGTCCATGGGACCGTAAGGATGTACCGTAGAACGATCGGGCAGGTGGGGACAGCGAGGAGCAGAAGTAGGGGCTGGGTGTCTACTTCGAACCGTTTGAAGAGCAGCTGGTGTGACATGATTCCGAGCAGTGAAGCGGTCGCAAGCAGCGCTTGTAGAGTTGGTTCCTCCATTTTTGCCTGCATCGTTTGACTTTCAAGGGCCGAGACGGAGATGGAGACGGTGGAGTAGCGGGATGTGCAGGCTTCCGGGCTGGAATAGATGTGGAGGGTTGGTTGTCTTGGATGAAGGATTTGGAAGTATTTGAAAGTCGGCGTGGTACAAGAAGTGGCATGTCTGACGCCTGACACCTGTCATACATATGTATGCAAACAGGCAGCTTCACTTCCAAGCAGGTGCGATCTAGGTCGTCACAGTCACCTACATATGCAAGTCAACACCTGAAAGCCATGGTATGGTGAGTATGGGTATCCGGGGATATTCGTGAGGTGACATTTCTAAATGCGTTTCCCTGGAATAATATCCTCATTGCCGGAACAGCGGGCTGTGATATCAAAAGATGGAGCTGAGCTTTTATCGATCCTGGAGAACCCAGTCTACTTAAAGCCCTGCCGTTGTAAGATGTGATATGATAATGGCTGGACAGTCCTTTTCCATACTCACATCATCTGAACGATGAGCAGTGACTAGCATACCGGTAGCATAGCAGTTATACGAGCTGGGATTCGAGGTGTTTCTCGCTTAGAAGTGCAGTGGCGTCCACCCGTCCAACTCTGTGCCCCGCTTTCCCTAGTCTAGTTCTGGCTCGCCGACCATAAATAAGTATCTTCAATATCTTCAAATATCTTCAATCCTACGGAGCTGCCTTCTGTCAAACTTCAGGTGCTGTATCTTGTTTACTTTCACCTGTTGTTTTTCCGAGGAAAAAAAGGGGCGTCAAGCGAGCTCGCTTATCTTATCGATGGCTGGCCGGAGATTCGGGATTTCCCTACCAAAAGGGAGCGCTGACTGACTTGAGGATATTCGAAAGCCTGCAAGATGAACCCAGATGTGCGGAAGACCTGCGCAGGTTCGAGAAGTGAGAAATAATTGTAAGGCGCATCGGTACTTCGTCGTCATGATCATGCTCGTTGCTTATACCGACCGGGCCGGGGATTGCACTGGATGCATGCATGGCTTGATAACCACCAGCACGCATACCAGCCGGTATTCTGCCGTTTGTTCTCCGCCATCGTTTCCTTCGCTCTCTTTTCAGCTCTAATGAATATCACTCATAACTCAAACCCCGACGGAAATCGCGAATCTCCATGTATCACTCGCGTTTCGGTCGACCGCATGGACTTTGAACTACCGATTTGTAGTCTCGATTGGATCCACCGAGCGGTTTGAGTCGAGCCCGGCCCGAAACTCTAAATCGCCTCGAGTCCGTCCCTCGGGTCGTGTTGGTGAGGGAATAAGCCGGCTGCTGCAGAGTGCGTCTTGTTACTGCGATCAGTGACTTCGAAGTTCTGCGACACTTGGTACCCTCTATCCATTCAAGGAACACTGTGACGGAGACCTTCTGGTTCAGCGGAGTGGACTACGGAAGAAGCAGCAACCCATGCTTGATTAAAACGTCCATCGGCTGGCGGACGCTCCCGCTTGCATCCCAGGAGTCGAGTCGAAGCTTCGTCTGAAACTTCTCACAGCCCAGAATGCCCAGTGCGGAGGAAAGCACCAGCGGCATTTTCGTATTTGTCAATGGAATTCAGTCCCTTTGGATGTCAACCGAGCTCTCCTAACCGTTTCGGAATTTGAGCTCATTCTTCGTCCAATACTTAAGTATCTCCGAGGCGATGTGGCGCACTGTGCTTCACTTCGCGCCCATCCTCGAATGGAACGCAAACAAGCTTTACGAGCCTCAATGCGCGGAGCGGAACATGCAGATGAGTGGATCTGAGCCCCAGCTATTCGGGCGGCCAGCAAATCTGTCCCCATGTCGAAAATCGTCCCAAATATAGAGCCGAATGTTCTAAATATACGCGTACCCAGCCATCCCGAGCGTTACAGCCTCCTTTTCCGGTTTAGAAAGATAAACGCATGGGGACAGATATGCTGGCCGCACGAGTCCTTTTTCTCGTTTGGTTTTCGACTTGTATTCGTTGCTACGACTCATACCCATCATAGCCTCATCATTACTTAACTCTCCTCGCGACCTGGAGTGCGTGGCGTATATCTTGGCAAACACTTTTCAGCCCTGTCAATGAAGCTTTGATTGAACCGACAGTTATAGCATATCAAGAGGGTACATACTATCATACCAAGACGGTATTGCCATAATGGACGCGAATAGGATGTATGGAGGCAGCGAGGATGCCTCTGACCAGGCCGGGGACGGTAGGCTATCCAGGATGTGAGATTACCCGAGACGGCCTCTCCGAGTCCCCTTTTTCTCTGACTGTATAATGTTAGGCGTTCAGCACATTCGTCATTCAGCAGCTTCGATAACTTAATAGAGAAAGACAAAAGTCGAGGTTCGGCGGCAAAAGGCGAAGATATGGAGGAGCAGCCATCGCTGAAGCTCTTCCAAAGCAACCTGGCCCATGCTAGGAAGAAGTTCACAGCCGAGGAACCAAATGAGCCAATCTTTATCGAGATCTCGGGGCCGAGATCACTTGCCATGCCCAATATCTTCGAAGCCGCGATGAACACTGCACCCGAACACTACAAGGAGCGGTTGGGGGACGCGCAGATGCGCGAGACTCCAGAGTTCAAACGCTACGAAGAAGCAACCAATATTGAACTCTTTTACGATCTGTTCTTCGTGGCCAACCTGACGACCTTTACCGATGTCCACGAGATCAACGCGATCGCAGCGCTGAAGGCCTATGCTGGATTCTTCTGCATCCTGTGGTTCCTCTGGGTTCAGGTCAGCTTGTTCGATGTTCGGTTTGTGGAAGACAGTATCCTGGAGAGGATTGGGAAGGCCTGCCAGTTCGGAGTCATGATCGGCTTGGCCATTGTGGGTCCATCCTTCAATCCGGAGGAGCAAAGACAAGACGTCTTTCGGTCGCTGGCCATCATCCTCATGCTATCCCGCGTTGTTCTTGCACTCCAGTATGGGTTGGTCCTGTACCAAGTATTCTATTACAAAGGTTCCCGAAAGCCATTGGTCTTGATCGTGGGATCCAACCTTTTTGCCGCGCTCCTGTACTTCAGCACCTTTTTGTGAGTTCCATGGCCCGATCAGATGTGGCACCGCTAATCACTCACTTCGTCAGCGGCTTCAAACCAGACAACCCGCGGAATCATGTCTTTGTCTTGTGGTATATAACCGCGGTGCTCGAAACCGCTTTCAACATCATAGTGTCGTCCAAGTGGGAGGTTCTTACCTTCCAAGGCACTCATTTGATCAAGCGTATGAGCTTGTTGACGTTGATTATATGTAAGTAGTAGTCCTCTCTCGGAATACTCAGCGCTAAGATTCCACGGAGTGGGTGAAGGAATCATTGCGTTCTCGAAAAGTATCGCCACGGTAAGCAACATATCCCATAGAGAGAGATGGACAAATGCTTACGCTAGCAGATAACCGAACAAGAAGAGAATTGGAATGGGCCCCTTCTCTTGACTATCGGCATGGCAGTGATTATAGTAGTACGCCTCCCTTTCTATTACGCTTTAGGGATCCACGCCTTCGCTAACCGAGCTGCAGTACTTCATTTACATGATCTACTTTGACTGGATTAATCGCAACCACTTTGGATCATTCCGAGAAGGCCTCTGGGCCCTGCTCCATTTTCCATTCCATCTCGCGCTGGTCCTTCTCCTCGAAGGAGCTGCCCAATTCATAGTCTGGCGGAAAGTTGTTGAAGTTGTCCGGTATACCCTCTCACACCCTGACCCTCCCTCGTGACGTTTCCGAGATATTCTGACACCCCAGCCCGTAGCTCTGTAAACGAACTCTTCCTCGAAGTCCAAGAGTCCTTTAAGGGGAACACCAGTACCGCGTTCGCCGAGCTGCTCTCCAATACCACCAACGAGGTCTTCGAAAGATTCCCGCCGGTGTTCACCCGCACCCTGATGGAATCCAGCAAGGCCATCACCGCCATCGGGAGCTCCACCTTTAACTCTCCGCAGCAGCGCGAAGAGGTCACGACGTTATTCGCCGTGATCCAAGATTCCATCTTTGACAATTTCAAGATCGAGCCTCCCGAGGTCAAGAACACGGACCCGGATCCCAACACGGAGTGGGCCAAGAACGCAGATGCGTTCAAACTGATTGTAAGGTCCCGGCCGGCCCCATGGCATCTTGATTTTTTGATTTTTTTTTTTTCCATCTCTTTTGCCCCCCCTCGACGATGTATCGATCGCGAGAGGTAACTAACCAATCGGGACAAATGCAGTTCATCTACTTCTTCGCCGCGTCTGGCATCACCCTCATCCTGATGAACGCGCTCAACTTCCTCAGCCGGACGAAGCCCACCCGTTTCGACTACGCCCGCATCGCCGCCAACTTCGTCATCGGGGCGGCGCTGGTCTCGATCACCGGCTTCGTCAACACCTCTGAGGGCTTCCGTTTCGCCCAGAGTGCTTTCATCCTGCCGACTGTGGGCTTTGCATTCGTGCTCGGTGAGTTTCGTCTGGATCCAAGAGCGGCTCGACACGCATCCCATGCTAACGAGACCGTGTGACAGTCATGGCACTGGCGTACACCAAGCTCTTGCGGTGATTTTTTTTTCTTTCCCTTTTTTCCCGGACGGCGAGGATCATCCGGATGCTGCAGCCATTTGAATCCATTTCTGGACCGCTTGTGGCTAGCAGGCTTTGCCACAGCGAGCCCGGCCCTGCAGGGTCAACATTCTTTCAATCCCCCACGGCCCCATATAATGTTTGAATAGACGAACGAACATCGACGGGTCTCATCAGATGTAACAACCGACAGATAGAAGTGTCTTTACGAGTAGAATCTAAATAGAAATATAATACCAGAAAGAGCAGATTTCACGCACCTCTCCCTCCCCCCCCCCGGGCCTGACTAAGCACGCATCACATTCGGAAGGAAGGAAGTCCTCCTAGACTGCCAGTCCCAGTCAAGCTACCGTCCATATCAACCCCCGCGCTCTCTCTCTGACTGACTAGCGAGAAGATCCGCGCCGGCAGCCGCTCGCACCACCTCCAGCGAAGCGAAGCGGCAGCCGCCAGTCCCTCCCTCTCCCAGCCACAGGTCGCGGAGGGCCTACAGCAGCAGCTGCAGCTGCTTGTTGGCTAGCGACCCCATGAAGTAAATACCAACTGCCCGGACAGGCAACGTCTGTAATCCGCATCCGCACCCCCCAGATCGCTACCATCGTCGTCGTCGCCCATTTCGGCGGTACGTTACGTTACCGGATTGAAACACGTCCCTGCTGCTTCTGCTTCTGCTTCTGCTTCTGCTTCTGCTTCTGTTCTGCCCGGACAGCAGCATGCATGCATGCATGGTTTCCAACCAGCTCCAACTCCAGCGCCAGGGCGGCGGCGTGGGCACCTTTCTTAATTAATCTACACCTTTTTCTTTCCACCCAACCCACCCGCTCGTGAAGGTTCCAACCACGAGATGGAAAAGCGACGGCTCAAAAATACCGGTACTCTCGATCCGTCTTTCCCCCTTCCCTTCCCCCCCTTAGCTATCCAAAGTCATGTCATGTCATGTCAGATCAGGTCAAGGAAAAGAAAAGAAAAGAAAAGAAAAGAGGTACCGAACTCGCTACATTACTCCCTCCCACCAGGTCCAGGTGCTAAAAAGCCCCCCATCAATCAACATCAACATCAACATCAACATCAACATCAACAACGGGACTCACTCACTCACTCACTCACTCACTCACTCACTCGCTCGCCGCCTTTCTCGTCCTTTCCCATCCCTTCAAGTGCAGAGACAGAAACAGAAACAGAAAAAAAAATTACAAGTACTTTCTTCTACTTTTTCTTTCACTTTCACTTTCACTTCTACTTCTACTTTCCTTGCGATCCTCGCTTCCATCACCATCAGCACAACCAGCACAACCACAACCACAACCACAACAACCACAACGCCGAACTTCCCCCCTCAGCGACCACAGCTAGCCAGCAGAACAGAGCAAATCATGGCATCTTCAACTCCCTCTCTATCATCATCATCATCACCTCTCATCCCCCTCCGCGAGAAGCCAGCCAGCCAGCCATTCAGCCATTCAGCCGCGCCCTCAAAGACCGCCCCAGCCCACGCTCCCTCCCAACCGCAGATTTAGCGAGCGCAGCATCATCGCCCGACCCCCCAGCAGGGCAGGGCACGCAGCCCCAGCTTCGGCGTCAGATGGGTACGGTATTATGGGTGGTGGCCAGAAGGCGTTTCTTTCCCTCTTTCCCTCTTTCCCTCTTTCCCTCTTTCCCTTTTTCTTTCCCTCTTTCCCTCTTTCTTCGTTTCTTTTTTCTTTCTTCTAATTATTATTATTATTATTATTACAATATTGTAGAGTAAATAAATTACCCGCAGAAGAACCAAGAAATTTTTTTTTTTCAACCGAATCATCAACCAGTAACCAATGAGTACCTAGTGACGAGACTTGAATCCGCCAGTTTCCCCCTGGGCCCTCGCGTAAAAAGTCAAGTCGCGATGCACGTCTGGTACGGTACCTGCCTACTTAACTACTACCGACGACGTTCTAGGCGGCGCGAGAGACTCGGGAAGGATATACCTACTGAGGATACTTCCTACCTGAATTACCTAGATATCTTGGAAAGGGGGATAAAATCAGACAGGAGATAGGATAGCGGATCCGCTGGGCTGGGGTACGGCGTGGTGTGGTGGCCGTTTGAGACAGACGCCAGACGAGACTGAGTTACGCACGCATCACCACATCACAACATCTGGAGAGCCAAGTTTTCAAAAGAGCTTCATTTTTGCACCCCCATCCCGGCTGCACCTAAGAAATCATACGCGCAAGCCATGCATAAGAGCCACGGAACAACACCTCGCAGGTAGCCCATCGTCGCCAACAAGCAGCCCCAGGTATTATTCCCAATCCGAAAATCAAAGACCGCAAATACGAACGTGAACGCAGAGACGGAAAAAAGCAGCCAAGTGATAGGACAAGCCTTCACCCAAGGCATCATAATACAATAGCTATTCATGAGGTCATGCTAAGCCCTGCCATGTTCATTAGAGAGTTCCGAGCAACCCAATCCCTGGACGATGGCGAGCAGAGATCCATACTATCCCATGGCGTCACCTCACGCCAATCTCGTCAATCGTATCCTTGTTCATCGCCACCCCTATCATATTTCCCCTCGCTCTCATCTTGGTCCTTGAGTTGGTTGTACACGTTTCACCATACTGCGGACCGGATTGTTGGGAAATTATGTAGAGATCAGAGGCTCATCGTCGAGGACTGGTGCCTTGAACTCCTCCTTTGGAGCGGCAGGGAAGTCGAACTCAGACTTCTGGGGTGCAACAGGGAAGTCCTCACTCTTGTATGCAGGGGCGGGGGTGTTCTCCTGGAGAGACTCGGTCTTGGCGGGCTTCGCGGACGCGACGGGAGAAACGGAACGGTTGCGCCCGATAATCCCCTGTGCCTTGGCAGAGTAGTCGCCAACGAGGGTCTTGGTTGTCTCGGTGGCTCGTGCGGCTTGCTGGCTGGCGAGGGTCTTGACTTGTTCGGTCTGTTGGTTGATGATAGAAGAAGCTCTGGCGAGGTTCTCGTCGATGAACTCCTTGTTGGTGGTGTAGATCAACGGGACGAGGAAAAGAACCGAGGTTGCAATCAGAGAAAGGCCCCAGAAAGGAACCACCTTGATCAGGTAGTAGGAGATGAAGGCGGCAATGAAGGCCTGGGATTCGTTAATGGAGGTTGCCGCACAGAGCTCAAGGGTGAACTTACAGCACCAGAGGCGAAGATATTCTCGGCAAAGACGATTTGCTGGGCCTCGATGACGAAGAAGTTGATAAGCTCGTGGACATCTCCGATCAAAGAGTTGAGGCTCTCCTTCGAAACGGTGTAATACTTCTTGGGACGGATCTGGGAGGTGAGACCGTTAGAGATGAGAGCCTTGCCGAGCACCTCTGCCAGAACAGTGATGCCCAGAGTCATATATGTGAGCTTGAAGCTGTACCGGATGATGTCGAGGTAGCGGGCGGCGAATATGAAGAGAACGGTTGCGAGGTAAGCAATGCCGGAGGCGCGGGGGTTCTCCCACGACAGCAGGCTGGAGAAGAAGGAGTGGTAGTGGGTCAGAGGTTGGCCGGTGGCAGCAGGGGTGGAAGGGGTTGCGCGAGAGGCAGCAAGGTTGGAGAACTCATTCGAGGTCTTTGTGGTCTGGTCCTTGATGTTCTCCACGACTGGGCCTGCTATCATCATCAGCTGTGGCCTGTAGCAGAATTTTTCCTAAGATATGGTCGACTTCCATACCGTTCGCGACGCTCTGGGTGAGAGGGTGGTTCTTGACGGCACCGGCAGCAGCTGCAGCATCTGCGGGTTGGTCAGTTTGGAGAGGTCGGAGAGTTCGGAAGCTTGAGTAGACTGTATCATGCATTGGTCAGCCTTGGTAATCGAGATAAGCTGGGAGAAAGCTACTACGAACCTCACTATTGACAACTGCGTCCTTTGCGCTCTGCAGACCGTTGGTGGTGGTAGAGCTGGAGTCATTCTCGATGGATGGGACGAGGTCGTCGTGGTGGTTGTTGGTGAAGTCAGACATGTTTGAGAGCTCTCTCAATGGCCTGATCTGATGTGAATTGTGGGTTTTTTTGCTGGTGTTTGAAGGTGGGAGTGGCAGCAAAGGTGAATGGGGAGGGTTGATTTAGTTGTTATCTTTGGAGAAGAGGTGATGATGGATGGTATGAGTCTGGTCTGCGACAGGATTCTGGAGGAGACTTTGACGATACCTGTGGTTGTGGTTGAGGGTGTGGTTGAGAGTGTGTGGTTGAGGGTGTGGTTGTGGGTTTGTGGTTGTGGTGGAGCTGAGTAAGTTGGATGGGATGAAAGCTGTTTGCATTGGATTGTCGGGAATTGTATGTCGGGGGACAACGAGCGAATCAGAATCGGGCTTAGTTTGGCTTGGCGTGGTCGCGTGTGGCATTTTCTTGCTTTTTCGGCTTGTGGCTTGACATCGGGAGAGCGATGACGTGCCGTGTGGTGGGTGTGGTGGGTGTGGTGGGTGTGGCAGGATCAGCTCACGGGGAGGCTCACGTCAGGTCGGTTGGGGGGGGAATTGGAATTGGCAGAGGGGCCAACAATAATAATAATAGTATTATGATTGATGATTAATAATACTACCAACAACAACATTTACCTGTTAATTACATGTGTATTTAGACAACATTATATCTATACACACCATACATGCACATTATACATTCACCTCGATCTACCTCATGCCCCTATCCTCCACCCTGCTGTCCAAGACACATTATCGTTGGTTGACTTTTAGCCTCTGGCATGTGATCACAACGTACGGGTCAGGCAGAGACAAAGGTCTCTTGTATAATATCCAGATTCCCATCGCTGGGGAAAAGGAGAAGCAAGACGGGGAAAGCAAGCTCGTATATTTAAATATATATTGTTGCTACCTCTGGGTAGGTACCCACCCACCTATCCCTTTCGCTTATTGTGGGACAGATAAATATTTATATATGGGACCTCCCAGCTTTGTCTACCAGATCCAATATACAGTAATATATATATATATATATTCTTAATATGTGTGTGTGTGTGTAAAATTATATAAAGATGTGGATTGACCAAATCATTGCTCTATTGCTTTCACACACTCTTCTTCGTCGACTACCGGTATGCGTCAGCATCGCCTCTCATGAGGAGCCGATCTTTTTCTTGTCAATGAAATGTCTGGGCATTAAGCTGGAACATACCTATCATCTAGTGCAGGCTTCACTCAGATCTGATTCTCGTCCACGTAAGTCTGCCTATACGTTTACTACCAAGTGCCTGTTCCAAAGTACCAAATCAGCTTGAAATCCGCAAACTACCTGGATACATACAAGAGAAGACCCGACCAGCGACATGTCGGAAGTATGTCTTGACTGACGATGATAGTCTTTTGAGAAACCGGAATAGAGCGTACGCTGCTGGGAGTTTCACTTGGACCCTCAAATGCCAAAGCAAGAAGCATACCGATCGGTTGAGCCTTGTACTAGCGCACGCGCAGAAGAGGGAGGGCAAGCTCGTCGTAGTCACTGGTCTTCATATTGCGACCCTACCAAATGTGCAAGAACCATCCACACTAGGCATGCAGAAATCCCCTCACGGTTCGAAATCCCATGCTCTCCGAAAACCAAACAAGCTTCGTGATACAGCATCGTTCGGGAGTTCAGACAAGCGTCTCCACTGCAACTAGAAGAATGCAAACTTCGATATATTTACAGGCTCGGCAGCACTTGGGACTAAAGACAGGAATCGAGAGGGCAGGATTTCTTGCGGTCGATAATACGAGATCAATTCGGTGAAACGCATGGCAGAAGCGAAAAGGGGAGATTTTCGCATTCCGAAACAAACTTCCAATACCAGCTATGAAAACCATCTTCCGTACCCCTATAATCTCCTCGCCCACAGCCCTGACAATACCCACCCCTAGCAGTACAACTACGAGGGCACTTGATGCTGCCACTATCAGTCAACACACTCTTCGCTTATATCGTAGTCCGCCCCCTCTTTGGGCCTTGCACCTTTTGGACTGCCACCCCTCCAAGCCCCAGTCTTACGCGCCAAACCACCAACACACAAAACCAAGAGCGAGCGCGCACTATCTCCTGCGCAGAAGCAGAATAGCGAGGTCTCTATTCCACGAACTCTTCAATCTGACTCCCCCATCATATCATATAATGAAAAGGGTTGGCCTCCTCCATCATCATCATCGACTCTCTCTCTCTCTCGCCCATAATGAATGCTCGCCTAACCCCTCTTCCTTCGCGCCATCACCTCACCGAGAGCTTTGGGAACAAAGACAGTTGCTGTGAAAGGACTTAACAATCTCGAGAAGCAGAGTCTGTATATCCTGCACTTGTATCGGCCGTACGCGCGCGGCGTTGATACACCCAGCCGCGAAACCAGGAAGGAGTCTTCGACGCTCAAGTCCGCCCAGCCCAGCCCAGCCCAGCCCAGCCCGCCCGCACGTACGGGTTAGAATGGAGGAGTCGAGGGGACGTGACTACTTCTGTCTGTCTGTGATCGGGCACCGGTTTTGGCTCTCACCGATCGAGATCTTCCGACTTTCTCTCTCCTGGGTATCCATTCTACTGACTGACCGTCTTCACTTCCCGGACGAAAGTAGCCAGCGTTGCGTTGAGCGGATACTCGGAGAGCACGCGTACGAGCTTGTGGGCAGATTCTGCAGCTGTGTATGCATGGTTCAGACGCTGCCGGGCCTGCGCTATCGTGGAGTGGGTGGGGCATCCGTGGACTTCAATCGCGTTCTAGCCCCCCGAGGAATTCGAGGGTGTCCGTCTAGAGTTTTTGCAGCGCTGAAGGCAGAATACGTACGACTCCCGTGGTGGAGGTGATGCTGTTGCAGCCGACTCTCGAGTTCGGATGGGTATTTCGAAAGACACATGTCACACATTAGCACTGGATAGCTGTTTTACACCCTCCGATATTTATTGCAACGCCTGATTGTAGAGAATCATTTGCAGAGTCGTCAATATCAACGGATGAATGTAGAGCCGGGTTCGTACCTGGTCTCAAATCCCCCCCCCCCCTTTTTCCTTTCTTCTCCCACTATTCTCTGTGCACCAATCTTCACATTGGAAAGTCATAATTGGTCATTCTCGGTAAGATAACATGCAAAGCCATTGATTTTCTTCTGTCATACGTCTTTTGAATAAGATTTCTTCAAAACGTTAAATGATGATCCCTGCCATCAATCAAGGTTTCGGCAGCTCTCTCAACTCTTCCTCGTCGGTACCCCCCCGTCTCCCGTCAGCAGTTCTCGCTTCGTCTGCCCCCTTCGGCTCGTGCTGATACAACTCCATGTTGACAAACATCGCGAACATTCCGAGATCGTACGCGATCCGCAACGCTCCGGCGGCCACGATTGCAATCCAGAACCTGTGTTGCCCGGCCAGCACCCCTGTGACAGTAGGTCCAGAAGCTGAGGCCAGAGTCCGCATCATGCTAGTGATCTGAGAGACGGTTGAATTAGTCTGGGTCAACCATAGCTGCTTAAGGGAAGGGGTTCGACAATGTCTTGATCTTGGGACCTTGATTCTTGGGGCAAAAAAAAAAGGGGGGGGGGGGGGGGCCGGGGACTTACGCCCATGATAGCGGTCCGCTCCTCAGGCTTGACGACTGCTGCGATGAAAGCAGCGCGCGGTGCTTGGTCCATGTTATTCAAGCCGGTACGAATAAAGAGCAGAATGACTGTCATCGCGAGGCTTCTGGGAAGCGGAAAGAGGAGGACAGCGGTGCTCGATGGCAAGTGCGTGAACACCATTGTGTTCACGAGCCCGAGACGCCGACAGAGAGGCGAAGCAAACATGGTCGAGACGAAGGAGAGGAAGTAGCTGATCGACGTGATATCTCCCAGCGTCGACTTCTCCATGTGGAACTTCTGATCCATGTAGTAGGCTGTCAGCGTGTAGGGCGCCATCCCATCGGCCAGAGAGTCGGCGGCCAGCAAGAACCAGAGTTTGTACATCGTCCCACGGGTCTCCGGCGAGATGCGGGCGAAGAGACGCTGCTCCTTCTTTTCCGTTGTCTGCTCCGTTCGGGCGGCGTCGTCCCTCTCTTCCTCGTCCTGACTGCTGCCGTCTGCGTCATCCAGCAGCATCTCGGCTTCCTCTGTGGCCTTTTCTTCTTCTTCCATCTGCGGCGCTTCGCATCTGTCGCTCAACAGCGCCATGAAAATCATATTCAGCACCCCCACTCCCGCGTAGACCCAGAAGACAGCATGGTACGCCTCTGAGAGCGTCCATCCATCCAAGTGTTGCAGGTAGTCAATAACCCGCCCGCTGGCCTCCGTCCCCACCGACTGACCCAAGGTCGCCACGGTCACGTACCAGCTCAACACGTCGGCCCTGGACTTGGGCCCTGTCAAGGTTGACAGGATCGACTCCTCGATTGCACGGAAGGGCCCGAAGTCACCACCGGTTACACTGATCACCCCAACCACGGCAGCCAACAACAACAGCCAGTAGTTCTCGAAGCAAGCGAAGACCACCCCAGACGCAACCATCATGACCGAGCCACCGAGCAGGATCCGCCGCCGTCCAATCCGGTCCGCGACCGCGGTGAGGAGCACCGAGAGTAAAACATCGCCGAGCAAGGTCAGCGTCATAAAGAGCCCGATGTAGCTGTCCGAAAACCCGAGCTCCGAGAAGAACAAGGCCAGAATCAATCCCACCGTGCCAAAGGCAATCATCCGGCAGCATCGCGCGCCGATGATCAGCCAGGAATCCCGTCCGGCTTCGTACAGAGAATGCAAGCCGAGCTCGCGGTACAGCCATCTGCAACTATCCAAGACGGCCATTGTGGTGTTGGGGTTATGCGTGGAGAGCTGGACGCGTGGAGGAGGTCGCCCGAGAGGATTCCGGCGGCGAGGGTTTACGGGCCATGAGAATTGATTTATATTCTCGGTGGCGACCCACGCACGATCGACGGCATCTCTATTCACCGCTCTTTACTGGACGGCAAATGTTCTAAATATCTACAGCTCATTGGTACAGATTTGCTGCAGTTGGAGCAAAGGTGGGTGGGCTAAGGTACCGACCGGTAGGTAGATAAGTCCCGGTAGGTGGCTGGGTGTAGTGGGGTGAGAGTTTGCGCGCGGCTGCTGGTGCCCACTGGTCAGCCAGCCAGCCACCTGCATCAGAATTATAAGGCTGATATAAAAGGACATGTATGTATGGTATTTGAACAATCGACGGAAAGCAGTATCACTGCTTTCTCCCCCGTTTTCGTTTCTGAAATTCATGGGGGGTAAAAAAACAAAAAAAAAAAAAAAAAAAAAGGTACACTCCAAAAAGAACCCCCCACAGAAAATTGCAAAACTCAACTGGAAACTCAAATGTTTTGGGGTTCCAGTCTACAAACCTAATTGAATAGGTTTTCCGATCATAGCTGTCGCATGTGGGCTTCACGAGAATCTACATCTACACCAACTGGACAGGAACCGGAAATCTAAGCCACTGAGCCATTCACCCCGAGTTCCCGCCAGTTGATGGGAGACGGGCGTGGAACATCTTAGATGAATTAGATGAGAATTTTTTTTGGGGGCGGGGGAAGTTGAAGCGGGAAAAAAAATTATTTATTTGATTTTTTTTTTTTTAGAGGACATTCTCGAGTCAACAGTCCTCATGAAGCCGAAAGCTCTAGCCATTGACGTGATTTACACATATCGATAATTTAATCGAGACTGTTGCAGAGGGGGTTCGCGGGCTGTCTGGCCCTCGAGTGCTGGTCAGAGTAGGTAGTCTCGAAGGCGAAGCGGAAGTGTGCTCCCGGCTCGGATCGAATTCAACGCGCGTACGGGTCTTGCTCAGGCCAGCCATGTGAGTTGTTTCGCTATTTATGTGCAAAAAAGAGAGGGAAAGAAAGAAGTAAAAAACGTAACAGTCTAATGTTCCTGCACTGCTGTGGCGAAGAAAGCACCTAAGGTCGACCTACTATAAACAGTTGTTGTTGTTGTTGTTGTTGTTGTAATCAAGAGAACCGTGCAAAACTGACCGTTGAATTTGTCAAGTGCCGATGGAAATTTGCCCATGAAATCGCCTGCTCCGAGTAGCCAAGATATTGCATGCCGATTTTGCCGCTCGCCATGAACTCGACAGTGATTGGAAGGAGGAATTTCGCAATCGTCGGTTCTCCCTTCTTATCGCAATAGACTTGTTCTTTCTGATTTGGGATGACGATAAGCAGTTAAAAAAAAGGGGGTATGTTTTGATCGGTTAATTTAGTCCACGTGACAGCCCCCCTCCCCCCTCCTTCTTATTTAGTTTCGAACTGCACCCAGGAACAGTTACTCTGAAGCTAATCAAGCGATGCGGTGAAGTGAGTAATCGAATATCTTCTCGGTAGTCCCTGCTGTGATAGCACGAGGTTGTTGTCTTACCATCCCGGGCTATATTTTCACACACATGAAAATCTCATGCAGAAAAATAGATGGGGATAGGTTCTAAAGCTCTATGCGCTCTAACCGCTTACCTCTGCCTGGATATTACCCATCAACTTTGAATATTGATCCCGAGCCGTTTCTTGTAGTACAGATTGGCGGACACATTACTGGAAGTGGAAGTCACTTCTGACATGCAGCATGGCGGGGTGTCACAAATCTTCTCCGCAGATTAAAATCCTCAAGAATCAAGAGTAAGCCCAGCACTGAATCAATTTTCGCCATGGCAGTAATCTCATTGATCGCTCTAGCCACGGGCTCAGCGCTCGCAGTTATACTCTCCTATGCCAGTCTGATCGTCTACCGACTCTATCTTCATCCACTTGCGAGATTCCCAGGTCCAAGGCTCGCGGCTGCCACCTCCTGGTACGAATTCTACTACGATGTCGTTCTCCGCGGACGGTTCATATGGACAATACGGGAAATGCATGAGCAATATGGTAAGTTCAGCATCTAATAACGAGTCGTAATCTTATGGATGCTATCAACAGGGCCTATAGTCCGAATCACCCCCCACGAATTGCACATCAATGATCCAGAGTACTACGACGAGATATATGGCTCGGTTACCAGAAAGCGAGACAAGGTTTACCCTTGGGTTGCCCTAGCTGGCATACCTAATGCCACGTTCTCAACCGTTGGACATGAGCACCACAGGCTCCGTCGCGCAGCTTTAAGTTCCTTCTTCTCAACGAAAGCGGTCACGGAACTCGAGCCCGTCGTGAAAGCGAAAGTGGAGATCCTGGCCAGCCGATTCGAGAGCGCCCAGAAAACAGGAGAAGTCTTCCGTCTCGATGCAGCAATGATGGCTCTAACCATCGATATCATTTGTCAGTACGCGTTTGCGAACGACGACAACACGCTGATGAAGGATGACTTTAACCTCGCCTGGAAAGAGATGCTCGTCGGCGCTCTCGAAGGGGCAGCGTTGCTGAGGCAATTCCCCTCGATGATTTCAATCGTGAACGCGATACCTGAAAAGGCGATGAAGAGCCTGGTGCCGAGCCTCGGCCTGATGCTGGACTGTAAGTGAAGAGTTAACCCGCGAATGCTCCTTTCTCCCCTCCGGGACAATCTCGAGCAGGCAATCGCTGACCCTCGCCCAACCCAAAGGGAAGTCCGGGATCAAGCAGAGCGTGATACCCATCTTGGATCAAAGCGAAAGTGCTTCCCAAATCGAGAACGCCTCTCATAGATCTATCTTTCACGAGCTCCGGGATAGTGACTTGCCACCGAACGAGAGGAGCCTCGACAGATTGTGCGACGAGGCTCAGAGCATCACGGCGGCCGGATCAGAGACCACAGCGAAGGTGTTGACAACTGCTATCTACTATCTCTTGGAAAACCGGGGCTCTCTACAAAAGCTCAAATCCGAGTTGACGGTAGCCAGCCCCGACGCGAGAAATTGGTCGGAGCTCAAACAGCTTCCCTACCTGGTGAGCAACCCTTGCGTGATTCTGATCTTGGACTGAGTGGAATAGTCTGCGGTCCTTGCCGAGTCGCTCAGGTTATCACACGGTGTGACCACAAGATTGCCTCGCGTAGCTACTGAGGAGGTGCTCGTGTACAAGGATTGGGAGATCCCATTTGGAGTGAGTCGAGAGTCGAGACCGAGGTTTTCCTTCTTCTTCTTCTTCTTCTTCTTTCTTTTCTCTTTTTTCTTTTCCTTTTTTTGGGGGGGGAGGGGATGGTCATTGATCACTACTAAAGCCCTAGCAGACACCCGTCAGTTCTTCATCCTATTTCATCCTCATGAACGAGGAGATCTTCCCGAGCCCGGCGGAATTCCGGCCCGAGAGGTGGATCGACGCAGCGGGGAATTTCAACCGGGTGCTCGAAAAGAGGTACCTCGTTAATTTTGGGAGGGGCACGAGGGCGTGCCCAGGCATGAAGTGAGCAGGTTCCTACCGCATCGTTCTTTCCACCTTGCTTACCCGGCTGAAAGCCTCGCCTCCGCCGAGATGTGTCTCACGCTGGCGACCGTCGTCCGTCGCTTCGAGATGGAGCTTTTCGAGACCACGATTGAGGATGTGGCCATGGTGCACGACTTCTTTGTCGCTGTGCCGAAACTCGACTCGAAAGGTGTCAGGGTTAGAGTTCTCAAGTATGTTTGAGGATGCCGCCTGCTGGAGACTCGAGAAGAGAGTGTCCATATCTTTTCAAGAGTCGACCATTCAGGGCATGTCCCATCCTGGTTTCTGAAGCCGAATCTGCTATTTTAAGAAAGTAACCCGTTCGGATTCCTCTACGTATTCTGGGATGTTGATTTACATCAATTTATAGGCAGTTTTTTTTTTTTTTTTTTTGCTCCACCTGTTCGAGTGGTACTACTTTCTTCTTTGGGATTCTCAGCCATAGAAATAGTAATAACCATCGTCGTCTCTATTATCTTTGTTTCCTCGGGCGGATGTTCTCACTTTGTAATGTTTCATATGCTTCTTTATATGAGCCAAGAATTTCATTGCAAATCTCTAGCCATGTATTAGCCGCCTAGCACTGATAACGACAGCCTCTGATGATAAGATTTTAGCGCAGAAGTCACTGAGACTCATGGTAATGTGTTCGGGTTGGGCCTAGAGATAAGCCCCATCTATCATAAGCCACGACTGACAAATAGATCGCTGAGATCTTTGTCTCTGAGAGAATGATAGCATGCCACAGCTTATTTACGGCTGACGGCGCCAAATTCTCGAGACGAATGTGTGATGAGAATGGAATCTGCGACTCAACAGCAAGGCCAAATTTGCGGATGGTGGGCGGTGCAAGATATTGAGGCAAAAGGCGAGATGAATACCAGGTTTCGAGCAATGCTGAGACGAACACAATGACAGAGAGTTGGGTGTGAGAATTCGAACATAAAAATTATCGTACACGGAAATTACAAAAGTCGAATGCTATTTGACGTATAAACATGCAAGAATCCTGGGAGGATTCGGAACCTGATCTCCGACAATATTAACACGTTGTGTCTAAAGCAGCATAAGGTTCCAGGCAGACCAAACCATCACAAAAGAAAGGCATTATTTGTTCTTGGTCTCGTGCTTGCTGTCTTGGCCTTCCAGGTACACCATAAATGGCCATGATCCCGAACTCGACAATCTTACTCCAGGGTTCGACTTCTCAGCTGTTGCAGCCTGAAGGCACTCAACCAAGACCATAAATATGTAGACGCCTATACCTGTGAATATGTGCCAGCTACCAACGGGTCAGCGTTCTTCGTCAAGTTCAGGACGGCGGGGATTTATATTGCACATACAGTCCGTGAAGCTCTAGCACAGCAGCCCCGGGCATGCCCACCTCCTTCCTCATCTGTAGTAAACGGCCACATGCTTTCATGTCTGTGATCCAACAAATGTGTCCTGTCACGAAGAAACCTACGCCGCTGATAGCAGTCCACTTCATCTTCTTCCTCATCGCATCATCGCCTTCCAACTTCGAAATGAGCTTGAAGCATGTATGCCAAAGCCAATAAGCCATGGTCGTAAATACAATCTGCTGGAGCGTGCTCCCTCCTGTTAGGACTTGCGAGATGATCACAGCACCCATAAGGCCGCTCAGACCCAAGAATAAGGACCGAGGTGAGAACCGCGTCTGCGAGAAGGCGAGGAGACGGTAGAAGACGAGAAAGGTAGCGATGAGCATCGAGAACTCATCGCACATTTGCGTGCCATACTTCAAGCTGGAATGGAAGAGGCTCGATGCGATACCGAGGTTTATGAGAGCGATGTAAGGCAGCATAGGTCCGATACTTCGCTCGCCATGCTTGCGCGCGTTGATGATGCCTTTGATGCCCAGTCCGACTACAATTATCAACACTCCTATCCAAGTCATGATATCCTGCGAGGGATTACTTACTGTACGTCAGGTTCGTAAGGGTGTTGAAGAGCTCGGCTATGTATGGCGTAAACTGATAGTCCTGTGACCAGCACGTGAATTAGCTCAAAATCGTAACTGAGCAGGATTCACGACTGGATAAGCAGAGCTGGCTGAAATACGGAATCATGAGCGAGCATGAGACTGAATCGATAATGACTAAAATACCTCTTCACAAAAGCTCAAAGACGTAATTAGCTTTCAGTCTTGGCAAATAGGAGAAGGACATATAACTTACTTGAGCGTGCTGGTTGGAGGACCCCAAGCAGGTTCGTATCCGACCCCCGATGAAGGGATATAAAAGTCGGGCATTTTAGTTCCTTCGAGTTCCAGTTTGGAGTCGGACGGTCCCAATCTTACAGGAAGGCCCGTCGTCGTCGAAATATATTTTTAGGTGATGACTATGATTAGTAAGCAGCAGCTCATAGCGCCCATCTCCTTGTATTATTTAGACGAGATAAAAGTGGGTACTTACCCCAGCATGTCAACAAACACTGATAGAAGTTCAAACAATATGCAGAGGGAGATTTATGCTCTAGAAGAAAGTCCTTACCCAAGAATTTTGTCTGTAGCTTCTCTCTGGTAGCGTTGCTCTTGCTTGAATCAAGCATGCTTCTTCATCTTGTGACTCTGCTTGAATGCAGCAACTTCATGAATATGCATTAATTCATGTGAATGCATCAGATATATATTACATTTGTAAGGTCAGTATAATACTCTCGCTCTTTTCTTTCAATGTCGGAACGCACAAGCGTGGCTTACAACACTTTTTCTGTTAAAGATATAATCTCCAGCGGCCTAAATAGCGAAATCTTCTACTAGCTCTTCACTTCAGGCAAACCCTATCAAAGACACATCAATCAGCCCTCTGGATATGCCGTCGTATCATAAATGCACCTCAAGTGGATATTGAATCGCCAGCTTCCTACGACCGGGCCAACCGTCATCGAAATGTGCTATACCTATATGCACGTCGGTACGCGTATAGCAACTGCGGCTGCATAGTTGACGACTGGCACGTCGTCTGCCAACATGGAATGGGCTGGGGCCAGGGATATTAAAAGGAGTGCATTCAAGAGCCTCCTTCTCCTATAGTAATACGAAAAGGGCACTGCAAACGGTGCAGGACAAATCGTCGTACTTGTGAAGTGATGTAAAACAGGTACTTTTGGACGAGGCGCAAGGATCAAGGGAGGGGTAAAGATAGAGAAACACACATTATGGCTACATAGTTTGAAATTGTTGGTGCGAGGTAATGCTAGGCGACCAGGCCAATCAGTTATGTTCACCACCACTGCCTTATTTTTACTTCACCGCAATCGTATTTAATAATACATTGGTTTGTCTTGGCTGGCCCTGAGGTATATTCTCATTTGATATTTTCTTGTAGTCACAGTCAAATTCTCTTATGCAATAGCTGCTAGTCCGACAACACTTAAAAGAAAAATGATACCTCTGGAGTCTAAAGTTCAAGCAAAGGAATACATCACATCAAGCGGCAAGCCATATTTCTCCCATTATAGTAAATAGACCCCAACAGTTATCCTTTTTCGGTCACTCGCAGATTCTACGCAGCAACGAAACCCACCCTCAAACTCCAAGCATATCTCAAGTCCCAACTTTCAAGACTTTACACCGAGACAAAGATCTCAATCATAAGATGTGTATATGGAAGGAGGCACGGTGCCAGCGTTGCAGAAATTTCGGCGACCCTGCACGGAAACGATGCGAGAAGTTCTACCAACGCGACCTAGAGACCGGAAGCTCGTGTCCTAGGACTGAGCCTATAATCAAAGATGCGTCTCGGTGGAAGTGCTGTTGCAGATGCTAGCAGGAAGGGAAGAGGCCTTAGTGGCTGTGTGGTGTGTCCATACGAGCGTGGATATTGAGGCTGCAGAAGAGGAGGATGAGCGAGGGTGGTTCCATGAACTGAAAAGCTTTGGGGCTGGGACCCAGGAAAACAGATCGGAACACGGAATTTTGGAGTGAGGGTTTGAAGCTGGTGTGAAGGTACTGAAAAAATATCAAACATATATATCACTGACCCAGTAGATGTTTGTTCTCAAAAACTCGAGCACTCCAGTATCCGAGTTTTAGAAGTACAGTCAGTCACAAGAGAACGATGTGCGATTGGAAGAATATCAAGGAAATAGACCAGTATAAAGACCAGAGATCCCTCTAATCTACGCTGCTCACAGACCAAATCAAATTGAGTCCCAAGCTGACGATTCCATCTGTACATTTTCGCAAAGTTCATCCGATAATTTCTTTTCGATACGACCTAAACCAAGACAGCCAGCCAGCCAGCCAGCCAGCCAAAAAAAAAAAAAAAAAAAAAAACAACAGCGAAAATCTCTCAACGAGTACTCGAACGAGAGTTCCTGGAGGGAGCTTTCTATACTTTGAACATAAACAGCAACATCGCGAAAATTTACAAGTTTCACCCTCCCTCAACTTGAAGAGCGCCGTCAGCCAATACAGTAAGCGAGACCAAACCGTGAAGCCTACGTCTTCAAGAGTTGCCTCCACAGCAGCCCAGAAGCTCAAAGGATGCCTAACGATGGGATTTTGTGCTCAAGAGAACAAATGACTGCATGTTTATCAAGCGACCTAAGGAGATAAGGATCAAGGGGTGCTGTGAAGGATGCGAGAAGGGGGATAGTATATGGAAGAAACAGGAGGGGATGTTGGGTAATCGAAGTATTGCAAGGGGTAGGGGAGTGGAAGGAGCATGGGAGTCGTGAGATGTAGTACAGAATAGATGGTTGGATTTCTAGTGGTAGGGTGTTGCGTGAATTTGTTGGGATGGATCAGTTCAGGAGTAAGAGGGGTGGACAGGTGGTAAAGCTGGCTAAGACAACTGGAGAGGCAAACCAGCAAGCCAGCAAGCCAGCAAAACAGCAAAACAGCAAAACAGCAAGCAAGCAAATGGGCTAGAAAATTTGTCAAAGCCTCTGTCTTCCACGCAATATAGACACCCCAGATGAAGTGTTTCAATAGTTTCTCCTCCCGGCCAGAATTAAACCCCAACACGTATTTTTGGAGGCTTGTAAATTCCTTGGAAATAAAGGGAGGCCGTATTGGATGAAGAAATCCTCAAGGGAACCTTAACCGAACAAAGGACTATAATAATCAAGCATGTAGAGGCAGCAGCACCTGCTCGATCTGCATCATATGCCCGTATCAAGTTGCCGTGGCTTTCCCAAAAGCTTTCTACACATCACAGACTGATTCAAACCAGATGCATTTATTCTCAAATGCCAATTTGGTACAGCCTTCTGGATATTCGCAGTGCAAATCTACCACCTTGACGCCCCCAATGCTTTTTCGACTTTCCAGTCCCGGTCAACTCCGATATACGCCATCCGACCCCCCCTCCCCCCCTAGGTATTACCCACCCCACCTATACGCAAAGTCGGTAACTGGCATATCGTCCTGCAGTCTCCGACTTTCGTATAATCTTTACCACTTGCCCTCGCCTTAGGCCAAGGTACTTCGCGACCGGATCGTTCAATTGAATTCGGGGAAGCTGAGTATCTTTCAACCGATATCTCTCCAACAGCGCCTTCTTCTCGTCCCTGCTCAGGGTGATGTGTTTAGGAACTAACTCGTGATGAGTGATGTTGACCAGCAGATCGGCGTCCATAAAGCACTCAATGCGCGTCTCGGAAGCGACAGCGGGAATGATCTTCAGCGCGGCGGGGGTGATAGTGACGGCAGTGACGAGGATACCAGTGGCGAAGCTGTTTGCAGAGCAGTACTGGGCGAAGGTGCGCATTTGCTTGATTCCGACATTTGTCTCGTTCAAGAACTCGACCCAGACGGTGCCAATATCGGAGGTGCCATCGGGTAGGGCGTACTGCTTCATCATCTTATCGCTGGGGCGGGCGGAGAACTGCATCCCTTTGCGGCTATATATGTATGTTGATCAGTATGGTTAGGTTCATTTTCGGTTCCTTTCCTTTCATTTCTCTCGGGCTGTTTGATACGGAGAGCCTTACTTGATGCTGCCATCCGCGAGGGTGTATGTGCTCTTAAAGTCAGCGAAGGAGATTTTGACTTCTTCTTCCGAGAGCTCGTAGCCGCGATCTGCTACCATCTCGTGGACCGTTCGCCATGCGCGCCAAAGACGAGCAGCCTCTCGATCACCAGCCTCGCGCTGCTTTCTCATGCGATCCTCGTTGTCCATCGTGGCGGCAGGTCTTTGAGGAGGATGAGGAAGAAGCGGAGAATGTAGAATGGGGAGTGGAGAATGTGGATGGTGGATGGTGGATAGTTCGTGGACTCGAGGGTAGAGATTGTCAGATTGTTTCGCAGCAGCAGCTTTTCAAAGATTCAAAGGGCCGACATTTTTCCGACACTTGGGTAGAGGTACGGAGGAACGGGCAGACTTCGGCTGAACTGCAACTTCGGCTGAACACTTACATAATTAATTATCTGTTCAACTCCTACGTATTCTCAACAATCCTTTTTCAACCTCCATCTTCACCCAAAATCATTTCAAATTTTATAATCTGGCTACGATGGCCGAACTCGCAACACCCTCCGGCGCAGCCATGTTCGACGCTGGTGGTGCGAAGAAGGAACACAAGAAGCCCGAGAAGCCAGACGAGGAGGCATACAAGGCCGCCCTCAAGAAAGCGGAGAAGGAGTATGCAGACAGTATGGCCAAGCTGGTAAGTTGACTCATTGAATGACTATTCACTTATTACTGTATCGAAGATTCATGTCGATGGCGACGTAAAGTGACCCTACGCAAGGCGACGCAACTTTCTAACTTGTCACAGAACGCTGTCAAGGCCAAATTGGATATCGCATTGCCCACCTCAAAAGACTCGCCCGCCGCGAAGCGCCGTGCAGATCTGCTGGCTCAACTGAGGGAGATCATAGAAAAGCAAGGTGCAGGAAAGGCTGGTCGCAACAAAATTTTTGAGGAGATGAGGAATGAGGAGGCCAAGATGAAGGATCTGGTTGCTCAGCAGAAGGCTGCGCGCAGCCGGGTTGCCTTCAAGAGCGTTGAGGATCTTGACCGCGAGATAGCCAGAATCGAGAAGCAAGTCGATGGTGGAATGATGAAGCTCGTTGACGAGAAGAAGGCCTTAGCCGAGCTCTCTAACTTGCGCAAGCAGCGCAAGGGATTTGCCGGTTTCGATGATGCTCAAAGGCAGATTGACGAGAAGAAGGCCGCCGTGAAAAAGCTCAAAGACACCCTTGATGACCCCGAGTCCAAGGCTCTGTCCGAAAAGTTCACCAAGATCCAAAGCGAATTGGACTCGATCAAAGCCGAGCAAGACGAGGCATACAAAGGCATCAACAGCCTGCGCGCCGAACGTCAGAGACTCCAAGATGAGCAACAACTCAAGTACCTCGCGATCAAAGCCACGAAGGACGCCTACTACCAAGCAGACCGTGCTGCTCAAAAATACGAATATGAGGCCCGTCAAAGAGCCAGAGAGCGCAAGAAGGCCGAAAACGAGAAGTTCCAGCAAGAGAAGAAAAAGGAGCGAGCGCAAAAAATGCTTGAAGAGGCCAGCGACAAGGCTTACCTTGACGAGATCCGCCGTGCCGAGTCTCTACTCCGTTTCCTCGACCCGTCCTATTCCGCCGAGAAGGCACCCCTGCAGGCACCTTCGAAGCACACCATCACCGATGTGAGAAAGGTTGACGACAGTGGGATCAAGGGCTTCAAGGTTGTTCGAAAGGAGGAAGAGGATTACTTCGCCGGTACTGGAGGCAAAAAGGGAAAGAAAAACAAGAAGGCCGCCGCTGCTGCAACTCCTGACACGCCTACTACCTCAGTCAGCAAGTACAGCTGCCCACCCGCCGTTATGGAGGATTGCGCCGCTATGGGACTCGAGCCACCGATGAGCGCTGCAGAAATCCCAGAGGTTCGCGAGAAGGTCAAGGCCAAGTTGGAATTCTGGAAATCTGATCAAGCTGCCCAAACCGAGAAGGTATGTTCACAAATTTACCAGTCTGAGATTGTCTACTAACCAAGCTCTTCAGAACATCGCAAAGGCTCGCAAGGAATTAGAGCGTCTCGAAGCCGAGGAGGAGGAGGCCTCATCTTCCACCCCAACAACTGACAGCAAGGTCGCCGCTTCCGCCTCAGAGGTTGTCGCCAACGAGATCAACCTCGTGAAGAGCGCAGTCTCAGACGTGGTCGCTGACCTCAAGAACGCCACCATCGGAGACAAGGCGGAGTAGACTTGCCGTCACACATTCTACCTTGCACTTCTCTCTCCTCTTCTCTTAAATAATAACAAATTAGGGACTCAAGCATGTCTCTCACCCGATTTTCCCTCTGGGTTGGAAGCCAAAAGTCATTTTCAGTTTAGCACTTGCTGCGAGGGACGGGAAACGGGGACGTTCCAAGTCTTTCTATCTTTTATTTTGGGCGGGGCTCTGCTGCTTCTTCCTCCGCGTGTGTGCGTGCGGATGTGGATTTGCCGTTCCAGTCATTGCCTGATCTGGAGAATGAGTGAATTGCATTGCGGTTGGATCAGGCTACGAAATCTTTGCTGTAGACTGCATGCATCCGTGCCTGCTTGCTTCTTTGCATCTTGGGCGCAGGAAAAAAAAAATACTTGATTTTTAATCCTACCTATTTTTGCTGTCTATAGCTCCGTAAGATGTATATCTACGTAAGCCAGCTCGCTTATCCAACCAAATGAACACTTACTCAATTACCTACGTACCTACCTACCTACCTGCTTATACGACGAGGCGCCTTCGGGCTCATTCGTCCCCTCCCTTTTTTAAATTATATTACTTTCATATACGTCTCTACGAAGTAAGTGGAACTTCAAGGTTTGAGCTTGGGTTTGAGAACGTAACGGCTTTGACGGCTCCGCTCAGAGAGCTTATGGAATTCTGGAATGGAGTCTTTAATATCAATGAATGAATGAGTGGATAAGTGGATAGGAGGAACTGATTGGTTACTATGCTATGCTATGCTATGCTATGCCATGTACATACACGTTTGCATGCCAGTCCAGTCCAGTCCAGTTCATCCACGAAAGCGTAAAGTTATCCAAGTCCACATCCTATATATAGCTCGAGTTCTTGCGTGACCGACCGTGTGGTACAGTCCTTCCTATGTAGGTATGCTATGTACCTATTCTATGCCACGCCTCGCTATGCTATGCTATGCTATGCTATGCTATGCTATGCTATGCTATGCTACTGCAATCTACAGAGAGAGATGATTTGAGAGGGAAAGAGGAGAGAGAATTTGAATCCGTGATTTTCGTCAACGCGTCCAAAGGGTTTTCCGACTTCTGTCTCGACAATGGGCCGGCTTGGCTCTTTTCGGGACGGCTACCTTCGCATCTTCGTATTTTCCTAGTGTTGTCCACTACTCCCATTCATCAAATTCTCTCTCTCTTTCTCCCACTCTCTCGCTCTCCAGCCCAGATCTCATATTGTTGGATTACGCCCTTTCCCCTTTTCTTTTCCCGCATTGCGTACACCAAATCCTCGGTATCCAGGCTACACATAGCCATATCCAGCCACATGCGGCGGCGCGTAAATGGGGCCCGGCCGTGCTCTCCCCCCATCTCGTTCCCCAATAGCAGTAGGTGGCGCTGGGACCCTCATAACCCTCTCCCTACTCTCCATTAACCCATCTCTCTCCCCTCTACTCCTCCTCCGCCGTCTCCTATCCTCCGTCCTCCTTTCCTCGATCTCACTCGGTTCCCGCAGTCTGACTTTCCTGCCCCTCTCCCTTCCCATGCCTACACCACCGAGAGCACTCATCGGCGGATCCCTCACCCCTGGGTCATCGTCTCCTGGCAGGTTTAGATCCACCAATCCGTAAAAATATTCCAAAACTTCAGGGTATCGCTGCACGGAAGCCTTCCAGTCCTCGTCGATGCCGCGTTTGAGTTCTAGGTCTGCGGCCGCGATCTCGGACGGGTGGGGACGGGCGCGGTAGTAATAGGCTGCGCGCTCGGTGACGCGGTGGATAGTAGAGGCGTGGAGGTCTTTCCGCCGAGCTGTGAGCATGCTGAAGTAGGAGAGGATGTAGTCCTGGGCATGACCGCGGACCCAGGCGCTGAAAAGCATAGAACGTTAGCTTTGCTTTCCAAATGGAGATATTGGGCACTGTAGTAGAAGAGGCGGTGTTTGAAATGAGGGTTGGTGACATATCCGAGGGTGATTAGGAGGGAGTGATAAAATTGTCTAGTAACGTACCGTATATCATTAAACACACTCGTCATCATCCTCTGCTCGGCCTGCCGCACAGCAATATCAAGACCCTTGGCCTCACACTCGCATTGAGCCAGAGCCGGCTGGCTGCAAATGGCACAGTCGGGATCCATGATCTTGACAGACTGCTTTCTTCTGCTGTGCTTGATTAACATGACTTCTGGAAGAAGGTAATCTGGCATAGCTGATGCGAGAACAACCCGACTATATAGTTAGATGTGGGGAAGGGTTGGAGGCAAAGAAGACAGCATAGTCTCCTCCCGACTTGGTTGGCTATCCACAAGCCGGGAGAGAGGCACAAAGGGAGATGCATCTTCTCTTGTACATAAACGGGTATAGAGGGTGCTGTGCGCATTGGACCGCCCGCATGATGGGGAAGATGGGGAGTGTGACAAACCATGAGTAGAAAGGCCTAGAGGAGTTGTGTGGGAGGATATGGAGATCACCCACCTGTTGTCTTGATATCTCGATCACGCTTCCCTCTTGAAGGTAGGTAGGGAAGTACAAGAGGTACGGAAGGAAGTACAAGAGGTATGGAAGGAAGAACAAGAGGTAGGGAAGCTCAGCAGCTTAACCGCAGGTCTCTTCGGGGACATCCAGCAAGCCACGTACTGACCGACTCGGCAGAAAACTAATATTAAAAGACGGGTTTGAGGCCAAGGAAGTGGCTCGGAACGCAAAGCGTGAAGGCATTCGCAGCGCAAAATGTCGTTCCAGCCAGCGCAACAGTAACAGCAACAAGTGGCAGTAGCAGTAGAACAGCAAATGTCATGTATTCGGCTAGTCGTCCTTTGTGCTGGCACAGAGTGGAGTAGGTCCTCTGCGCAGAGCAAATGGGACGGCCCCAACACTCCAGCAGCACTTGGTGTCGTGGCTCGCATGCTGGCCATCGCGTGCGCAAGTCCGCTGCATGGTCCGGGGCAGGCGTGGCATACCTATTATGACATCCTGTTGGTGGGAAGACCGAGGAGAGTATGGGGTCTGCAGCAATAGGTGCAGAGCCGAGATGGGTGGGATGGACTGCCTTTCCTTCTACACCGCTTAGATGCAATGGTGACGGGGACGGATGATTTTTAAAGTTATATATAGATCAAACCCAGATAGGAGAGAAGATGGATAGCTTGGATGACAGAGGATATGCGAATGGCGAGATGAAGGGAGACAGAGGGAGAGGGAGAGAGCGAGTTGCTCTGTTCTAGCGGGACGGATAAAAGCAAACAAACCGCGAATTTACCGAGTTTAGTCGAGGGGAATAGCGGGGATCGTTTGGTCTCGTGACATTTCGATGGAATACGGTGGACGATCCACACCCCTGACGCTCTACGGCGGGCGATAAGGCAATTCATACATCCAATATCAAACTCAAAGCGAACTTCCAACCTTCTGCCTCGACCCAGCGACACCCACTCCTGCTTAGTGGTAAGATGCCACCACGATGTCCAACTCTGCCCGGGACATTGACACCCTTTCTTTACCCCTCCCTCCTCTCGCAAACCCCTAAATTCCTATTACGAACACCCTTTAACCGCCGCCACGAATCGACTAGACCCCACATCCAACTCCCCGAAGAAGGGTCGCACCTCAACCCCCCACCTACCGACTACTCGCGCACAATCTTCACTGATCGCGCGACTGTAACATTATATGCTGGCGCAGGTGGCCATGGCTGCATTTCTTTCCTGCGCGAGAAATACATCGAGGCGGGCCCCGCGAACGGCGGCGATGGCGGCACCGGAGGAAACATTTACATCCAAGCCATGCGCGGCGAGACCTCTCTACACAAGCTGGCGCGGCGCAACATTCTGAGAGCTGGACGTGGAAAAAATGGACAGGGAAGGTCGCGAGGCGGAGAGCGAGGCGACGATGTCATTATCAAAGTCCCCGTGGGGACCGTAGTACGGGAAGTCGAACGCGTGGACCCCGTCGCCATCGAAGAGGAGAGGATGAAGCTTGAAGCCGGAAAAGAAGATGCTGTTGATGGCTCGGGCCCGTGGAAGTGGAGCCGGGAGAAGTGGTTGCTGTACCCCGCTATCACACCAGAGGATGTTGCGACTGCGGAGTTTCCGAGTTTACCCAGGGGGAGGAAGAGTCCGTTACAAATGGCGCAGGTCAAGGGACCAGTGTCACTAGATTTGAGTAAGCCTATGGAGAGGCCGCTATTGCTTGTGGCCGGCGCTATGGGCGGATTGGGGAACCCCCATTTCTGTACAAGGGCCGTCCCTAGACCGAAATTTGCTACGAAGGGGGAAGAGGGGGTCAAGCTCGTGCTTGAGCTTGAACTCAAGTTACTCGCGGATGTTGGACTCGTCGGGCTGCCTAACGCAGGAAAAAGTACGCTCTTAAGAGCCATGAGCCGGAGTCGAGCCCGAGTAGGTAACTGGGCATTCACAACCCTCCAGCCCAATATCGGGACGGTAGTTCTCGACGACCACAAAGGCCGTCCGCTCGCCCGCTGCCAATACGAAGATGGCGAGCCACGCACTCATTTCACCATCGCCGATATCCCGGGTCTCATCGAAGACGCCCATCTCGATAAAGGCCTCGGCATCTCCTTCCTGCGACACGTCGAGCGCGCCCGCGTCCTCGCCTTCGTCATCGACCTCTCAAAAGGCGACGCTATCACGGCTCTGAAAGGCCTCTGGAAAGAAGTCGGCGAGTACGAGCGCCTGAAGATCGCCGAGGAGAGGGAGAAGGCCAATCCAATCGTGCACTGGTCGCCATTCATGTCGCCCGAAGACGCGCTGGCGAATCGGCAGGAGACGATTGTCATCCCCAACGGCCCGACGTTTGAGAATCCGCTGGCCCCCGAGATGCCGAGTATCGCTGGCAAGCCCTGGTTTGTGGTTGCCACCAAGGCGGATCTGGACGGTACCAAGGAGAATTTCGACAGCTTGAGGCGCTACCTGGCCCAGGTTGATGGTGGGAGCGAGGCGCATCCTAGTGGGCAGCAGGACTGCTGGACCGGCAAGGTGGAGGCGATTCCTGTCAGTGCTATCAACGGGCACGGCGTGGAGAGAATTACCGAGTGGACTGTAAGCTTGTTGGATGTCTAGGCTCCCCCAAAAGTTATATATGTAAGATACATGTAGACAACGTCGTACAAACCACACCGTATGTGAGAACAGGGCTCGCAGCATCAATCAAAATTAAAAATTTAATCATTGTAGTAAGGACATACATATAGATGAATTGATGAATAGGTAGATAGACGGATGCGATGAAATGCTCAGAGTAAGAAGGGAGAAGGAGGATGAGGACGGATCTGGTAATTACTTCTCTGAAAAAACGCGCCACTTAAGAGCTTGAATTGAAAAGCGTCTGTCGGGCCTAACTAAGCATAGCGAATATATATATATATATATAAACATATTCTCTCGTCACCAAACAAACAAATAGCCCCAGCTGCACCCGACCGTTTACTCAATCAGAGAGAACGACCCCACCCCGGTGTGCGAAATCTCGAATAGAAGACCAGGAGACGGAGACGGTCTGTCATGGTGTCGTGTGGAGATGCATGCATGCAGAATGCGGTAGTAGCTTTTTATTATTTTGCGATTGGCTGGCTGAACAGTTGACGACAGACAGACAGTACGCACGTAGGTAGGTTAGGTAGGTAGGTACCTAGGTAGCTTAACTAGGTAGGTAAACCACCCCTTTTGATTAAGCGGAAAATTCAACACCAACGACATAGACAGAGAGAGCCGTCGAATTATGCAAAGCCATTCATGCATTGTCATCAACAACAAAGCGCAAAGGGGTCTGTATGCCCATTTACTCGATTCCAAACAGCCCAGCCGTGCCCCCCAGGTCAAATCCAAGTGCACCCATCATCGTATTTCGCAAACCCCAAAAGTCATAAACACATATCTACATCTCAGCACCTTCAGGTAGCAGCCCTCGATCGCTCCGAGTTGCTCCCACTCATCCCACAACAGTCTTCGTGCTCAAGCTCTCTAAGAACCCCGTCAGATCCTCTCTCTTGACCTCCACCACGCAATGCTCGAAGCTGTCAATACGCACTCGCGCACTCGTCTCCTCAACCACTTCTTGAAATGCGTTGCCGAATTTATTCCTGCCGAAGCCTCGGACTTGCGATTTCTCGTCCTCCTCCTCGTCGGAATCGTCGTCAGATGAGTCCGACGGTTCCGACTCCGACTCATCTTCTTCGTCTTCTTCGTCGCCGAGAGCCAGGCGGCGAGCTTCTCGTCTCTCCTCTCGAACCTTCTCCTTATTCTTCCGTCTGAGCTCACGAGCTTTCTGCTTGGCCTCTTGTTTCTCCTTGCGTGCTTTCGCGGCATACTTATCGCCGAAGCCCATGCCACCCCCACCTCCTCCGCCCGTACCCACGACAATATAGACACCTCTGCTTTCGTTCAAGCCGGCTACGACAAGTGGCATTCCTCGACCTTGGTTGCTTATCTTGCCTTTAGATTCTATTTCTTGCTGGACGATGGCTTCACCGATCCAAAGTGCGAGTTTTGTTAGAGCGGCGGGATGGGTAAACAAGGTGACATCAGGCCCTTCCTTCACGACACACATTCGGAAAGCTCTGAGCCGAAGAATCTGCCGCTTCTCTATGAGGCTTGTTCCCGTGCGAAGAATGGCGCGATGGAGTAGCTGGGCTGTTGGAAGTGCTGTCTTCAATTCCTCGATCCTTGCTGCATGTTAGTGTTGAGGTCATGCACATGCCACTGGTAATACTTACTTATCCAAAGCATCGTAAGCATCCCAGAACCTTCCAACCCATTCTTCGCTTTCCAGGGCACCGTCCTCGTCTGAAGTCCCCCTGATGTCTTTGCCTCGATCATTGGATCTGTTCTCCAGAGTAGAAACAGCCTTCTTACCCACTTCTAATATCGCACCAACAACAACACCAACATCTTGCGCACTCAGCGTCGCTCGCCAGCCCCAACTTCGCACGAAGCCCCAACCTTCCTTAGTACCACCTCTGTCTCTACCGTCGGTATCTTCCGAGGGAACGAGGTCATCAAGTCCGTAGATCTGCGCATACTTCAGCAGCTTAGATCGCAGGCTTCTTTTTAGCTCCATGTCCATATGAGTGTAGCTTTGCTTGCATTGAACAAGACTGACGCCCATCTTGGCAAGAAGCTTGTGCAGTCGTTTCCTCCCGTTATCAGACCAGATATGTAAGCGCGCAGAGAGATAAGGAGAGTGTAGCATGCTATCGTAAAGACTCCAGTGACGGATAAGAAGGAGCTTGGGTTCAGGGGATAGCCGAATGCTCGTGTCTGTAGGGCTTCTTGCTGTTGTCGGAATGACCCCACCGTTTTCCGGAAGAGAGTATCGATTCGAATGGGAGCTTGAATCTGAAAGCTCAGGAGGATTCAGCCGGCGCACTTCGTCACGAAGTAACTGTCTTATCCGTGACCCCCGAGTTCCTAGCCAACCTTTGGGAGACGCTGACATCTTCTGAGTAGTGACTGCAACACCCACAGAAGAACGGCCATATAGCTCCATCGAAGTAACCCCGACAATTGCCATCCATAACAGGTCATTATTTTCTCTTCCAAGTTCCGAGGCCAAAGAATACATCATCGAAGATATCGGTTCAGAATATGATGCTCCCAAAGAATAGTATTTTCGAAGTACTGATTCGTGTTGCCGCCGCATCTTCAAGAGTCGACGCCGTAATGTTCGTGCCGAAGGAGCTTTGAGAGGTTGGCTAGGGGTAGGAGAAACAGATCTGGAACCAGCACTCGAAGTCAATGCTGCAGGTCCGTTGAGTGAGAGTAAGCCTCGTTGTTTTGGGCGGGTCGGCGAATCTGGAATCGGGCTTGACTGCGGGGGATGTTAGGGAGCGAAGTAAACATTGGATGACAGCAGCATACCGAGTTACTTCTCCTCCTCTGCCGCGGTCTATCGTCATCGTCGCCGCTCTCATCCTCATCATCTCTATCAGTCCAGGATTTCCGCTTTTGGCCAGGCTTTGGATCTACTGGGCTATCTTCATCCTCATCCTCTGTGTCGCTTTCGTCGAGGTCCTCACCATCATCCTCCAGCTCTGGCATGTCAACCAGAGCAAGGTACGCGTCTCGCTCAGCTGCCAGATCCTCTTCAATGTCTCCGTCGTCAAAGACGATTATTCCCCCCTTGCTTGGCTTGTAATTGCGGAGGATTTTTGCCCCATCAATCCCCGTCTGGGGTCTGCTCACTACCTCCCCTCCTTCTTCGATTTGCGCAGATGGTGGCTGGCCTCCGAAGACATTGCCCAAGTTCCAGGGCCGGCGCGCATCAATAACCCACACTTCTACCCCCCCGTAATTAATCTGCTCCTCCTCGCCATCAAGGCCCAGCAGTCCTCCCAGATCAACCAAGCCTCCTACTCCCAAGCAGACCACCACGCCGCCACTGCCACCATTCCCCTCCATCATAGGCTGAATGACATTCTGGCCTGCCTTCTCCAAGTCGCCATATCCGGCAATTGGTTGGATCTTGTGGGGTATAAAATCCCGCTTGAGGAGCTGGGTAAGAATCCGGCAGCCGCAGAGCGCATCCGGTTCGAGAGAGACGAGGATGAGCACTGGCGCGGAGAGAGCATGGTGGGTTTTCTGGAGGTGGAGGTAGAGATTCGAAATGAGGGATCGTGGCAGATACATTGCTATGGTTGGCCAGACCTTTTCGACAGCATGTTATATCTGTCAAGGTCCCGGAAATATGTTCGTATAGCTGTAGCACCACCAGTGTAGGAGACCGACACGGTGAAAGAGGGGCGGGTGGACGCGTCTGGCAATCGAAGAGACGGGTTACTGTAGAATGTTTGCTATTCGAATTTGAAGACTGAGTAAGGTTTTGGTGGAAATTAAATGCCGGTTATTTCGATATTTTGTGTGCTTCGATTCTGTGCGGACTTCTGGTGTTGTGGTTGGCGAAATTGAAGTGAAGTTGGCAATGGAGCTTGGGGTTCGGAGTAGATCTCCAGGTCAGCTGAGGCTTGAGAATTGAGAGCAGCTCGACGCGTTGACGCGCCGGACGCTAAACCCTGGCCCACTACACCTCTCACTTTCTGCATCTACGCAGGGCAATTAATTTACGTGGAAAACATTATTTACTGTTGTTAGCCAAATATATATATATATATATATATATATATATATTCTCTCCATGAATGTAAGGCCCATCGCAACTTCAGAATTGGAGTTTGTCGATTTTTAAGATAAATTATCACCTGACGGTTGCTATTTTTCCACCTTCCAAGAGCATGCTACTACTATAAGTCTTCCTCAGGGTCCGGTAAGCTCTGGCTTTCTCTATCAAGATTTCATGCAAACTAGGCTCTCCAGCTTAAGATGCCAGGCTTGAAATCCAATCTTGATGTTGTGAAGGACTGCGACAAGTAGGCCATCTCTCCCCGCGCGTTACTTCCTGACCAAAGCTGATATGGCATAGCTTTCCATATTATGAGATTGGAAACTCGGAATCTTATGAGTCCCAAATGAGATGTCTGTGGAAGTTCTTTCTCCCGAACGACCCCCGCCCACATGGCTTTATTCTAGATGAAGTTGTGGAAAAGATGCCGTGGACTACGGACTATCAAATGATGCCAGATCGGAAGGAAATCCATCTCAAACCAAGGAACGATGAGAACCGTGGAGAATCTTGCAGTCAAAGTATCGAAAAATTGCTCGACATCGCCAGGGATATGGGTGTCTTTCCCAAGCTGGGCAAGAAACGCAACGAGCAGTACTCCATCGTTGGAGCCAGGTTTCCCATCGGTATTGAACGTTCAGCAAGCTCTCTGTTTGGTATCATTGGCCAAGGAGTCCACATGACTCTCTATACTCGCACGAGATCAGGCATGAAATTTTGGATCTCGGAGCGAAACCACAATAAATCGACGTACCCTGGTATGTTAGATAATGCGGTCGCGGGTGGCGTAGCCCTTGGCGAAATACCATTTGAATGTCTGGTACGGGAGGCTTCAGAGGAGGCCGCCATCTTGGATCAAAATGTTCGTGAGCATGCGAAAGCTGCTGGTACAGTCACTTGGTTCAACATCAGTGACTCCAGAGCTGGTGGCGAGCCTGGTCTAATGAACCCCGGTCTTCTTTACGTCTATGACTTGGAAGTTGCGGAAGACGTTACGTTCGAGCCTGTTGATAACGATGTTCACGCTTTCCATCTCATGGATGTTCAGCAGGTGAAAGATGCAATGTTAGATGGGAAATTCAAGCCTTCGAGCGCTAGCGTCATGATGGACTTTCTCATTCGGCACGGATTCATCACTGTCGAGAGTGAGAAAGACTATGTCGAGATAGTTTCGAGGCTCCATCGGAAACTGCCATTTCCAACGAGCGCTCGTTGAACGAAGCTATTGCTTCACGGACGGGGATACATTTAGGAATAGCTCTTTCCAACAATAGAATCTTGGAATAATCACTCAAAATCGACCATCGGCCGTCACTCGAGTATACCCTAACAGTCGTCGAGCATTTCTGCAGCCGAGAAGCTTCACCATGATCTACAATTAGCCCCGACAAGGAAAACACTTTGCAAGTTCTTCCCATGTAAGGGAAGTATCCGCTCTCTCGCAGACCAAACATGAAGCAAGGCCTCCATGACATCTTTTGCCTGTTACGACCTCCTCTTTCAAGTTCTGCGCGAGTTTTTCAATAATTTCAAGACTGTACCAGCTGCATTTTTCATTTATTAAATTGCAGTTAAATGCAGCGACAGCATATCTGTTCCTGTTTTGAAAAAGTCTGCCCTCTCAGCAGATGGCGGATGAGGAAACAAAGTCGTCCCAGCGATCCTCTGGTGGACTTTTTGGATATAATCGGCATCTTCTTAGACGCATTTGGTCATACTCCCCGTGTTTTTTGGGGGTTTTTTTATGAATTGTATTGCAAATTGCAAATGTATAGGAGGTCTCATCTGCCTAGTTTTCAGAAGGTGATTGATGCGATGCTCGAAACTTGAGAGATGCTGCAAAACATTAGGTACGCCACTCCTGTAATGGAAACTGTTCCCATTTGCTAATTACAAGCTAAAAATATATTCATAACGGAACATTCACACATGACTGATGACCTGTTCAATATCCATCCTGCGCATCCCTGTATCACAAACACTGATGCCGTCGTTACTACCGTAAGTAAAAAGCACTTCCTGGCTGTTGCTTCGTTTAAGTCCTTGGCCATTCTTATCGCGTTGATCCCCAAAGATGCCGTTGCTCGCATTCCTCTTCTCAACATCTCCCGGGGGTACTGCTTAACAAAGATAGCCATCGAAATGGTACCACGGCTCTTGCCGATGACAGACTCCAACTCGTAATCCTTAGTTCCGCCAGAACCATTGCGTGGAGTCCTTGGGTAGCTGCCACTTGAGCCTTGCAAATTCCTGCGGATGGCGGCGCGCATCTGAGGACCTATCCATGCCAATGTTACGACTTCTCTTGTTCTCCTTCGTCCATTACGCTCCGAATCAGTGGCGCATAAAATGCAGCCCTTGAATTCATCATGATTCCCTCTCTGAAGGAGTACCAAGTAAATATACGGCTTCGGAAAATGCCAATCCGTAACCGTCACAGAGCCCGAGTCTCGACCTCACCACAGTCTCGACGTCGCTGTCTTTTCATAAGCGAGGTGGGGTGTACAGCCGAGAGGACTTCGGGTTATCCGGTGGCTAACCAGAGCAGTGGTTGGCCTTTGGCCCAATGACAGGCCTCGATCAAAGGTGGGCGTCAAAGAATCAAAATCAGAAACAACATCAATTGAAAATTCCAGAGAGAGACTACCTTATACCCTACATGATTTTACAGAACTGGTTTTCGAAATCTAGGCAAGCAAACATGCCCTCAACCGTCCAAATACTATTTCTGGCTGCCTTGCCAATATTAGGCGTAGCAGTATTTTTCACCTGGGTCCAGACATCCTTCTCCCCTCTGTGGGACACCTCATCCTCTGCTCCCCAGGTGAAAATCTCGCAGGGCCTTGTGGTCGGGACAATATTAGACAACAAATTCCCAGCGCCTATCGAGGCTTTCATGGGGTTGCCTTATTCGCAGCCACCGACCGGGGAGAGACGGTTCCGACGTGCAGTGCCGTTGCCAGAATCGGATAAGACCTTCAAGGCTCAAGAGTACGGGCAGATGTATGTTCCAAAAGTCGCTATTACATGAAGCATTGCTGAAGTGGTGCTAGTTGCCCTGGGAAGCAGCTGTTACAGGGAGTCTCTGCACCTAGTAGCGAGGACTGCATGGTACGAGTTCTAAGCTTCTATCTATACTCACTCTTTGCGAGATAATTTTCACGCAAGACATATTGACTCCCTCGTTTCCTGGAGACGGTCAATATCTTTAGGCAGAAACCGGTACCTGGCAGAAACAAGCTGCCGGTTGCTGTGTACATCCATGGCGGTGCTTTCAATAGGGGTAGCGGTTCGTATTTCCACCACGATACTAGGTATAGTAGAATATGAAGATCGCTAAAAATTCATGCAGCAAAAATGCACAACACTGCATCGATGGTTGCGTGGTCTGAGAGCCCCTTCATCGGAGTTAGCTTCAACTACAGGTAATTTAAGCGAGGTGTTGTTTACACCTCAAGGACCCTCTCGGCTTACGACGGCAGAATCGGCGCACTAGGCTTCTTGCCCTCCAAGATTACGTTTGAGGAGGACATTGTGAACTTGGGCCTTCACGATCAAGTCTTTCTACTGAACTGGGTACAAGATAACATTGAGGCCTTTGGGGGCGACAAGAACGATGTGACCATCTTCGGACTTTCGGCTGGCGCTCATTCGGTGCGTTCAAACAACCATTTCTTCCCGAACCTTCATTAACATTGCACAAGATCGGACATCATATCCTCAACTTCAGGGAAGGGGTAGCTCCTCTATTCCACAAGGCCATCATTGAATCCGGAGCTCCGACTTCCCGAGCTGTCCATCCTTACGATGCGCAAGTTCACGAAGATCAGTTTGCACTATTCGTCTCCAAAGCCGGCTGCTCAGATGTCCACAGAAAATCCATAACATCTTGCTTACGCTCCAAGCCCGAAAAGAGCATCACCGATGCCTCTACAGTAGTGTTTGACAAATACAACCCCAGTCTCCGATGGGCCTTCCAGCCAGCTATTGACCACGCTCTGATCCACGGCAGACCCATCGACGTCTGGGGCTCCGGCAGATGGAACAAAGTCCCCATCATGACGGGACACGTCACGAACGAGGGAACCTACTACGTACCGGTATCGACCGCCACCTCCGAAGACTTCACCAGTTTCTTCAACGTGCTGCTCCCGCACTACTCCCCCGCCGATCTCGCCAGCATCAACTCCCTGTACCCGGATCCCTCCACGGACAGGCACTCCATCTACGCGGAGACCAGAGACATGGACGCTCTCGGTATCGGGCCACAGTTCAAGCGGGTGGAAGCCGCGTATGCGCACTACGCCTACGCCTGCCCTGTCCGCCAGACCGCGGACATGGCGTCCGCTGCTCTCCACGGCCCCCCGCCGGTCTGGGTCTACCACTGGGCGCTCAACAAGACGGTCAAGGGGGGCGCGAACCACGGCGACAACATGTACTACGAGAGCTTTGCGGAGGAGGTCACCAGCATTAGCGAGGCGCAGAAGGAGGTCTCGGGAAAGTACCACGCCTACGTGACGAGTTTCATTACGGAGGGCGATCCGAATGTTGTTCGAGGTCGGTATGCAGACAGGCCAAGGTGGGAGAGGTATGAGAGGGGGGAGGAGAGGGTTATGACGTTTGGTAAGGGGAATGATGAGAGGGCTGGTGGCGGCGAGGTCGGAGTTGCGGCACAGATGGCCGGCAGCGAGTGGATCAAGAAGGAGTGTGCGTTCTGGTGGAAGAAGAGTCATGATACGGAGGAGTGAGTGTGAGTGCGATCGATTAACGTTGAAAGATCATGTGGATTCTATATACCGCAGTTCAGTCTTGGATCTATGGGGTATCACTAATTATTGACTCTCTATCACTTATTGACCCTCTTGCACTCTCCTCCAAATATCCGCCCCGGCTAGCACCGTGCTCACAGCACTCAACATGCCTACAGTGGCTGGCGAAGCTGTTAGCCAGCCCGTGGTCGTCCCTGGGATGAACAGGTCACAGGCATCGATGACCACCTTCTTCATGATTTTCCTCCTCAGCGTGACTTTCTCCCTCATCCGAGATTCCACTTCCTCGGCTTCCCTCTCCTTAGACTTCTTCTCATCGGCCTCGTCAGCCCCAGCCACGTTCTCCACCGCCAGCCCGTACGATCGCAAACCCCATAACTCCCACAGACCCCCCAGAATCCCTAAGCTCAGCGAGTAAAACCAGAACCTCATGGCTTCGACGAACAAGCCCGGTGCCCAGGTCGTGGACACGACACCCATGGAGTCCAGCTACACGACATCAACATCCTCATTTCCGGCGCCAAAAAAACCCCCCATCTCTGCCCTCCATCCTCTCTCAACTGGAACGGAGGTGGGGGTACTCACAATCGTGAAACTCTCCAACAGTAGATACATCCCCAAGCAACTCCACTTCCCGAACTCAAGCGCAGCCAGCACCCCGCCGCTCTGCTCCGAGAGCACGCGGAAAGCGAGCGCAAAGGCGTCGACGAATTTGAGGAAGCGGAGGTAGCGACGTCCTGGCATCGTAATCAAAATCCATCCGAAAATCTGCTTCAAGAGAAAACGCAGGAGAAAATGAAAGAGGAACAGCTGGTGGTGGTGTTTACCTACCGAGAGCGAGCTGCGTGCGCGCTTGCAGCCATGGTGCAGCAGCTGCTGCTGTGAGGGAGTAGGCTGCGACGATCTGGGCGAGAGATTGGAGAAGGCGGAGGGTCTTCTCGAGGCCAGCTTACATGTGGGAAGTAGATGTCAGCTCATTTGCTCCATACATATATATAAGTATATATATATATATATATATATATATATATGCCATCTATCACTTCTCGTGAGACTGAGATGTTCAATGGAAGAGCGGGGAGGAGGAAAAGGAGAAAGTACCAGCGTCGCCGACAAATCGCGATAGTTGTGACGCGGCCTTGATAGCTGCCGACATGTTCACCAATCCGACAGAGATATTGGCTCCTCGTTGAAGAGAGGCGGAGGAGGATACTGTCCATCAAATCATCTCTATTCTCTACGATTTGGGAGTCGGAGTATGCTGGTGGACCGTGGACGGGTTATCCGCTGGGACAGCTGCAGCGCACTAATGCCCTAATTCAGCGGGGACATGCAGCGGGAGTCCCGAGTCGAGTCGAGTCGAGTCGAGTCAACGACAACAAAGTCCTTCTGGCGGCGATGGGAGACCCAGAGAAAGATATGGTTTGCATGCATGCGTGCACGATCTTCACGCGTTTAAGGTTGCGGTAGTTTGAGTTTCGTCTATGAAAATCCACCCTTGCGTTGCTTCTTCGGACTTCATGATAGACATCGAAGCCTTGATGAGCTCGAAAGCGAATCGGAGGAATGGAAAGAGGATGTAAAGTGCTGGGCAATCATCTGAATATATTTCTGCAGTTGAATGAGGAGTTTTCAGATAGAAAGTATCACCTCGATCATTGCTGGAATATAGGGTTTTCGCCCCTATTCCTGTACTAGGATTATTAGCCCCTTGGCTACTCCTACTTTATGTACAGCTACCGGTAGGTCTCAGCTCTCACCTACGGTACTTGAATAAACACCCTCTGACTCCTTGATTCTAGCAATCATGACAGGCTGTAGCTAATCCGAAGAAAAGTAGGGTCGGACTGGTGCAAAACCAGAGAAAAGGACAACAAAGCAGAAATGGACGAAATTAAATTTAACATTTACCTTTGACTGCGCTTCTGTTACGGATAAAATGGCCAGAAATGGGGATACAGCCTCGAAAAGTAAGACAATGTTTGCGAGTGGAAACTCGAGATAGTAAATAGCCTTGGCAAGCCAACCGAATACGTCCATTAATTCAACCGACATCCACCGGCATCAACCACCTCCCAACCACTGACCATTCTATTCACGATGATTCTCGTCCTATACCAGAGGGAAGACGCCATTTTGAGCTGAGCTGGTCCTATAGAGCCAGACGGGACGGCCATGAATACACCTTGGGAAGTCTGCTACGGTATCGGAGATTTACGGGATGCTATACGCCAGCTGCATGTTACTGCAGCTGCGTATAACACAATTGTCTCTCGACGGATGACCTCTGTGATCTGATGGACTCGATCGTTATCAGTATCTATTCGTTGTCAGTATCTATTCGCTTGCCCAGCCTTTGATCTCCAACGGCTCTCGACGCTTTCCTACTACCGTCTTTTGTGAATAGATGGTTGGTAGAGGTATAGTGTCTCCCGAGTTGGTTGGAAATACCCTTGTACCAACGGATAAGACTGGGCCCTTATATCCTGTCTGCATGAGCAGCCATGGGCTTTAGAAACTGCGCACTCGTTCTGGCCGTCCAAAGCCTTGTTGAAGGGTGCTGACTGCATGATTTCTTGAACTAAGAATACCGGTGAGCTTATATCATCTTACCGCTGATATCACGGAGATGTGCATACCGCTCCCATCTCACTATCGTCTATTTGCCTCCGATACTGGGTGTTGGATTGGCTAGTGTCATATAGGAGGAACGTGTCTTGTTATTCAAGACTCCGCAAATCTCTCGCTTATTTCTGTCGGTTGTCATTTGAAGGCTGGTCAGCAGCTTAGCAAGGGCTGAGGGCTGAATGGCTTAAAAATTTGGCTATTTGATTATCCGCGTCAGATACTTGATCTATGCCATGGCCTTTCACGACGTGGAAATTTACGAATTATTTATTTTGTTCTTTTCGATATTTGCGCATGATAGTCAGTCGCCGAGGGGGGATTATGAAGATCAGAGACTCGAGCCCGATAGTTTCATCTGTAACCCACGCAAGTGATATGCCGAGGTACTCTTTGCCACAGAAACACTATGCCAGTGCTGACTTCTCAATATCTAGTGGTAACAATATTCAGACGATCTCAAGCTCTGCCGCCAACTAGATTTTCAGGTTCACGCTCAAGACGGTGCACGATTTCGTTTTCCCCATGGAAGATACTGATCATTCAATGCATCTTGAGTACATTTCTAAGGACGTTACGGACCAACTATCCCTTTCTGCACGATATCTGGACCTGGATACAGTCGACATCGCTAGAATGGTTTCAGAAACGATGCTCGAGGCTCGTTACATCTGTGCCAAGGTCAACCTCCCCGACCCACGAGTCTTCAACGTTACGTGGCACGTGAATTCGATATTGCAACGTCTGCTCCACATGAATTTGGAAGACGATGGATCTTGCTCCGAAAATCTGACTGATGCATGTCGCTACGCGCCTTGCATGTTTCTGCTCCTGCCCTTCAACAACCAGGTAAGTCTTGATTCCTCACCCACTGTTATGCAGTATCTACCCGTCCACTAGCGTTGAAGGCAACTTTTGAATCATCCATTGAGGCTCAAAACTCTCTCGTAGTTTCTAGACCCTACCCTGCTCCTCAACACCTTCCTCTAAAAGCTCAAGGCAGCACTGAATAGCCTGGTTCCATATGCAGGCCCCGACAGCCCCCTACTCTTCTGTGTTCTAGCGATCGGAGCCGTCATCTCAACCAGTTCCTCGAAAGGGACTGGTTCATCGCTCATTTGATCTTCGCGGCGGCGAACCTACACGTTACGTGCTGGGAAGATATGGAGGCGGCTATGCAGAAGATTCTGTGGCTGGATGGGTATATCGATTGCATGTTCGCTCAGTTGTGGGAGGACATCGAGTGCTTGTCAAGGGATCGGAATGCATATAACCCTTATAGTGCTGTGCTGTTTCGCCCGCAGTGCGATGGTGGAGGAGGTCGTTTTGCAGTGAGTTGCTATATCGATTCTACTTGGAGCGTTTCTGGCTTTTGGGAGTCGCTTGTCACCCTTTATAGTCCATGACCGTTTTCTACATCTTAATAGCCGGCCGGGGCTATCCTTTTAGGTCTTGGATGATATTAATCGCGGCGATTTCTTATACGGGCTTAGATCCTAACGTTCAATCCAAAACTCCTCACAATGAACTCCTATTGACAAGATATTTACTCTGGCATCACGTGGATCGTATCTCCATACATACCTACGCCTAAACCGCATACGCATCCGAGCTCTCTCGCATCCGGAAAACTTCAACGTCAACTTCTCAACTACGAACATGCAGCCAAAGCTCAGCCGCGATCACGAATGAAGCACAACTAACCTCTTCCAACCACTTGCTGAAAACGCAATACCTCTTTCTCCTACAAACAGAGTGGTCACATCAGCACGCGCTTGATCCAGACCGTACGGACGAAAGTGAGGTAGGTACAAGCAACAACACGTAGGTCACCTGGCCTAGTGGCTGCGAACGTGTTTCGTTTCAGTAGTGGCGCTTCTTCGCATCGATAAATACTTGAGATGAAGCTATCCCAAGTCTAGTTTTGGATGTTCCTGCGGCCGTTTGATTATTGTCGAAACGCGGCCCGTGGCGAAGGGTCGTATTCTCGGATACTGTAACCTCGCAGTTAGTTCAGCACGCGTTGAGAGCTTCGGGTCGAGTCCGGATCTGGGTTGTTGAGATTGTCCTATTGCTAGTATTCGGGCTTTTCAGAAGATTGCTGGTGCTGTTTTTGCATTTCATGGCGCCCCAAAGAGCGATTGCAGAGGAATTTGTATGGCGAAAGCTGTCCTTCCCGTCGGCTATTTCTGAGTATCTGCTGGGATCGTTGAAGCCTCGAAGCTAGAAGGTCACCATGAAACCCTAGTTGAAGCCAGCCTTAGCTGCTCCGCAGAAGGTCTGGCTATCAAATTCAGACGGTCGAGTTATTTTGACACGAGAAACTGGCCTGACCATATTTAATATTTACGCGGTCATCGCCGTGTGTGTTGTTCCGAGATCAAGATAGAGCGAACGATATCTGAACTGGCCGTACCTTCAGCCTCTTCTCTGCCAGGCTCATTCACCACAGCAATCGATTGCAGGCCAATCCGAAAATATGGTGAGCCTAGGGGCGAAGATCCGGGCGAAGATCCGGAAGGATCCGAATCTTCCTCGATTGGGAAGGGGTATCAAACTGGGATTAAGGGGACTTCGTGCTGGCGCGGGGACATACTTCAGCGACAAAGTGCCAGTTTTCCAGTGGATTTCTGTGTATTCTCCCAAATGGATCATAGATGATGCGCTGGCTGGATCGTCTGTCGGTCTGCTTCTTCTTCCGCAGGCCTTGATGTATTCCATGGTCGCCGGCGTTCCCATTCAACAAGCATTATTTGCGAGCTGGCTGCCAGGCTTGATTTATGCTTTCATGGGCACTTCGAGAGGTATACGGCCTCCTGTATCAGCTCCTAAAGACACTAACTTCCCGCGCAGACATCAGTCTTGGTCCTACTTTCTCTTCCGCACTTTTCACGGGCATTGTCGTCAAAGATCTCGGCATCTTTGGAGTACCTGCGCCGATTGCTGTTTCCGCCGTGAGCTTCTCGCTGGGGCTATGGTCGATGGCATTCGGGATGCTCAAATTAGGCTTCCTATTCGACTTCATTTCGCTCCCGATGAGCCTCGGTTTCGCGATGGGTACAGCACTCGTGGTTTCCAATAGCCAGATACCTGCCATTCTGGGACTGAACGGCATCACGATTATATTCTCCGAAATGATGCCACAAATAATCAAGCAGATAAAGGAGACGAGACCGCTTACCGTTTTTATCGCCTTCGTATCGATCGTCATACTCACGGCGACAACGTATGTCGCAAGCAAATGGGGCAAAAAGAACGGATATATTCGCTTCTGGACGAATAGTCGCAACTTGGTTGTCCTCGGCTTGTTCACGGGAATGAGCTACTATGTCAATAATGGTCTGCAATTTCCTATGTTCTCTGTCCTTGGGCCAGTCAACGCAACTATTCCTGCACCTTCACTGCCGAAAGGCAGATTAGTTTCACAACTGGTGATGGCGATGTTTAGCCTTATGACTTCTACGGCTCTAGAGCATGTTACTCTTGCCAAAGCTTTTGCTTATAAGAACGGCTATACTATCGATGCAAGCCAGGAAGTTTTCTCCATCGGTGTAGCCAACATCGTAAATTCATTGTTTGGTGGGCTACCAGTAGGAGGGGGAGACATGGCGCGAGCTTCAGTCAACGCGACATCGGGAGTAAAGAGTCCTCTGTCTGGATTGTTTACATCCTTCACGGTTATCCTGGGGATGTATGCACTCGGCCCCAGCCTGACTTTCATGCCCCTCGCGTAGGTTTTATCTCTAGAATTTCTCAACCTTTTCTGTGGCGTCTCGCTAACTAACCATCTAGCACCGTTGCAGCAGTGATTGCCGTTACAGTTCTCGACCAGCAGCCAGCGCAGGCACTCATGGGTAAATACTGGAAGACATCATTCGTGGACTTCGTCACTCTCTTCCTGGCGTTCACTATGACCTTCATGGGATCGGCAGCCGTCGGCATCGGCATGGCTTTCTGCTTCGCGGCCTTCTACACGCTGATGCGGGTCATGTTCTCCCGCCCTGGATCGCTCGTTTCCATCGACCTCGAGAGCAAGTACACCAACGACACACCTCCGTGGTGGGCGAAGGAAGACCGGGTCCCGCCCGGTAGCCAGGTCATCCGGCTCGAGACGGATGCCATCTGGCTGAACGCTGAGCGGCTCAAGCGCCACATCATGGACACGGTGTACACCTACCAGTCCGGCGTCCCGAGAGGCAAGTCCGCGGCCAAGAGACGAGTCTGGAACTATCGCCGCGACAAACACATCGCCAAGCTCCGCCGGAAAGCCCGCGTCAACGACACCGATACTTTTATCCCTCGACTGCGTGTGGTGATCCTCGACCTGACATCCACCTCCTTCATCGATAGCTGCGCCATCCAGATCCTCGAGGAGATCAAGCTCGAGCTGAGGGCGTACGCGGGAGAGGGTGTGGAGTTCCGTTTCGTGGGCATGAACACGAACGTCCGGAGGCGGTTCGCACGGGCTGGTTGGAAGATCGTCTCGCCCAACGGAAATCACCAAGAGCCCGTCATTGGACTCGCACTGGGCGGTGAAGAGATGGAGTCGGAGAAAGAGAAAGAGGACGACCGGGTGAAGGACTTGTGGTTTGAGTTCCTGCCACACGCGATCCAACACATCTCGCCGACGGGCCCCGAGGGCTACGATTTCGAGGAGGTGAGCGTGCGAGTGAACATGAAGAAATTCTGATGTGAAATCTCTCCTCTTCTCTGGCTAGATGGAGGGTTTTTCCAGGATTTTTACTACCTACCCTTTACGGCTAGCCGTCTGTGGTTGGTGTCAGGGTCGTTCGGGATACCGAGAATATTAGATTAATGATATTTTTCAATTTATTTTACACACAAGCTCTTCATATCTTTTTTCTTTTTGTATACCGGTAGATTCTCCGGGAAAAAATACAAAGCAGGATCAACAACCCCGCCAGTTGATCACTCACTAGAGCTCATCAATTCCAATTGTTCAATAACGCTCGCTTGATCCGAGCCCAGGAAGCGTCGAGTTCAAGACACAGTGCCTAGAAATTATAGCCTAGAGATCTAGCATCAGCTTCAAGCCAAGGAAGACACCTGTCACGAACAACAGATGCTCACTGTCACGGCCGATGCTGCTGCTGCTAGCTCCGCTATTCTTCGACGCCGTCGGACTTGCGATTTCGGTTTTCGTGGCAAGCGGGGCTGCTGAAGGCGTCGATGGAGCAGAAGGAATGGCCACCACTTTCAGATCTTCGGAACGCAGAGGTGGCACGCTCTTACTGATGAGTAAGCCCTGGATGGTCTCGAGAGCGCTCATTTGTTGACCGACGCCGTACTTGCCATCCCAGCCATCGACGTACCAGCGAGTTCCACAAGTGACCCCGTTAGTTCCGCCAGAGCAGGACCTTGCAGCCGCTTGAGAGGACGCTGTCAAGAGCGCGGAGATGGAGTTCTGGGTGAAGGGGGCTAGGACCGTCGTTTTCCACATGAATCTCGAGAGGTAACCCTTGAAGGAAAATTGGTCCGTATTGCAGGTGCCGGCGGTCTCGCAGGCTGGCTCGTACATGATATTGGTAGAGTTCTGAAAGGGACCGAAGAAATTATTAGAAGCGTCCAATAATCCTTGAGTTCTTTCGGCCCAGAGGCTTGATCCGTCGGTGTGATTATACATGACTGCGGAACCATATAAGAAAATGGCGTTGTTGTATGTCCAGATGATCCCATTTATTTTCGTACAATTTGTTGTGTCTTCCGCACCGTCGAGAAGTTGGTAGCCACTATCCAGCAGACCAGAACTTGAGATCCAATCATATACCTTGTGAGCCCATTCGACATAGGTCTGGTTACCAGTAAATCGAGCCAGTCGTGCGGAGATTTGGAAGAATGCTGCGTTCGAGACGGTATTCTTGTAGTTATAACCTTTGTTATAAGAGAAAATCTGCCATTTCAGTCCTCCGCCACAAGTTGCCATGTCCCAACGCCGAGCCTGCGTGTTCCACAAATTCTCGACAATTTGGACCCAGGTGTAATTGCCAATAGGAGGCTGCGTGTCGTTTCTCTCTGCTGCCGACATCGCAGCGAATCCCCAGAAAGCTTGGTCGTCGTTCCCTTCGCTCAAGAAGTACATAGGCACCATGAAGTCGTACTCGGGGCCAAGTTGCGAAAGGATAGCTTGCGTCGTAATGCTGTGGTATGTAGGGTCGCCGGTGTAGTGATAGTAGTCCAACAATAACCCCCACATTGCGCCAGACTGCCACCAATAATGAGGCTTTGGAAGGACCCCGATAGTCTCGGGTGTATTCGTGACATTTCCCGAGTAGTATTTGACCAGGCCATATGCAATTGTGCTGGCGGCGCTCCTGATGGAGTCTACCCAATCGTCAGTAAAAGCCGAATTTTTGCAGCAGGAAAGGGGAGGCTGCACCTTCATCGTTGACATCGAGATCGAGTGCTGATAATGGGGAGGTCAGTAGTGATAAGATCACTGCGAATGCTACGAATGGGCTCCTCATGATGGACGTGTGCTACCGGTGCATAATGTTACAGATGCTGGCCAGAGTCGAGGGCGGGAGCAGAGCGGTATATCTGTACCAGGCTCGTAAGTGAAAGAAGTCTGAGATATTTCCAGGCCGCGCCAAAGCTCTCCACCCACCGGGCTCTATTTTAGAGACGCAGTTATGCCTAAAACTGACTGAAGCTTAGCTTAGCAACACCATCATCTCCAAGAATAGATAGTTGATGAATAGTGTCCAGCCGATGCAATGGCGCTTGTTATCAATGATGTCTTTGAAAAGAAAATAGGGATAGTGGACACAAAAAAAAACAAATGCTGAAATGAAGTTGACACTGCAGAGTGCTCTTGTCGAGCTTTTCCTCAGGATGTTGTAAACAGATTTGAATAAGATTTAAACAAGATTTAAACAAGATTTGAACAAGATTTAAATAAGACTTGAGGATAAGCTTGATTGACCCTTGCATGAGCTATGGCATATGATGGCACCGGCTCAAATGCTTGGAGTGGTGTTGGGCGAATTCCTCCGTAGAGGAGCCCATTTGGAACTTGTGAGGATGATCCACCGATGATCCACAACATGATCGATCTTGAGGCTAACCTCGCCGTCGCTAAGAACGAGCCGTCACCTCTCATATATGATGAATGACAAGATCATCACGTAAAGCCGGAAAAAGAACATTCTCCCGGGCATAAACCAGGGCAAAGTCTGTGTACGGGAAGATGGGATGACAGGATGAGGATGCGGATGCGGATGCGGATGCGTTGAGGAATTTTCCAAATTTCGATACAGAAAACAAATGAGGTTGAGATTTTGGTCACGACTATGACTGAACATGTCATGTGATCTCGCTTATGGCTCCTCTCTACTCCGTACTGTACCTCGAATACCTGCATGCTCCCCAACAGCTGAAGCCTCAATTATGAACAAGCAAGCAAGCAGCCATGGACTACAACTCCATCCATGGCCCAGGCGCCTCTAACTTCTCGTCTCCCTCAGCACGTGAGTTACCCTATCCAAGAACCAAGAACCAAACCAAACCTTGTTCACAGCTGAACCGCTTCAGATCGCATGCCCACCGTCTCGGCAGCCCAAGCATTCCAGGATTTGAGGTCATCACCAACGCGATGTATCTCAACCGGACTGTTTTCCCTCGATTGCGTCTTGCAGAACATAGATCAGGCGTTTACAGACGTAGACTCTGCTTTCGGAGGTGTCTCGAGAGGCAAGGTGACTGAGATTTATGGCCCTCCAGGTGTGGGTAAGACTGCTCTCTGGTACGTGATCTCGCACCGCGTCGATATGGTGACGATACTTACCGGAATGCAGTATGCAGTTAGCTGCCAGTGCATTGCATGCTGGCGGAGGTGTCGTCTGGGTAGGTCAGTAATTTCCGCTCCTTTCTTCTTCGTCCTCGGGATCCCGTGCATCTCGGCTACCCCGGTTGCCCCCTTTCTTTTGTTGACATGCTCGGTTCACTTTGATATCCTACTTTTGTCGTGCGCTCAGACTCAGATTCGCATGCCTCTCTCTACCTGAAAACAAAACTTTTCCTTCTGGAAACTGTTGGCTATCCTTGAAACATTATTCTGCACATTCGTATGGTTCTAGTATATCCTCTTATATAACTATGTTGCAGATGCTTCACATCCCGTCTCCGGCCCCCGCCTAAGCCAGGTCCTGACCTCACACCACTCACCATCTTCTCAGCCGCCGACTCTGTCAAGCCTCCTCACAAACCTCACCCATTTCACGGTGCCATCTCTCGCGCACCTTCTCGCTCTCCTCTGCCACCCAGCACCCAACAATCCACCTCAGAGCACAAGTCTGATAATAATTGACTCCTTCTCAACCCTAATCACCAACGCCTTTCCCCGAAATGCAGACGCAAAGCCAAAGACGACGCCTAAGAAACCCGGTGGTAAGCAGCGCCGTAACCTGGGTACCAAAACCTAGACTAACGCACGGCTGCAGCATTCAACCCTTCAGCTCGCAAGTTCTCCATTCTCCAACACCTCATCTCCTCTCTATCGAAACTCGCCACCACCCGCAACATAGCCATCGTCCTGACCTCGCAATGCGTAAGCAAGATGCGTTCAGGCGCTGGCGCAGTGCTCGCCCCAGCCATCACCGCCACGGCGTGGGAGCAAGGTCTCGGGTGCCGAGTCAAGATGATGCGTGACTGGGGATGGGAAGATGAGGAGGGAAAGGCCATCAATGACGTGAGATTGGTAAGAGTTTTGAAAGCAGAAGGCGTGGCGGTTGCCAGGGCTAAGATGATAGGCGTGGGGATTGGCGAGGTATGTGTTCTCCGGATTTCTATCTATCCCCCCCACCCCTCCTCACAAACGGTGGAGATCACTTTTGTGTTGAAAAAAAGTCGCCCGCCCAACAATAGTACGGCATCTACCACCTTCCCCTGCCCACCAAGCTGGTAGCACAAGCCACGCAACCACAAGACTCATCTTCCTCCCCTCTTAAACACCCCCACTCGTCTCTCCCACCGCACCTCGCACACCATGTAGGCAACGTCAACAACAACAACACCAACACGACACCACTACCGCACCCCTCGCAAAAACGCAAGCTCTCAGCCACCGACCTTGAAATCCCCGACTCCGACCTCGAAGACGAAGACGACGAAGACTACGGCTGGGCCGAATCAGACGAGGAGGAGCTGCCGCCGCCGCCGCCGCAGTGGCAGGGGAGCGAGGATGCCTTGGTATGTAACTTCCCAGCTCATGTGGGAGAGAGCGGGTAGGCGGTCCGTTGGAAGCGAAAAGCGGAAATGGGGAGATTAACAGGAATCGCAAGTTTTGCTAATACGAAGGTACATGTAAAACAGGCGCCGCCGGTAGAAGAAGAAGAAGAGCATGGCGACGAGGAGCTACTCGAGCTAGCTGCTGCTGCTGCTGCTGCTGGTGTTGGCGAGGAAGAGGAAGAGCAAGGGCTAGAAGAAGGAGAGAAGGAGGTGGCAGCAGCTGCTGCTGCCCGTTTGGATAGCGGAGGTGGATGTGGAGACGGAGATGGAGATGCGACACAGAGGAGGAGAAGGAAGAGGATTCAGCGGGACGAGATTGACGATAGCGAGGACGAGCTTGCGTGATGAGTGGCGTGTAGGTAGATAGAAAGATAGATAGATGGTAGGTAGGTATTACCTAGGTACGTACGTACGTACTATACGTATATTTATGAGAGAACCTATACGGAAACCATTGAATGTAGTACCGCTAGCTTCTGAATCCGTATGATGCCTGCAATACCGGCCACCAAGTCAAATTCAACAATGGAGTCGGCCTTTCCGCAGCGAGCCTGAATCCATCTGGACTCGATCACCAAATCACAGAATAAAAAATCGATAGCGAGAGAAGTTGGGATCTCCTACGAAGCGGAACGGCAATGCCTGGACAGAGCAGATATTACTATACAGCTAGCACAGCCAAATACGCTATCAAAACTGCACCGCTGTTTTCACGACGTTGCTTCCTAAGTCCACCAAACCAGGCGACCACTTTTCACCCACCGGCTAGACTAATCTACCCATTAACGCAATTCCGCCACTGATTACCACGTTCCACTTTCAACCTAATTATTTCTGGCATAAGCAGCGTCAACGTCCTTCTGGTACGTCTGTAAGATCAACTTTCGGTTCAGCTTCTGGGCGGATGTGACCATGTTCTGCTTTGGTCAGTACGTTGCATATCCTAGATTTAGGTGGGGGGAAAATTTACGTTCTGAGGTGTCCACTCTTCATCAGCCAGGACCGAGCCCTCGATAATCTCAATACCACTCAAGCCACCTGCTCTTCCAGCCTGTTGCAGCTCCTTCAGCACAGCATCCTGGATCTTCTTGTTGTGAACCAAGTCCTCGACACCGTTACCCTCGACGCCAATGTTCTCCGCAAGTCTCTTCAAAGCTGGCTCGGCCGGGACAATAATCGCGACGGGCTTGGTGCGTTGCTGGTCAGCATACACGCAAATATTGGCTACAATTGTAGCAGCTCTGTAGACAGACTCCAGCTTCTCCAAAGCTATGTACTCGCCATTGAGAGTCTTGACCAAGTTCTTCTTGCGATCAATAATCTTCAGGTGGCCATTCTTATCGAATTCTCCAATGTCACCAGTCTTGAACCACCCATCAGGAGTAAGAGCCTCTTTAGTTTGCTCTGGATCATTGTAGTACCCTTCCATGACTGTGCAACCTTTAATCCAAATTTCTCCTTGCGGGTTGGGCTTGTTAGTGGCGAAGTAACCCGCGTCGGCGAAATCAACCAGCTTGATATCAATGGATGCAGGAATGTCTCCGAGAGTTTCATCAGTCCACTCCATAGGATCCATGAGCGCACCCATAGCCGTGGTCTCGGTCAGCCCATATCCGCTGATCATCGGGGCAATGGCCATCGAAATGAATCTTTGAGTGTCCTTCGAAATTGGTCCACCGCCGTTGAGGCAAATTCTCAGTCGTCCACCAGTCGCCTCCTTTACCTTCTTGAATACCAGCGAGTCGAGAACGCCCACTCCGGGAAGCCCGTAACGCAAAAGGCTTTGCTTGGCCCAAAGTGCACCCCAGAACATATTCTTTACAATAGGGCTTCCAGAGTTGACTTTGGAGACAATGCCCTTCTTGACGGACTCCCACACAGCCGGAACACCAACGAGGACAGTTGGCTTGAATTCGCGAATATCTCCGTTGCAGTTCTTCACCGAGGCATCAGACAAAGTCTTTGGATTTCCGTAGCCCATAGTTCCACCCCAGTATAAGCATGCACTTTCGAAGACGAATTCTAGGATGTGCGCGAGAGGTAGGTAGGCGAGTAAACCATCGCCTGGACCGAGGTAAGGGTTAACAATGACGCTGACACCAGCGACTGCAAAGAGTTAGTATATATTGACTCAACCGAATAGGCTTGTACTTACTTGCGCCTACCACAGCCTTATGCCTGAGAGGGACACCCTTTGGAGGGCCGGTAGAGCCAGACGTGTACATGATACAGCAGAGGTCCTCAGGCGAGGGTGGGACAGGTGCGACTGGGTTCTCCTCTCCAAGCTTCCGGAGCTCTTCAAAGCTCATAATCGTTAATCGATCATGTGCCTTCTTCAAGGCATCGATGTTCTCTTGCTTGACCTCATGCTGGTTGTTCCAAATGACACATTTAATCTCAGTTGCCTCATTGAGGGGCTTGATGAGCGCAGTAAGCAAGTGAGGGTCGAGGAATATAGCCTTGGCCTTCGTGGCCACCAGGGAGTGCCTCAAGCCCTCCTCTCCCAGCGTGTCATAGGCCGTAACAATGGGCATGGATTGAGAGACAGCGCCGTGCGCAGTCGCCAGCCAATGGGCGCTTGTGGCAGCGAAGATGTGTACACGATCATCCTTTGCAAGGCCCAGCTTTCTGTAACCTGCGCCGATTTGCAGGGTCAACTTTTCGTAGTCGTGAAAGCTCAAGTACTCGTAACCACTGAGCTCAAAAAATGTCCATTTCTTATCGACTTCCGTCTCCTGGCCATCTACTATCTTCTTGACCTTCTTTGTCTCCTGGTGCGTCTTGATGAGCTTTCGGGATCCCAGGGCCTTTGCATTTCCGTACTTCTCCGCGCTGTACTTCACGACGTCGAAGAGCGTCGCGATATCTTCGATGGGGCGCTCCAAGAGCTTGTCCTTGGCCTTAGGATGCCTGCGTGGAAGTGTCTCGCCCTTGGTAGCTTCGTATCCGGGGGCCTCAACGCTAAAGGGCGGTTTAGCGTAGATTTTGGGCTGCGGACTGAAGTTCTTGAGAGACATGGTGGGAATTTATTGTTGGGAAGCTCAAGATCCGGGGTATGGGTATCGCAGGAAAGACAAACAGAGTACGAGGGAAATGGTGCGAGGAGACGCGTGATCGCACAGAGTAGAGAGCAGTCGAGAGCAGTGTGTGTATTGGAGGGGAATAGAGGTGGTGTTTGAGGGGTTGTGGTGTTGTGGTGTTGTGGGAGCGAGAATGAGAGTTGGAAGAGAGTTGAGAGGGAGAGTGCGCACAATTATGTTGATGAAGCGCGACTCGTCATTGCCTATCAACCGGGCCAGCCTGGCTTAAGTAAGTAAGCTAGTAGCAGTGAGCACCGAGCACAGGTTGATTGCCCAGGGCCCCCGGGGCTGAATCTCTCCGCACTCTCTTGCATTTGCTTTCTCGCCTCGGCATTCAGCATTGACTCTGGCTGTCTGGCTGGATTGATTATTCCATCTGGATAGATACAGAGTAGATACTTGTATACATACTACTCAACTGGATCGGGGAAAAAAAAAACAGCAACACCAACATCATCCATGACCTACCTATCATAGGCCTTCTTCTTCTTCTTCTTTCCTTACTATACAGAATACTTATCCGTCCGCAGGTCGTTTGAAGGACTTCATCCATCGTCTCTGCTTACGTTGGATTTTACATTTTACCAAGCCCGCCGAGGTGCCCGGTCAGGTCTGCCACGGCGTAACATCCTGTGCAGCCCCAGTCCGGCCCTTTTTGCCTTTCTTCCAAGTTCTCCAGAGCCTTCTTTTCTTCTCTTATGTCCATCAATCCAGTCCAAGGTGCCAAGACTGGGCATATACCGCAGAAGGCTATAGTGCTCAGCCTCCTCTCCCAAAAGTCTCGGACGCCTCAACCGGTGAAGGCTATCGGACCGGTACACAGACGTACAACTACAGTAGGACTCTCGGATGTCGGTCTCAGTCTTGTTGGGCCTGCTTGGCCCGGATATCGAAGATTACGAGGAAGGTGAGTTCCCGAACATATACTGGATCAAATGCTCTTGGCTTACTCTATGTCCGCAGAATCGTTTCTGGTCTTTTCTCAGTCGATACCGTCCCAGAATCTGGGCTTTGTCGATTCCAAAGCCACACTCTTGGACCTGACCATTGGTGAGCGTGACCTCTCTATCCACCAGTCACCGACGATACTGTCCTCAAACCGAGGCGGCGGAACCACCGGAGCCGGTAAGTGAGAGGCGGAGTCGACGGAGACGGAGACGGGGACGGGGACGGGGACGGAGACGGGGTGCAGCACTTGCTGATTCCTTGCAGTGGTCTGGAAGATCACCCCGCTCTTCGCACGTTGGGTGACTGCGCCCACAAATTTGCTCTTCAGCCTTGGCATCTTGGACTCCGAGTCCACCGTTCTGGAGCTCGGATGTGGAATATCTGGAATCATTGGCCTTGCTTGTGGGCCACTTATTGGATCATACGTCTTGACAGATCAACATTATGTTATGAAGCTCGTGAGCCAGAATCTAGAAGAAAATCGCCAGGCAACCTCATCCACCAAGAAAGGTCGCAAGAGCTCGTCCAAGTCGAAACGAGGTGCTGCATCAGCGAGCCAGGTGCAAGCTGCTGGCAACATCATCGCAACGCCGCTGGACTGGGAGACAGATGAAGTGCTACCCTCGCTGACAGGAACCGAGTTGAAGCGCAGCTTTGACGCCGTGATAGCATGTGACTGCATCTACAACGATGCTCTCATCAAACCCTTGGTACAGACTTGCATTGATACATGCAAGCTGCGAAGCTCAGATGAAGCAGAAAATGAGCCAGCAGTTTGTATTATAGCACAGCAACTTCGTTCTGCTGAGGTCTTTGAGGAATGGCTCAAGGAATTTCATAGAGCGTTCCGAGTATGGCGCTTGCCCGATGAAATGTTGATTGATGGTCTGAAATCAGACTCTGGTTTCGTGATTCATATTGGCATTCTACGGTAGGATCATAGCAGTTCCAAAGCATTCAACAAGAGCTCCTGCCGTGCTTTTAAGAACCACGGCGTATCCCTTGTTGGTACCCGGAACTACTCTCCAGCATTCTACGAGATACAAACTAAGCATGTAAACCTTCAATGAAACCATAGAGTAAACATTTTGGAACTTTGGTCTACTGTATTATGCTGCACTTCGTAAAGCATAAAATGTGGATATCTATCACGTGCGCACGTCCTGCATGATTTACGCGTGCGCGTTAACAAGCTCAACCGTCTATAACCACGCTCAAGCCAAGCGGGCGATATTCTCTCCAGCGTAGGCATCCGACGGGCACAATTACAAAATATTCTCGTCGGAACAACCTGTGCAGTATCAAAGAAGGTCTGCCACCACCCTCAGTACCGAATTGGCAACGCTGATCAGCGACAGATACGGAGGCTCTGAGCCACAACGGAAGACCTTCACAATCAGTCCTCGAAATCCCTCGAAATCCCATCTCCGTCTTGCCCTTTTCCTCGAAATAAAACCATCCCTTCGCCATGGCTTCCCGATTTGTCGCTGGCAATCTAAACCTGCAAAAACGCGCCCCGAGCCCAGGTCAGCCAATTGTTCGCGCTGATCGTGTCGAAGCTCAACGCTTGAAGGTGTCGCCTGGCAAGAAGTCCTACTCCGTAGCTCCTCCTGCCCAAGCTGTTTATAAGCAATTGCTCCCTAGTACTGCGCCTGCTCCTGGATATGCTTCCAACCAGTACGGTGACCGCAACACATCCCCGAACCAACAGTACCAGTTTGAGGACTATGGCCTGCAAACCAATGGCTTCCGGGGGGTTGCTGCTCCCGGAAGGGATGCACTCGATGACATTACTGTGGACTCGGAGTTCGACGTTACTAAGAGCGAGATTTCCCCTGGATATGAAGAAGAATTCGTCAACAACCAGGATGCAAACTCAGATGGAGACGGGTATGACGAGGATGAATATCAACGGAATGATACTGCCTATCAGGTTACAAGAGGAACTCTAGCGCATACCCTTCATCACAAGCAGACAATGCATAATCAACCGTCGAACGGCCAGTTTACACAGACAGTGCTCACTGTACCACAAGCCCCTATGATCACCGGACGTTTCGACGAGAATCACCAGGCACAACTGAGCCGCCAAGCCCGACAGATCGAGGACCTTCAATTTCGCAGCGGCCAAGGCGAGCCGTTCGTAGCGCTACGTGACCAGGGCCCCAAGAAACGAAACCATTCGGGCGATGAAGTTCGTGGATTTAAGCAAAACCCGCGCCACGATGATTCTGAAGACGATGATCTAGAATCTCCTGAAGATGTGCAAGTTTTACAACAACGCGCTGGCTCTCCGAAAGGCAGTCAGAACACAGAGAAAGCGGCTTCCGGTCCCAAGCCAAGCCCCAGCCGTGCTCGTAAATCTCGCACAATTCCGCATTCTCAACCTCCAAGCTCTCAGTATCAAGAGGACCAAACATTCATAACCAGTCCGGACTACAAGGACGATAAACTAAAGACCATGAAATATAAGGACCTCGAGAACGAAGATATGGAGATGGACCCTCATGCGGAAGCATTTATCTTCCCAGTGGAATTGAGGGAGCCTGATGTTACATTTGAACAACGTCTCAAATACTATGTCGACGCACCTGAGAAGGACCAAAGCTCGTTCTACGTGAGTCTGACTAACGAGGAATGGGAGAAGGCGGGAGATTGGTTCATCGAACAGTTCTCCAACCTCTTGAACGAGATCAAGACCAACAGACAAAAGAAGCGAGGAGTTGCTGCCAAGTACGAGCAGGAGGTCAAGACCAGAGAGAGACTTGTGCGTGCTCACGCCAACAAGTACGACAAGAAACTGGATGGAATGGCTGGCATCGGGCAGCAATTGCTACGGGACAAGACGGTATAAATCTCGTATCCCCAAACAGATTTATATTATCCTGTTTGCTGTCTTGGCTAATCTTGTTGATTTGAAGATGGAATCTTTAGATTTCTTGAGCCGCGAGCAGCAATCAAGGCCGAGGACTATAGGATCGTGAATCAGAGGAGTGCTTGACTTCGCAACTGAGCAGACCCTACGAGCTATGGATGCACATACCACGGGGGTGTCGTATGGAGGACTCTGATTTACTGCTATTTCCATCCATAATGCATTGGCGGCAGGAATATCAGCTATGTGGAAACTATGGTGTGGTGTTTGCTTGGGTCCATGGCTATGAAGTGAGAGTCATCTAAGAGGAGAGCGGAAAATAGGTTTTTGTTTGATCGGGATGTGCATCTATATACCTATTTGCTTTGGCGCTAGAAATTTCAGCTCTTCGCTAGCCTCCTCGGAGATCATCTTCAGAAGATTCTCTAGAGGCTCTTCTACTGCCCCCCCCCNNCCCCCCCCCCTCCCTTTTTTTTTCTTCTCGCAGCAGCTTCTCGCTCTTCTATATCCTCGTAACCTCCTTAACCCTCCTATCACTCCCAATAATCAATCTCAAATTCTTCCATTGCGCACCCTCCTTCCCTCGACAGATACCTCCCCGCAATCTCGCGGTGTAAAGCTCATAAGCAGGATAATACCCATCCACGAATCTTGTAACCTGCTCCACACTCATCCCCATCCCCTTCTCTCTCCGCAACGCCGCCTCTTGCTCCTGCCGCCACTTGTACACGTAGTCCGTGTCCTCGGCATCGAGATGGATAAACGCATCAAACTCGCGATTCAGCACCTGGTCATACTCCGCCAACCTCTGATTCACAAACAGCAGATCCTCCAGCCGGTTCTTGCTCAACGTCCGATTCGGGCCCTCTCTCCTCCGAACCACTTCCGCCTCCGGCAGGGCGGAGAAGCCGACGCACCAGCCCTCGAAAATCACGACGCGCACCTTCTTTTCCTCCTCGCCCTCTCGATTGACGACCTGCCACTGCGCTTCCGGGACGCGATCACCCTGCCCGTCGTAGGCGGCCTTATCGTACGCCGGGACGCGGCACTCGCTGCCAGTCCGCAGTGCGGCGAACAGGGCGCGCGCGAGGGCCAAGTCGTGCGTGCCGGGCACGCCTCGGTGCTGCACGAGGGGATTTTCAGGGTGGGAGGCGGCGAGGGCGGCTTGCGAGGCGTGGGGCAGGTAGAGGTCGTCGATGCTGAGGACGAGGGTGGGGAGGTTGTGCGGAGGGGAGCGGAGGGTTGTGGCTAGGGAGGAGACGAGGGTTGTTTTCCCCGAGCCTTGGATGCCGTTGAGGGCCATGATCAAGGGTTTGCTAGCGAGGGAGGGGGAGGGAGAGGGGGAGGGAGCGGTAGTGGAAGAGGTGGTATTGTTGGGGGAGGAGAGGAGGGAGAGGATGAAGGGGATGCAGTGTGGGGATTTATCGTCGATAAATGCTGCTGGTTGGGGAGCGCTGGGGGAGCTGGGGGAGCTGGTGGTCGACATATTGAGTGCTGCAAAAGGGTTCGAGGGTGTGCTGTGCTGCACCAGAGATGGAGGAATTTCACATTGCTGCTGTGGTGTTGAGGTTGAGGTCGCGGAGTCTCGCGGCGCGGGAAACGAATCGCCGTAGAACTTGCATATAAGTAAGTAACTCAGTACCTAGCTGCCATGGTAGCTTCCCAAATCCTCAATGTAATGGATGCTTCGTGATAGGAATATCTGGACTTGAGGTTGACTCGAAGAACGATTGTTTTGTTTTGATCGGTTGTCGCTACGCTACGCCTGTGATGGCTGACGGCGAGAGCGAGGTATTCACGTGACCCTCACCGCTCTACTACCGGTACTCTTCTTGCATGTGAAGTCGGAGTGGAGCAATGAGCATGACATGATGCCGGTGCTCCGTAATGTGGGGAAGCTACTCGGCTGCTGCTTTGAAGCCGAGGCATGTCCGCTCACCAGTGCATCAGCCAGCGACCAAACCTTGACTATACCAGACCTCCATCTCACTTCCCCAACCCACTTCCTCTCTCTCTACTCTATCTCCTCCTACTACTCACCCAACTACTCACCCTCCTACTGCTCACTCTCCTTGCGCGAGAAATAGATTCAGACCAATTTGGAGATTGGATATCACTCACATAATCCAAGATGTCCGAACTGAGATATGATGGCCAGGTCGTTGTTGTCACTGGCGCCGGTGGAGGGCTAGGAAGTAAAGTTCCCATCCTGCGTCTAGGACAGGCAGCATATATATGCTAATGCCCTACGTAGAAGCATATGCCCTGTTCTTTGGCTCGAGAGGAGCCTCAGTCGTTGTCAACGATCTGGGAGGATCATTCAAGGGGGAGGGTACCTCGACGAAGGTGGGTTGTCAGCGTTCCCGAGTGCCAATCCAAGTCCCAGTCCCAGTCCCAGTATATCTAGAACAAGGCAGGACAAAGCTGATAGCTGTCTCTCTATGCAGGCCGCAGATGTCGTAGTCGACGAGATCAAAGCCGCCGGCGGCAAGGCAGTAGCCAACTACGACAGCGTCGAGAACGGGGACAAGATTATCGAGACGGCCATCCAGAACTACGGCCGCATCGACATTCTGCTCAACAACGCCGGTATCCTCCGCGATGTCAGCTTCAAGAACATGAAGGACCAGGACTGGGATCTGATCATCGCCGTCCATGTAAAGGGTTCGTACAAGTGTGCCAGAGCTGCGTGGCCTTATTTCCGCAAACAGAAGTACGGCCGGGTCATCAACACTGCTTCCGCGGCTGGTCTTTTTGGAAGCTTTGGCCAGACGAACTACTCGGCTGCTAAGCTGGCTATGGTCGGTTTTACCGAGACACTCGCGAAGGAGGGTGCGAAGTACAACATCCATGCAAATGTCATTGCCCCAATTGGTAAGTCCCTCTATCAAGTTGTACTTCCACATTCTGATTTCATGACTAGCTGCCAGCCGTATGACCCAAACTGTTATGCCCCCCGATGTCCTTGAGAATCTCAGGCCCGAATGGGTCGTACCTCTTGTGGCTGTCTTGGTGCACAAGGATTGCGATGAGAATGGGTCCATTTTCGAGACTGGAGGAGGCCACGTTGCCAAGCTTCGCTGGGAGCGATCCAGCGGTCTTCTTCTGAAGGCTGATGACTCTTATACCCCTGGTGCTATCCTGAAGAAGTGGGATGAGGTCAACGACTTCAAGAATGCCGAGTACCCAACCGGTGTTGCTGACTTCATGGGTCTGCTTGAGAAGTCAATGAAGATGGGCTCCAATGACAAGGGTGAGACTCTTGACTTCAAGGGCAAGGTTGCTTTGGTCACTGGTGGTGGCGCTGGTATTGGCCGCGCATACTGTTTGGCATTTGCCAAGTACGGTGCTTCAGTCGTTGTCAACGATTTGATGAACCCAGACGATGTTGTTCAGGAGATTCAGAAGCTCGGCGGCAACGCAGTCGGTAACAAGGCTTCTGCCGAAGACGGAGATGCTGTTGTGAAGGCTGCTATCGATGCGTACGGACGTATTGATATTATCATTAATAACGCCGGTATTCTCCGTGACAAGGCGTTCGCTAATATGGAAGATAAGCAATGGGATCAGGTCATTGCAGTCCATCTCCGCGGCACCTACAAGGTCACGAAAGCCGCTTGGCCATACATGCTTCAGCAGAAGTATGGTCGTATCGTGAATACCACTTCCACAAGTGGTATCTACGGTAATTTTGGGCAGGCCAACTATGCCGCAGCTGTAAGTTTGCTCCTCTGAGCGTCACAGGATTTCTACTGACCGAGCCAGAAATGCGGTATCCTCGGCTTCTCTCGTGCTCTTGCCCGTGAGGGTAAGAAGTACAACATCTTGGTCAACACCATTGCACCAAATGCTGGTACTGCCATGACCCGAACCATCATGCCAGAAGAGATGGTCCAGGCTTTCAAGCCAGATTACATAGCACCACTCGTCGTTGCCCTTTGTTCTGACAAGGTGCCCGAGCCAGCAACCGGTGGTCTCTTCGAAGTCGGTAGTGGATGGGCTGGCCGAACCCGCTGGCAAAGAACTGGTGGACATGGCTTCCCAGTCGATGAGACATTGACCCCTGAAGCTGTCCTCAAGCAATGGAAGCGCATCACGGACTTTGACGATGGCCGCGCAGATCACCCAGAGGATAGTAACGATGGACTGAAGAGCATCATGGCGAACATGCAGAACCGCAAGGGCGGTCAGAGTAAGGTATGAGCAAGCTTCTCAACCTCCAGTTCAGCCTTGGATGCATGGAGGTTGTTTTGTATATTGTAGCTGTACTTGATGAAATGAAACGATTCTAATGTCATACCGTGCCATAGCAGAGTGAAGAGCCTACAGAAGAAAATGCTGAATTCTTAGCCAACATCGAGAAGGCTAAGAGGACTGAAGGTTCTGGTACTGAATTCAAGTACGAGGAACGAGACGTGATTCTTTACAACTTAGGTATCGGAGCTAAGAAAACAGATATGCCATACGTTTTGTAAGTCATTCCCTCTCCATCTATTTAACCCGAACGAACCGTTAATAGTCAAAACAGCGAGGGAGACGAAAATTTCCAAGCCCTGCCCACCTTCGGCGTAATCCCCTTCTTCAGCGCCGAAACGCCGTACCAAATCTCTGACCTCATCCCCAATTTCTCCCCCATGATGCTGTTACACGGCGAGCAATACCTCGAGATCCTCTCCTACCCGATTCCTACGGCCGCGACCCTGGTCTCCAAGCCGCGACTCCTCGAAGTCGTTGACAAAGGCAACGCGGCCATCGTCAAGTCTGGCGTCACGACCATCAACAGGGAGACCGGTAAGCCGCTCTTCTACAACGAAAGCACGGTCTTCATCCGCGGCTCCGGCGGCTTCGGCGGCATCAAGAAGCCAGCCGACCGGGGCGCCTCCACGGCGGCCAACAAACCGCCGTCCCGCGCACCCGATTTCACCGCTGAGGAGAAGACGACGGAAGAGCAGGCCGTGCTGTACCGCCTCAGCGGCGACTACAACCCGCTGCACGTCGACCCGGCGTTCGCCAAGATGGGCGGCTTCAAGGCGCCCATCCTGCACGGGCTGTGCTTCTTTGGGATCGCGGCCAAGGCAGTCTATCAGCGTTTCGGAGCGTACCGGAACGTGAAGGTCCGATTCGCGGGGACGGTGCTACCGGGCGAGACGATCGTCACGAGCATGTGGCGGGAGGGGGGCAGGGTTATCTTTGAGAGTCGGGTGAAGGAGACGGGGAAGTTATGTATTTCTGGGGGCGCAGTGGAGTTATTGCAGGAGGGTGGGAAGGAGAAGTTGTAGGTTTTGGATTTTCGAAAGAGGAGGAGTCTGTTTGTGAGAGAGAGAGAGAGGGAAAGAAGCTGTACTTCAATCTGGATCTGGTATGCGCGGGAGTACTCTTGGCTCAAGATTGGGTATATGGGTGTATGGGTAGGTATATAAATGAAAAAGCCACTGACATGATGAGTAAATGGAGCATGGGAGGATCCAGATTCCGAAGTCCTGGTCAATCTAGAGACTGGCTGGTGGTACCGCGCGGCACGTAAAGACTGCGGGGATGTGCCGCTTAGTGAGACCGAGACCTCTTTTCTGCTGTCTCCCGTGTGAATAAATAGATGAGAGTTGTAGATTCTCGCCAAAAGGTGAGGGAGGTGGCGTGCAGGAGGAGGGTTGAGCGAGTCTTGTTGTTTGCAGATTCGCTCGATTTTTCGTTTACTTTTGCTTACGATCGAGCTGAGTTGTCTGCTTGCGATAGAGCTGAAGCATCCCCCCCCCTTTCCCCTCGCTTGGGTTTTCCGAGGGCGGTGTAGATCCTCGGAAGAAGGGGAAAAAAAAGGAATCCATTTCGTGTTTTTCAAAGATGTTGCAGGTCGCTGTCTTGCATGAGAGGTACCTTCTCGTTTGGGGATCGTGGCTGGGTGGGTGGGTCGAGCTCGGTACTGTTTGCTCGTTTTACCTTTTGCTGAGAAAGGATGTTGAAGCGGAAAGCCGGAGGAACTATTCAAACTTTTTTTTTTCTTCTTCTTCTTTTTTTCTTCTTTTTTTTTTTTCTTCTTTTTTCTTCTTCTTTTTTCTTTTCTTTTTTTTCTTTTTTCTTTTGGGTGCACCAGCGGGTGGTCTTGACTTGCGTGTTGTATGTACCAAGGGGATTGAGATGGGTGTTTCTACAGCAGTATAGATGGCGATGGTTCTAAAAAGAGGCCAGGAACTGGAATTGATGGTCTCGGTTCGGGTCGATCGGTTGATTTGACATGGGCCCTGTTAGGAAATCAGTATGTTAGACTGCTGACAGAGAATACTGCTGCTTTATTGCCAGACTCCAGGCACTTATCCAGGAGGTTTCTGAAGACACGATGGTGTTTGACATGGGATTATAACTGGTGTCTGTCAGATGTGACGAGATAGGTGCGGTATTCTGTATGTTGACTTGTGATTGAGGACGATGATCTGGGCAGATTCCGAACTGAACTCGGATTCCAGGCTGGCGGGTGATTTTCACCTAACTTGATACCTGTTGGGTGGAGGAGTAGGCCTCACTCAACCTGTGTATATCCGCGACTTTACTGTAGATCTACACGAAGCTTGGATATACTGCCTCGTTACCCAAAGTTGCCCAACACTATCCGTACCTGCGCTGCACCAGAGGTATTTATCAATTGGAAACTTGAGCGCGTAGCCAATCTAGAGAACTTCAAATCCTGCGTGCTATCCTCCTGAAGCCGCCCCGATATGAAAGATTCGCCTTCTTTCGCACCTTTGAAGTGTGGATTGAGGGGAGAAGGCTAAGCGATGGATGGGGTGTGTATCCCCACTTCAGAACAGATTCTCGGGAAGTTCAAGTTCTATGAAAAGGATCATGGTTCCCTGCCATTCCCTATCTCGTGGCGCTTGTGAGCTAGTATTCGGGAGTTACCTGGTTTGAATGACGGTGCAGAACATTGCAAGCTGTATAATTGATAGGAAAGGAAGGAACAGTGTATGGTTGACGGGAAAGCAAAGGAAAGGAGAGGCAGCTTTCCTGGAAGTCGATATTAGAACTTGTTCTTTTGGATCAAACAAACAGCAACAAATTGAGAAGCGCCTCGCCGAGGAAATTACAATGATCTTTCGAAGACGAATCATGGGTTTCATTTGCGAAAGGGTCAGAGGTCGATATAGGCGAGCGTATATAATGGTATGAATCCTACCGAAACAAGTAGTAATAGTAATATATTGCGAATAACAAAAGTGATAATAGCTAAGCCTATACCTCTGGGACGTATCGTATATGAGAAATCATTAATGGACGGTTACTATGCAGAAAGACGTGCTCTCCCCTTAAAACGCCATGAGTAGCATGTTACGTAAAACACGACGGCCCATTGGCGGGGAAAAGAATTCGGTTATCGCAACCCGTGATTCCCACAACCTTCCAGAGTTGCTACATGACACCACATAGAGCACGAATGGTTTATTCTGACCACTTGCGGCTCAATGGTCTAGGTTAGTTGCCTTCACATCTCCGGATTTCGTCACTTTGAGGCGTGTTGAGACTAACAAGCGCACAGTGGTATGATTGTTGCTTCGGGAATACTCCAACGTCCCCCTCGTTCAGAGGAAACTGTGACAGGCCCCGGGTTCAAATCCCGGTTGAGCCCCTGCGTCAAGCTTGATTTTTATTATTTTGATATATTCGAGAGAAATTGATTTGCTATCAAAACATTTATGTACCATTGGAATCATATCGGTTTAGATCACGTTTACTTGAGTCTGGATGACGGAGTCTTTGTATAGGTACTGGATGGATTAGCGAGGGCGCTTCAGCGCCTGACTAAGCGAACATACTTTGCTTATTTTCGAACACAGTTAAGGTAACTCCGTATGCTCAGAGGAACCAGATTGAGCATGGCATGGAAATGTACAACTAGGTAGATCCCTATTCAAAATGAAGCGGAGCTGCTGACTCAGCCATCAACCTCCAGAGACGTCGCTTCTTGACCCGACGTCTACAACCTCCCCCCTCAGGAACAATCATGATAGCCTCTCTGGCGGAAACAACGGGCGCACTGAGTTCTTTCATGGAACCAGCTCAGACTCGATGCAGCTGTACGACAATCGCAGATGCTCCCCCGGCATCCGACTCTCCAGGCCGAATACCCCATCATTCCCTCGCAAAGTCAAGAATTCTCGCCTACGCAGAAGGCTCAAGATCCTTCACGGTCTTCAAAAAGCTGCCCGTAGAGATTCGGCGAGATATTTGGGAACTTGCGCTGCCCGATCCTCAAGCTCTCTCTCTGGACCTTCAATTCTGCAAACAGCATAGTGGCGCCCCGGTCAGGGGATACGAGGGCCCACCGGCTTTGCTCTCTGCCTGTTCGGAGTCGAGATTTGTAACGCTAAAGTATGTCTGCCCTCCCCCTTAAGAGAGCACAGAGCTCTACTAACTTGGAACTAGACACTACGTCCGGGCATTATCAACTTCAGACTGCACAAATGGAGTGTATATACGCCCGTCTGTTGATGTCATCGAAATGAGAATTAGGAGCGACGGCTGCACGTGTCCAAGTGTCCTTTTTCGTCTACCTCGCGATATCGAAAATGTCTCTGGTGCATTTGGGCATCTTGATAATATCGAAAGAATCATCATTAGCGACCCGTATCAATACATAGAGGACTTCTATAGGGAGGACTGGAGCCTGCTTCTGAAACATCTTCCAGCTCTCAAACAAATACGTATTTCAATGTACATTGGGAACGGCTGGGCCCCGTTGTTTGATACCATCACGGAAGAGGATTGGGTGGGAAAATACCGGAAATTATTGGAAATGGATATGGATGATTCAGATGATTCGGATGCGGAGTCCGAAAACAGCCCCGCTAGCAAAGCGCCAGCTTTAAGCCAAGCGCCGGCTCTAAGCCAAGCGCCAGCTCTACTCACGATCTCGGAAAGCGAGATCAAGTACATGGGTTGGAGTCCCGATTCTGATGATGGACCAAGTCCCTACTATCGCAGGGGGGGCAGGACCGAGAGCAATGAAAGCGGAGACTACGAGTTCTATTTCTCCTTCAGGGAATGGCAAGACGGCGTGGAACTCTTCTTGGGTGAGCTTTCAATGGAGGACGTCGGGGCTTGCCTCAAGGACTTCTGTCGCTTAGCAGACGACGTACAGATGCATCATCTGCACATCTACCATCACCTCCTCGTTGAGTGCAAGGAGATGTATCTACGCACCGTCTATGGGATCGAGGGTCCTCAGCGCTTCGTTTCATATGTTGACGAGTGGGAGCCGGCGGAGACACAATCACTCGGATATGAGTCTGACTCATAGGCGTCTAGAGCCCACCTGGGTGATGTTCGTCATATATAATCAATCTAGACCGAGCTTCGGACACTTTCATAGATAAAGAAGAAGATGCGTTGGATCCAATAGCTGAAGGGCTGTTCAAACATGTCCGTGGTATTTAATTACGCTTTTATTTACCACCATTCCCAACAGCTTCATTGATTCCTTTTAGCGCATGCACCATGGCATGTTCAGGCCCTAAGAACGCGATCACGGAGACTCATAATCCGCGATTGGTACCCCAACGCAAGTCTAGCCGGCCTAACCGACGAGGCTCAGGCAATGCACGTCTCCAGATGCGCAAGGTGGATTTCCTACGGTACTTGGGGGATGCCTCTTCGCCTTGCTTCATTTGAAGCACACATGGCCTCGATTGTGAGATGAGCGTGTGATGTGTTGGAGACGTTGAAGTGGACGTTGACTGCGCGGTGAGGTGTGAGGTGTGAGGTTGGGAATTGTCGCGGCGAATTACGATGTTAGCCGAGCCAATAAATAATATACAATGATTACAATGATTATTCTCATCCCAGCCTTATAAACTCGTCATGCGAGGCCGAAATCCTATAAACACGCTCATTGCTCCTCCTCTTCCTCCGAAAGCTCTGGCAAGTACTCCCGAACCCCTTCCTGTCACATATCGAAACGCTTATACCCATGGTGGACTTCCGAATGAACAGCATTCATTGCCTTTGTACAAGCAGATTTTCTGGCACTTCTTCGCTATGACAGTAAGCTGTTGATCGAGGGAGACGAGGGTCGTGGGGTCGCGGGCGCTTGAGTTCGATCTGCTTTTAATGTCAATAGAGTAGGTTTTGTCTGATTTCCATCTCCGTCTCTGCAATGACCAGTTTCTTTTGAGGACATTGTTGATAGTGATATTTTGAATGGTGATGATGACCTTCACATCTGTGCTGATGAGGATTCTGAGATGGAGGAAGTGGAGAGCGGTGCTATTAGAGGTTGCATATTTGTATAGCTATATCGCTGCCATCGTGACATATATAGCTTTTGCCCAAGATTATAAAGAGGCTGATGATACTAGCTGTGGAGTTTTTCCGTAGGCAGCCAGTAGCTTAATTCAATTAGCTAGTGTGAATCTGATTACCCTTGATCACGGGATCTCGGATCTCGGATAAACATTATCCCACTAGCTTCCGGCACTGAACTCGGTGCTTCTTCACCGACTCTCTCACAGCCACCAATTCCAGTCCATGAACGGATTCTGCCCACAGTCGACAAGATGGGTCGCAAACCAAATGGTATACCACTTCTCCCTACTCCTCTCAATCTCCTTCTCCTTGCCTGTACTCCAAATTTCTGCAGAAGGCATACTTCTCCTTGTCATCGCAAGATGGTTTGGGCGCGATCTGGGTGGGGCGACTCCACGGGCCCATCTGCCCCGTACCTGTCCGACTTGAAGAAAGATTGCTTGCTAACAGTAAATACATAGCGCTGATAATTCAGCACTTCGAAAGAGGAGCGAAACTCAACGACTCGAGCAATCGGTACGAGCATACCTGCAGATCCTGCGGCGAAAAGTTCCCCAAAGGTCGTATTGACAGCCTCACCTCTCACCTCATCAAAAAATGCCCCGCGTTGTCCGTCCAGGACCGGCAGAAGGTCCTACTCGAAATGAATAACCTTCCACACTTGCCACAAGGCGCTCAAGGCGAAGGCTTGATGAATGGCTCTACCAGAGATCTGCCAATCGGCCAGCCTCCTCAAGACAATTGGTCTGCTCTGGGAATTTTGGCTGAGGTAGCTAGGCGGAATGATACACATGAGAAGCATGATAATCGGTCTGCGAACAACTCGGGTGTCTCTGGAGGAGGCCACAATTCTGAGCCACAACGGCATCGGCTCGAGATTCAAGAGCATTACACACAAGAGAACCCCCCTGTCAGTTACGAGCAGCGTGTCCAGCACGGTAGAAAGTGTAAGCTTCCACACTCGACGGTTACTCTGATTCTTACTAACCAGACCAGTGGGCAAAACCAACCACTACGACCATAACCAGGACCGTGAGAGCTCGCTTGCTCCTGCAAGCTTCGCTGCCCATATGCCTGATGCTCGCTCTGTAACGCCTAACTTGGTAATGGCAACGAATGCAACCAATATAGCAGCAGCTGCCGCTCGCTTTGTGCCATCGATGGTCGATCCCCAGCTGCTTGGAGACGATATGAACCAACACAACAACTTGCCACAAGTGAAGTGTGAGACTCTGACAGAGGCGAATTCCCCCTATGATGATCACATGTATCACAATATTCCGGGCGAGTCGGTCATGCAATGGCCGATGCTTGACGGTTCTGGTGTTAATGTTGGGCATTACGAGGCCGATCACATCGAACAAGATATGCGGCACGCAGAGTCACCTCGCGCGGCGCCCACATACACCACGCTTGCTCCGTCTGTTGCTACGCAGACAACAATGGTAACACAGTTTAGCGCTGAAACTGGTCATGGTCATGGCAAGAAACCCGCGAAGCCAGTTGGCCGGAAAAAGTTCGATAACTTTCGTCGTCGTGAAGTCAAACTCGTCCGGCAGATGGGTGCTTGTTTGCGTTGCCGAATGTTGAAAAAACCTTGCTCTCCTGGTTCCCCGTGCGATACTTGCAGACGTGTGGAAAGTGCTCGAGTATGGAAGCAGCCTTGTGTTCGGACTCGGCTTGCGGAAGAGCTCGACGTGTTTTCTGCTGGCTTGCATCTGGTCTTAGCACACCAACAGATCAGCAATGCCAAGTCCCAAGTCGCCTTCCAGTACTCACAACACCACATCGAGGCTTCTCACTATCCAGAAACGACAGTGTATGCTACCTTCCATGCCCAAGAGGGTCACCAAGTAATTGCCCAAGAGAACATCGATCCAGGCCTCAGTGGTGACTTCAACGTCAACAGTCTACGAATTCTGGACATGGATAACGACGACCCCCCAATGAAGCTAGAGGCCTACATGAAGCGAATGTCCAACGTCTTCATCGAGCGCGAACCATCCCACTTCATGAACATCACACTCAACACAGCCCAGAAGCTGGCGATCGAGAACCAGGACAAGCTCTTGGATAAGACAGACGGACTTCTGAACAAGACCCTTGAATTCTGGGCTATCGTCCAGATCTTGGTTGATCACGAACCTCGCTGGGTCATATCCGATCGAATCAACGTTGACGCGCAACCCGGTCAAGGTCCAATCGTCAATTCGACCAGCTACGATCTTCTTGTCGCGCAGCTCAACGCAGCAGCAGAGAAGAAAGCCGCCAAGATGTGTACCGACGTTCTCATGCGTTTGGAGCGTCTTCTATTGCAGAAAATCAGCTCATTCGAGGTTTTCCTCATTGCAATCATCATCCTCAACTGCGTCGAGAAGTCAACCTGGCTGTTCAAGTCCTGGGAGCAAGTATCCTTCCGCTCGCGCTGGCCTCTGGACAAGCCTCCCAAATGGTTCGCAGACCAGGGTGAGAAGTTCACGGAGACACTGCAGATGTTGTTGAGGATGCGAGAGGTTGTTCCGAAGACATACCAGACGCCGGAGGGGACTATTGCCACGAATAAGGACCAAGTGTCGAGGGACTACTTCGAGACGCTACGCCTTGATCGTAAGTCATCTTACTCCCCCACACCCCCCCCCCAAAAATTATATGGACTAACAGAACAACAGATCGCGATGTCTTGGACAAGCAAGCCAATCACCAATTTGACCCAGCCAATTCCCGCTGCTACGAACTCCGCTTCTGCTCTCGCATTCTGCTTCCTACTCCCGCTTGATCCTGAGCCACGAGCTACCTGCTATTTCCTTCTTCATTTTCAGGACTGTTCAACCGGCGTTCCATACCCCTATCATCCACGTTGGCGTCATTTGGGAAAAGGTGTGAATATGGGCTTTCGTATGTCAAGGAACACACGCTCCTTCTACTTTAGCAAGGCGTTGTTGGCTGGCTGGTCATATGGTATCCGGTGGAGGCTAAGTGAAGAGAATGCCCTCGACCGTGGATTGCACATATAAGTGTGTTTCTTGTAAACCAATTTGCATTTGCATGAGGCTGCTCCTTCTACTACGCAGTGCTTTATGCAGTAAAACAATAAAATCGATGTTTAATAAATGCATGGCTGGTCTCTACTCCACGTCACCACCACCTAGGTACCTACCTACCTGATCGTGGAGAGCCGAGAGCTGGTCTCGTCTTCAGCTGAGAGGGTCACCTACTACTTACTACCTCCATGATAATCCCGGTCAGTCCAGATATCTAAATAGATAGTATAAGTAATTTTTCCGCGCCTACCCATCTTCACATCCACCCATGGCCTTTTTTTTTTTTTTTTCTCAATTTAATTTCTATTCCCCCTCCTCCCCCCCCCCCCTCCCCTCATGATGTACAACAACAACAACAACAACAAAAACATGACGAGAGCCTAACTAAGTGAACGAATAAATAAACAAATAAACAAACAAACAGGAACTCAAGCCCATAAAAGCACTCAACGACTAACCAACAGTTGCGCCGGCCCGAAACCAAGACTCTGGCGTGAGCGTGATGGATGATGATGGATGATGGATGATGGATGATGTTCAGTTCGATTTTCATTCTTACCGTACCTACCTACCTACCTGCGGGACGACGAGAGGATAGGATGGGATAGGATAGGATGGGATAGGATAGGATAGGATAGGATAGGAGGAAGGAACTTCATTGAACTAGGCTCGTTGATTCAGATAGTCTGGATGTATAGTACTGAGGTATGTATATATATATATATGTGTGTGTGTGTGTGTGTGTGTATAGAGAGAGAGAGAGAAGAGAGAGAGAGAGAGATCTCTAGCCGCGCCACGCACGCGCCGGTCAATCCTCGCTCGTTTCGCGCAGCAGGCTGCAGCAACAACCAAAGCAAAGCATGGCATCATACCATACCATATACCATATACCACGTACACAATCACCACCACCCCATTCATTCATTCATTCATTCATTCATTCACACATCTCGATTCTCGTCCCAACGCGCACTCGCACATCTAGTCCGATTCCCATCCATTCAGACCTCTCTCGCACTTATTATGTTCCATGTCGTAGGCCAGATCCACGCATGTATCAACCATTGTATTACTCTGCGCTCTCTCTAGCCCAGGCGAACATCCATCCATTCATCCATCCATCAGACCATGTCTTCCATCCCATCTACAGCCGGGCCTCCCTATCAGCAACGACCTGGCAAGATTTAAAGAAGCTGTCCCAAACTCCATCACATCCCTTATTTCCGCTCATAGGTCCATTCACCGCTCTTCACCCGTAAAATCGCGTTCAGCTCTAAAAACGCAAATTTATCCGCCGCCCGCTATGCCATGTAACAACACTTAAAATTGGAAATAGGAAGATGTATCATATGTCGAAGACATCGAGCCGTTTAGGCATTAAAGTGAAATCTGTCTGGCTCGAGTCTGCCAAGACCGTCTCGGGGAGCGACATATCGTCTGCGATAGTTGTTCGTAAAATCCTGTAACAAACTTCGAACCTTGCGAACACCTTCTTGACCTTCGGTTAATTTAGCACGGATGTTAGTCATGAGACGATCAATTTCCTGACTGCTGACGGTTCCCGAAGGCAGCATCCGGAGATTCTTGTCGACCCATGTGGTCGTGGCCTCGGGCATGAGCTCGAAAAGACCAAGAAGAGCACCGCTTCCGTCGGAAAAGCAGTCGTCAGGGAAAGTGATCATCATGCCGGCCAAGATATGCTTGACGAGAAGCTCGCCATTTGCAAGGAGAAGTTGTTGGACGAGTTGTTGAATCTCGACTGGATTAACAATCTTGGTCGAACTGGGTGGGTTCTCGCCACCATACCCGATGACATCGCGGATATAGTGCAGACACACGCTGAGAGGATCCCGTTGCTCTAGAGCCAGAGCAGAAACAGCGGCTTGAAAGAGTGGCTCGAAGAGCTGGGAGTGGACCATCTTCTGGGGATAGTATAGCAGCGCATCAACAAGAAGGCGGTAGAAATCCTCGATGACATCTGGTAGTTCATGCGGTAGCAGATCGCTCATCATCCGGAGTGTGTTAGTTGACTGGGCCTCGAAAAATGTGTAAATTGCCTCGGATGTCTGCTCGGACACATGTTCCCGGTCTTCGGAGAACTCGCGCAGAATAGCACTTGTGGCCCAGAGGAAACATCCTTGTTTCGAGGCAGCAAAACCAGACGCAAGCTTGTCTGCCATAGCCGGGAGGAGAGGTGCGATAGCGGTACGGTATGAAATGACCATAAATCGCCAGTTCCGGCAGATCCGTTCGCAGATTGGGGTGAAGGTCATGTAGCTGTCCATGATCGTCGACAAAATGGGGAAAATCTCTTCGCAGTATTTGACCGCTGGATTTTGTTGGCCAGGCTCTACATATGGCTTAACGATTTGGATAAAGATAGTGATTAGTTGAACATGATCTGGAAGTGAGAAATTAGCCCAAAACTCAAGTTTGAAAGAAAGCAAACATACCTGCAACCGCCAACTTCCCATTATCGTCAGTGGCCTGATTGGCCAAAGTCATGAGCTTAGCCATCAGCGGGTCACAATAGAGCTTTAAGTAGTCGAATATCTGTGCAGGAGGCTGGACAGCTACGACCGATGCGACGCCTTCGGTAAGCTCTTCTTGGCTGATCAGAGGGAGCTTACCCAGAGTCTGATTGTAGAAACTCTGAAGCTGGACAACCTGACCACCTAGCAAGTGCTTACAGTCAGTACAGAAGAACTTCATCGCCATCGCGGCAGCTCGAACGATCTCCTTCGAGTCCGTTTCGAATGACGAGACGATGTATGTGAACTGGGATTCCAGTAGTTCGGGGTGGTTCGAGGTCCACTCTGTGTAGCGCCCAATCACCATGATGGTTGCGAAGCGCAGCTTCTCGTGATGTGGGATTTGAACGATGAGAGGCATGATTTGTGGGAGGATGATATCCTCGTCCTTATCAACCATTCTTCCCAGAGCCCGCATGCTAAAGATGGGTGCCTCGAGTTGTTGCCAGTGAGGTACTGAAGTGTTAGTTGCCATTCCGGCGTACGAGCCCATCCAAGCCTTGATTCTCTCCAGGACCTTGGTCAGACACTCCGTTACACCCATAATCTCGCAGCAGTCCTTCAAGACGTCACCCATGTGGTGTCGGAATTCGCGGTATTTTTCCTCGGCTTCCTTGTCACCATCAAACGAGTCAAGTGAGTTCGGATCGTCTGGCGTCGGGAATTCGAGCTGCTTTAGCATGACATCTACGAGCTTCGAATAGACATCCATATACTGCATACGAGCCTCTATATACCTCTCTAGAATAAGATATAGCTTCAACTCGTACCAGAATATGAAAGTAAGGGCGATAGCATCTCTATCGATATCTCTGGCGGCGCATTCCAGGACGGCTTCAACGAGTGGTCTGAAGACCAACGGATCACGCGCGATGAGGACAACCCAGGCCTCTCCGGCTTCTGCGAAAATTCTTGTGATTCCCTTAAACGATTCGATATCTTCCTGCTGCTGAGCCTGTGCAATCCGAGGCTGCAAAGCAATTACACGCGGCAAGAGGACCTGGATGGAATGGAGGTATTCGTCAACGTCACGTGTCTCCCTAAAGATGGCGCAGAGACAATCTGTTGCTGCCTCGAAAGACTGGTCGGTATCGAGGGCACTGAAGGCGACATTCAGCAGAGGGGAGTTTACAACATCGGCGACTGGTACTTCGCGTAGCCATGATGTTATGACTTCAAGTAGTTGCGGGTTAGTTGCGGCGGTTGCTACAACATTCTGTTAGTTAATGGTTGGCCATGCTTTCGATGATCCGTACCTGATGACTGCGCGTAGTTGATCAAAAGCTGAACCACTATACCGGCGTTGTCTCCCAAAAGTTCCTGCGTCCTCTGTTGCAACTCATCTTCCTATGACAAAGGATTAGACTGATACCATATTTCTCTCGCCAACCCAGGGTCGTTGTAGATTCTTGCAGGATGGTGATTTTCGGCGCACATACAGTCAAAGTGATCTTTCGTCCTTCGGTGACTTCTTCGGGGAGAACCTTGAGGAAATCCAGGATACAGGCGTGGCTATCCGGGGTGTTGCCCAGAACGGATACAACCATTTGAACCACATCCTTCCAACCAGTCATTTGTATGGCCAAAATAGCCAAACAGACACACAGTTGGACTCGAATAGGACGCGGCCCTGTTGCAAATACCTTGAGGAGGTCTAGGATCTGGTCTCGGAGTGAGGGCAGTGCCTCAGCCGGTATTTGCGTGACATCGTAGGTAATCTAGCACCATCAGCACAGCGAACCCACATCTGCCCATGTGTACCCTCCTACCTTGCCCCGTAGAGTTGTCGCGGCGAACAGTTTAGCCTCTGCATCTGCCTCAGACTGTAGGATGCCGATGGTAATCTGCCATGCTTCCGCCTGCGAAACCGGTAAGCCTTATATGATCTTCCGAGGTGGGAGCTCGCAGCTCGTCTGCCTCCTCCGCGACGTACCGATTTCTGAAAGGTCTCCAAATAGTGATGCGCTGCCTTTTTCTGCTCCCTTTGGCCATCGCGCATGGTAGCCATAGCCGTCAACACGGGCGCGAAAGCCCCCACGCCATTCGAGACCATGGCGACCATGGTGATGGAGGGGCAGCCCGGAATGCGGAGGGGTCGAATGCGCTCGTGAGAAGGACGCGGTAGGTTAGGACGGGGGTTTTGAAGATGGCAACAGAGATGGTGGAAGGCTTTTGCGAAAGTAGAAGCTTTGCAAGGCGTGAGAGATGACGAGTTGGGAGAAAGGATGGAGTTGACTGGTTCTCTTAGGACGGTGAATTGAGCCGACACCGTCGCCCCACTAGCGCGCCTTTTGAATTTTGGCAGCCTCGTTCTCGTTCCAGGGCTTCCTTTTGCAATCTCAATCAACGCGACAGCGACTGCCGTAGTCAACCATACCCAGCTCTTCGACACAACTGGATCCTTCTGCTTGAATTTTCTACCAGTCACCCGAACGCTAGCAAATATGAACAGAGGCGGTGGAGGAGGCGGACGCAAGGTCCTTTTACCCCCCATCAACTTCATCTTCAAGCTCCTGCAGCAACGCTCGACGGTCCAAATATGGTTATACGAGCAGCTGGCAATCAGAATTGAGGGCAAGATCAGGGTCAGTGCTTTTGGTATTAGCGTCGGAATTAGAGATAACTGGTTCTATGCTGATGTTCACTCTTAGGGTTTCGATGAGTTTATGAACCTCGTTATCGACGATGCGGTGGAAGTCAAGCAGGCAACGAAGACCAGCGCGGAGAGTAGGAGAGATTTGGGTATGGAATCTGTATTATATTCACATCTAAATGAGCTAATATGGGCCAGGACAAATACTGCTCAAGGGAGACAATGTTTCATTGATCCAGAGCTTGAACGGTTGAGAGAGTATCTATCGAGTGGCGTTATGGGCAAGAAAGTTATGATCGCCGGGGACAAAATCACGATAAGATTGCGGAAAGCAGAGGTGGAGTTTCAAGTGGTTTCCTGGTTCATCTGTCCTCAGAATTCAATTCTCTGATAGGGCCCTCCAAGACTTTTCCATCGCCAACCACCAGACTGTGCAGGAGATTATCATGGTCTCCAACAGGCACCGAAAAGCCAGTCTCGGTGGCCAGAAATTGCTCCCGGAGAGCCAGGCCGCACAGCAATACATCGGTTCCTGGACTTGTTGTCTCCCGAATCTGTGACCCTCGACTCTGCACATATCTATGCAAAAAGTAGTCATAGAATCCTTTTCCATGGCCAAGGCGCCTCACATATCCTGACTTTGGATCAATATCAAAGGCCACTCCGGGCACGAGGATCATGTCAAGTGGCCTGCTCTCCTTCATCGAGCCCTGCAGTATGTGCTCTCTCTTCTCCACGGTAGCTGCATCGATAGTAGGGATTCCCCAACTATCTCTTTCCAAGGACTCGTAGTCCGAGAGGGATGTTAAATCTACCATATCCATGACCGAGCGTGGGGTATCAGGTGGTGGATCCCGAGCTTTGTGGAGAAACGGTACAAAGACCTGCTTGCCTGATTCAAGGGCGTGGCGTACAATTTCATCTGTTTGGACTTCGCCAGTTGGCATGGAAAGATAGATGCCAACGCGTTTTGCTTGTTGGTATGGTTTGAAGCTGATCACGTTCTTGAATATGATGGTACCTGGATAGCGGTTAGTGGGGGTCTCAGATGTGCGGTTAGGTACCTACTCTGAGCATTTGTAGACTCTGAAGAGATATTTGAGAGCTTCTTCTTCATCAAGGATCTCAACTCTTTTTTTGCAGCCTTTAGTGCAACGGGTGAGGCGGCCATTGCTTCGCTCTGGATACTCGCGCTCATCTCATTTGGCTTTTGACTCGAGTACTAGTCATCAGGGTTTCCCATTCTGATTCCGTTCTACAAAGTGTCAGTGTGTATAGTCCTCAAGGTTTGCTTTTCTGGTATCGAGGATAGGTGTCGTTGGGCAGGACCCTGGTCTGCCCAGGAGGTAAAATCAGGCAAGCAAGCCAAGCAATGCCATCCGAAAGTCTGAGAGGGCCAAATTACGCCACTGTGGCTGCTTGCTCAATCCTCATTCGCTGTTGTGGTTCTATTTACAATTGCTATACAAGGTCCTGCTCCCCCAATACAACCACTGCACTTGTTCACGCGGAACCATGCAATCGCTCTCTCTAAAGTCGTTACTAGTCGTAGGTGCTTGCCTTGCCTCTGCAGCCTCCGCCCTCAACACCAAGCTCGTCGGAACATGGTCGACGAAATCCGCAAAAGTGTTGACAGGCCCGGTACGTTTCCATCTATCGAACAGGGAGAAAAGCATGCCGTGTCGACGATGATCCAGGGGCCGAAGGCTGATGATGCGGCATACAGGGCTTTTACAATCCGATCAACGACAGTTTCATCGAGCCGAAGCATACAGGCATTTCCTACTCGTTCACAGCGGACGGGTTTTATGAGAGCGCATACTACAGAGCGATTTCGAACCGTACGTACGCAGAGTCCGAGAAAACATTGCTGGCCTGAAGGATGCTGAAGAAGGATACAGCTACGAAGCCATCATGTCCGCAAGCGATCATGCAGTTTCAACACGGGACCGTCGTCGAGAACGCAAACGGGTCTCTCAGTCTGACGCCGTTCAGCGTCGACGGCAGGCAGCTGCTATCGAATCCATGCGCAGGCACTACATCCACATACACGCGATACAACCAGTCCGAAACCTTGGAGGCACGGATTCCCCCCCCCCATCCAAACACTCGTCCACTGTTTCTAACGATAGCAGAAATACCAAGTCTACGTGGACGCCTACTCCAAGATGACCCGTCTCGACCTCTACCAATTTGACGGCTCCCCAATGCACCCCATGTACCTTGCCTTCAACCCGCCGCAGATGCTGCCCACGGTCACCATGAACCCGACAGTGACAGCTACCGCTGTAGGAACGAAGGCGAAGCGGACGTTGGGGGCCGGAGAGGGAGAGGAGCTCATAGAGCCGCTGAATAAGAATGCTCCGCACATCACGCGCGATCACGAGCTCACTTTTATTCAACGAGTCGATTTGGATATGCTGTGGTATACTGGCGTAGGAATGCTCGTTACGGGAACGGTTGCGTACTGTCTATGATTAGGCGGGTGAGGAGGTGGGAACGTCAATAGAAGGCACATCACAGCGGGAATACCATGATTTCACCACAGGAGTTCCGGAGTCGGAGTTATTTAGCACTTGGGGTTTTAGCATTCTTAACTATGGAGAAAGAAATAATACCAGAAAAACATCCGGGGTAGGCGTGTCTAGGGGTATCATTTTACTTACTGTACTGTACGCATTCTATGTAAAGCAGCTATCCCAGAGGCCACCTGCCCGCGCAAACGTCAGACTATCCACAAACGCACCCAGCGTGCATCTGCCCAGCTCATCGCCGCCGCAAGTCTCAAGCGGCATCACGCGGTCGTTAACGACCACCCTGACCATTTCCTCCGGCTGTCCCGCACACCTCATCTTCTCAAAGTACGCTCTCGCACTGAACGGCACGATGCGACTGGCTTGGTATCCATTCGTCTCATTGAGGCTCATGAACGTCGTGTTCAGCAGCGGGGGTGTAGAATTGAACAGCCCAATGGCGGAGAAAATAGTCATCATGTCGTTGTCATGACTGAAATCTGCATAAAGGATCGCACCCAGCGGGAAGGTGGCGTTCGAGCCCGTCATCGTGGAATTCGTGCTCGTGTGGTCCACGACCGGCGAGCTCGCCAATCGCGCAATGAGCTCGTTAGTGAAGCCCACGCCTTGGGTCGGACCCAGCGGGTTACCATTGGAATAGCGGTAGTACTTCCCCACGCTTTGCCAGTAATCGTAAGACTGCCACTCGGCGACGGTGAAGAGGCTGCAGAAGGGGGAGAGAGTGCCGGCATCGTCGGCGACGGTGTTGAAGGGGCAGAGATCCATCATCAAGATCGTGTCGTCGTCGGTCAGGTTCGCGCCGGGGAGGTTCTCGTTCAGGCGGGCGGTGATGGGGGGTGTGAAAATGGCTTGCCATTCTTCCTGGGCGTCTTCGCCGATGGAGCTGAAGACGCCGTCTTCGAAGCTGGTGCAGAGGCCGTGGTCAAGCGTGTTGTTCTTACCGGCCTCTTCGCTGATGAGCATGATGGGGAAGGGGAAGCTTCCATTGATTGTGGCGCTGGGGTCGTGGAGGCGGGCTGTGTGGAAGCCTTGGGTCCAGTTCGTGGCGGATTCAACGACTCGTGTTTGATTTGAAGCTCGGATGAAAGGGGCGATGGCCTTGGTGAGAGTCTTGTATCTGTTGTAAAACTTGGTGCCTGAGTTCACCATTTCGTTCTGGCCAAATAAAGTGAGCTGGTCAGCACCGAGAGTGTAGTTATAGTCCTTGATGAAGGCAAAGCTTCCGTTGTAGGAAGTTGCTTTGGTGTGGATCTGGGTGATCAGGTCTTGATACTGGTTGGTTTTGCCCTCGGTAGGATCTCGAGCACCGTGACGGGAGAGCATTTGAGCGAAAGTGATTGTGCAATGCTCAGGTACTTCTGTAGCGATTTCTGATGGTACCGCGTAGTAAGGAGAGTTCTGGCCCCAGAATCGAGATATCTCAGGCTGGCACGTGAAACCATCAATGCTATCGCATTGTGCTTTGACATGCGAGATCGCGTGGTCCCTGATTTGATGTTAGTAACAGTGATACGTACAAATAAGTAAAGGCAAAGAATATCAGAAAAGTGCAAGAGCTAAACTAATGGTCCAGCTCGAAGAACGACTTACGCGATGGCCAAGTAGAGAAACAGGACAACAGCCAAAGCACCCATTATGAATATCCACGTCCTGTGCTTGCTGTTCCTACTGAATTGCTTCAGATGCTGCTTTAAGAGAACGTGATGTTCCGAGTCAAGATCGACGCTGTATCGGGGCTCCTCGTCGCCAGCTGGCATGCCCTCATCTTCAGGGGGAACAGCCGCATAGTTATAGCCATGATGAATGCCGTCTTCTTCCCTAACGGACGAGGTCCTGGAGGTCCTGGAGGGGCCTGTGGTCTGCATCTTGGTGGCTCCCGGTGCATCTAGTACGGCAAGGCGAATTCGATATCTTGAAGCTCGGCCGGTGACGCGAGTAATTGTGGCGAGCTGTGTATTTTTTCGGCAGAATTATTTCTAATGAGAAAAGGGACGGCTCGGCCCCGCAAAGAGCCGAACCAATGTTCAGTGTTGAGAGGCCGCAAGATACATAGGAAAGGTGAGGATGCGTATGAGAAGTGTTGGTGCGTGCCGAGGGGCGACTTTTCCGATGTGTTGTGAAACGATGGCGGCCACGGTTGATTTTCGAAGTCGTCAAGGCGGCTCCTGCCCGATCTCAGTTCGCCGACGACACATGGTGCACCTCGAGTCTTTGACTGGCTGAGAACGGCGTGAAGTTTCTGTCGCCTCCGATCGATAGCAATATCCGAGATTCGATAATTTGAGTAAGTATCTCCTAGTCAATATTGATCTAGAGGCTCATGAGATCGATCAGCGAAGGGGCGATTTACGCTGTCGTTCGGGTCAAAAGGACAAGGCCCAGGAATTGCCTACCCAGCCTGCCGAGTTGTTCTGACTTGAAATTTCGTTTTAACCGAATATGAATGAAGATAGGGAAATATCATAGATAAGAAAGCCATATTCGTAGATCGACACCCAGGGCAACAGGCATTGCCAAATGCATTTTTATTTGACGCAACAGAAAGAATTTGAGTCCATGCACTTTCTCAAGCTTGCAGTCCAGTGCAAATATAGACTTAACAGCATTCAATCCTTGTGTCGATCGAGCAAGTCAGACGCGGGGAATTAGAGACTTTAAAACTTCCAACGGACACCCCGGCCAAGAGTGCCACACACTACACAAAATAACATTTACTGATTCACAGGGAGTTTGAGGTTAGCAACAGATGTCGATGTAGAAAGAACTACTCGTGAGGTTCATAATTGATCTCATTCTCTTTCGCCGACCCGTCGGGGCTAATATCTAGAACGTCGATGTAAACAAACCTTGGCCTAAGCGAGTTCATGCTTCTTTCGACCACTCCACATTTTCCAGATTTCTTCGCCACATACCGACCCGATGATTTCCTCTACACAGCGTGCATTTGCTAATTCCCCGCACCCCATGCACAAAATGACAGAGTCGGCGCCATGCATCCCGCAAAACGAACTATGCAATATTCTCATTGGTACAGTTTAAACACCCGCGCAAAGGGGTATATCTACAAACGGCTTATGATAGCTCCGGCATACTCGTGTGTCTTGGCCTTTCCTCCCAAATCACCGGTCAACGACTTCCCTTCCGCAAGGGTATCAAAGATAGCCTTTTCAATTCTTGCTGCGTGGTCATTCAAGCCCATATGTCTCAACATCATGATGGAAGAGAGGAGGAGAGCAGTGGGGTTGGCGAGAGCCTTGCCAGCGATGTCGGGGGCGGAACCGTGGACAGCCTCGAAGATGGAGCACTCATCTCCGATGTTTCCAGAAGGAGTGAGACCGAGACCACCGATAAGACCAGCGCACATATCGGACAGAATGTCACCATAGAGGTTTGGCATGACCAGAACCTTGTCGTTGTAAGGTGCGGGGTCGGTAACGATCTTAAGGCAGGTGTTGTCGAGGAGCTCAGAGTCGAATTCAACCTTAGGGAAGTCCTTGGCGACACGGACAGCGGTACCCAAGAAGAGACCATCACTCATCTTCATGATAGTAGCCTTGTGCACAGCCCGAACCTTTAATCTTCCGACATCCTCGGCGTATTGGAATGCGAAGCGGAGCACGCGCTCACTGGCCTCCCGAGTGATAAGCTTGATGCTTTGCACGACACCATCCACCACAACGTGCTCAATACCAGAGTACTCTCCCTCGGTGTTCTCTCGGATCAGAACAGTGTCTACGCCATCATATGGGGTCTTGTATCCTGCGATGGAGCGGCAAGGTCGGACGTTGGCGAAGAGGTTGAAGGTTCGGCGGAGAGTGAGGTTCAGGGAAACATGGCCCTTTCCAATTGGGGTCTGTACATATATCAGTAAATGCCACAACAAAACCGAATGTATGTCCTTACGGCAAGAGGGCCCTTGAGAGCAACCTTGTTTTTCTTAATGCTCTCAATGGTCTCTGGGAGGATGGAGGTTTTGCCGTCTACCAATTGCGGTGTAACGTCGACTGGTTCCCACTTGATAGGAGTCTTTTCCACTTGTTAGTAACATTTCCTCCACCATTAGCCCTCGGAAACGTCGTACCTTAGCAGCCTCAAAGATGTCCTTGACGGATTGCGAAATCTCTGGTCCGATACCATCACCCTCGATCAAGCTGACAGTGAAAAGTCCCTAGAAAGATATCAGCCCTTATGTACTCCGACTTCCATATTCCCAAGCTCAATTGAGTCAGTCGCGGAACCATTAACAGATCTATCTTGGCCGGGAGGAGGGAAAGTCGTACATCCGAGCCCTTCTGGCCAGTGAACTTTGCAACTTTGTCCTTCTCTGCCAAACCGGTCGCGTATTGACGTCGAGACTGGACAAAAGGTAATCAGCAAATGGAAAATAACGATCACGGCGTTGCTCCCTGCGACTCGCCTGGAAGGAGAACTCACTTGGACGGAAGTGGGGACCCAGGCGCGGGTAGAAGCTTGCAGGCACTGTCGCCGCGCTGGGGCAGCGAAAGAGCGTACTGCTAACATTGTGAGAGGAGTGCACCGAGATACCTGTGCAGACAATGTGCAAGAGTATGGATGAGGGTAGGGAATGACAGGATTTCAGTATCGGGATGGAGATGAGGAGGGAAAGGTTTGTGATGCTCGGGCTAGGCGCGGCAAATGGAACTTCCTTCCTGTGGTTCCGTCGGGCTTGTGGTCGGCAATGGCCGGGAAGGCTGAAGGGGTGTGACACGAGAAAACAACCTGGTGCAACCCCAATCGTGACAACTTCAGAGCGACGAGGCTGAACGTTCGAAACCATTAGGACTACGAGGAGCAGATGAATGCGACGGCGACAGCGACAGCAAAATTACGATTTGCAATACTCCCAATCCCCTCAGCATGGCAGACTATGAGCGAACAGTTTTGGAGCACTACCAACTCTCTACTGCCTACCCCGTGGAATGGCCTGCGGAAAAGGACAACAGCGATGCCTCTGACGAAGAGGAAGAAGTAAATCGCGCACCGAATGGCAACATTCCCAATTCAAAGTCGAGGTATTCTGCGTTGCAACGAGCTGAGGGCGACAGAAAGAGTATCCCAGGCTCACAAAGGGGAGACAATGGAGTCGAGACCATGGTGCAGAGGGACGAGCCGGATCCACTGGGCAGTACAGATAGTGTTGTGAGGATTCTACGGCAGCTGGGTCTGCCAGTACAGGAGGATCCGAGGCTACGTAGGTGTACACTCTTTGAAGCATGGGTATATCAGCTAATAGGATGCGAACAGGTAATCGGTTTCTTATGTCCTCGACCACATTCTCCCCAGCTCTATTCTTATCTCAAGTACACTCTACTGCTTCTACACAGGACCTTATTCATGGCCTCGACGTGCTGTCGAGGTCGATTGACCAGAAATCTGCGTCTTTGAAGGTCTTGGTCGAGTCCAATTTCGAGCGCTTCGTTCGCGCCAAAGCCACAATTGACAATGTCTACACCGAGATGAAATATCGCGGTGTACAACCGCCTCAGCCAACTTTGGGGCCTCGATCACGCCATGCCAGCAGAACTAGCTTCCGGGCAAGCAGTGGAAACCAGGCGGGCATGATCCTAGCCCCTCCAGATGCCAGGAAGAAGAATGCCTTGACGAAAGAGAGCGAGTATGGAGTTCTGGGCATCAAGACCCCGCTTTTGGACGTCTCTGCAAAGGCCGAGGAAGTATGGGGCCCGGCACTCGGGGGCCGTGAGAAGGAGGACAGCTACAAAGTCATGGGCGGGACTGTTCAGCGCTACAAAGACTTGTATGAAGTCGGTGCCGCTATTACAGATAGCATCAAGCGAAAAGACTACGAAAGCGTTGTAGAGGAATATGCAAAAGTAAGGCGATTTGCCGAAGATGCGAAAAAGCTCTCTGTGGCTCTGGGCGATTCACCTCCGACAGACTCCCAGATATATCAATTACTGCTGGCAGCACGTGTTTGGAACGACGTGGAAGAGCAAATCGGGGATTTCAAGCGCGATGTCTGGAAACGACTTGTTGCAATGCAAAATGTTTCTACCAGGACAGGCGGCATGGAGGGCCCCCAAGATCAGCATATGGAATTGATTGGCGTCTTACTCGAACTCGGTGTGACTGACAACCCTGTTTGGGTTTGGCTGTTAAGCCGTTATGACCATCTGAAGAGCAAGATCCAGACCACTTCGGAAAGAACCAAGATTGAAATCGAAATATCACGGAGGCGCCTGGCGAATAGTGAGCGACCGACTACCCACCTAATAGCATCGCATTTGAGATCCCTTGGTAGACAGACACTTGAGGAGAAACCTACTTCGGTGGACTCATCGGAAATTATTGAGTTATGGGAGAAGATTCATACATTTCTCAGTGCTATGCTTGCCGCTGATGGAATCCTTGGGGAGGTTCTTGAGTTCTGGCAGACCATTCAGAATTTCATCGATGGAAAGGCCCAAAAGTCCCTTCCTTCCGGTATCAATGGGGAGTCTCGCCACCACCATCGACTTTCGGATGAGGGCATTCTCCAATTGCAGAAAGGAACGATCGAGCTAATAGATATGATGCGGGAGAGCATATTTGCATTTTTCTCTGAGCCGCCGATTGAGGATATATCCGCACTATTTTCACCATTGCCAGCAACTCCTCGAACACCCGTATTCTCTGGAGCTGGATCACTGACTCCATCGGCACTCCGAGAAACTCGTTTTAATCTGGACCCTAACGACATCCCTCCCCCTTCACCCAGAAGAGGGGAAGCCTGGGAGAAACATGCGTTCTGGCCTCCCTGGTCGAATTCCTTGAGCGCGGTCCATTACTTGGGCAAACTGCTAGTTTTGGTGGGAACTGGGGCCAGTGAGATGGCGGCGATTTCTCCTATTGGAAATGGCGACGGCTCTGCTCTGGAGCGATTGAAGAGCCTTGTTGGCGAGGCCAGAGAACGATGCGTGATTGCTGTCTGTGCTGCATGGAACAAAGATGCCGAGGACATCAAGGTTCTGGAAGACTGGAGACGATCTCCTGAAAAACGGGATCTGACTAGAATGCCTGCTTACTTCAACGCTTTCGAAAGCGCAGTCTTGACAGGTATGCAGAAAATTCTCTACATCTCTGACGCTATGGTAAAGTCCGATCCTACCAACATTGTCTTTCCACCACCTACCAAACTTCTTCAGATGGTTCGAAGTCAATTTGTCACCACGCTCTACAGGTCGTTGAGCGGCATGGTAGAAAATGCCGAAAAAGCTGTGAAGAAGGCCGAGGATGACTGGACAACGGACAATGATGGCTTGGCGAGTCCTGTTACAATGATGGTCGCAACTAGTATTGGAGCTGGAACTGTCGATGCCAGTGACCGAGTAAGTTGTTCAAACCTTGAAATGAGCAACAACTGATTAGGACAGAACGTTCGCATGCTTCTTACCTTGAGCAACCTTCAAGCCCTCAGGACCGACGTCGTCCCCAACCTGACCACGCAATTCGAGAGCGCCTTTGCTGTAAAGCTGACCGAGGAAACAAAAACCATCCGCGACGTTCTCGGCCAAATCGATGCACGTCTGTTCCAATCATACACCCGTCCGGCAGTCAACTCTCTCAGCGCCATCATTCGTGCTGGTATCTCCTCCCCTGACTGGTCCCCTGGATCTTCAGAGAAGCCTCGCGAGGTCCGCGCCTACGTCTATGAGGCTCTCCTCGGTCTTGTCCTTGTCCATACTCAAGTATCCACCACCGCTTCCACTCTCACCGCACAAGTACTCTCCTTCCTGCTAGAGCAGATCTCTCGGGAACTCCTCGAAGCCTTCAAGGCACGCCAACGCTATACTCTCTCCGAGCTAATGCAAGCAACCCTTGACCTAGAGTTCGTAGCCCAAACTTTAAATCAATACACCACCGAGCGAGCGAGCGAGATCCAAAGTCAGATTTACCAAGAGCTGGATAAGGGCACCGACAATGATGCGAGAAGCAGATTGCAGAGCGAGTTGCCAGAAATGAGAGCTGTATTGAAGAGACTGAGAGAGGGGAGTAGGAGTGAATTTGCCTGCTTCAAGAAACCTAGGAGAGCCGAGAGGCCCTCCGCAACCCAGAGTCCAGGTAGTTCGCAGCCGAATGATGGGCAGGTTATGTGAGCAGTGTCTAGGGTGCTGTATAATGCTGAAAGCTTTGTAAGTTCTTGGTAAGATATGGTCAATCAGCTGGTAGATACCCAATGCATTCTGCCTTTAGTGTCTTTTGTTTTTTTCGTCCGACATGGATTTTCCATTGGAAATCTACTATCCTTTCGGCTGGAATTTCAAACGCGTTACCACCATGTACAGCCAGCATTACTGCACCATCCCCATGCATTCCCTTCCTCCTCTCTGTGAGCACCACTCATGGCAAAACAGATAAAAATCACACCACGGATTGAACGGTAACTATTTTGTGAGAAGATTTGATTTCCACTTCCACTTTGTAATTGCTGCTGCTACCTGGTTAAGAGACGGTTATTCGGATTCATAAAAGTAGCTCCAAACCCGAGCCTGAAGCCTACCAAGGCACTCCCACTCAGCAGCCACCATCAGAAAGCAGTCTCAAGACTCCCGCGAAAACTTATTCTATCCCGGAATCTTGTTTCACTCAACCACGCAACGACATGGAGAAAAAACCCAAACGATGAACGATGACCCCTTTGTGCCCAAATCTCCATGCCCGAAGCACAACCTCAAAAAGATGGACCGAGTTTCGAGATGGAGTGCAAAGAAGCAGAAATACCAAGGCCGATAAGATCAGTACTTGGACGCAGCAGCTTGGGGATGGAAAAAGTCGATGCCCAGATCCTCAGCCGTGCGGTAGCCTTGCTTGAACTTTGGGTACTTTGGTGGGTTCCACTTGTCTCCAGAAAGGTACACCTGTATCCGCATCAGCATAATCCAATTCCTATGACCTTGTCGGGCTTACCAATCGCTCAATGATCATCTCGTACGCCTTCTCGATAGCAGCCTCCGTGCCATAGAAGCCAATCTCCCGCATTTCCTGACCGCCAAACTCTTGCTCGGGGATCTTGAGATGACACTTGGTCGATCTCTCCACCCTCTCCATGAAAGCCCAGCAGTTTCCGTTGAGCTTGGGAAGATCTTTGACCGAGATCATCATGGTATCGAACTTCTTTCCCTCAGCGGCCTTTGGGACAAGTGAAACGAACTGGAAGTCAGGCTTATTTCCTCCCTCCCAGTTGTTCATCTCATCTTCGAGGGAGCAATTCGGAAGAACAGAGCCAGCATTGACCAATTCAACCTCCTTCTCAATCGACTTCTTGACTCGAACCTGACCTGGGGTCATGCCATCGCCGCGGGCGGGGATGAAGCCCATGGATTCGTCAATCTTTCCTGCCATGGAGCGCGGAAGCAGGTGGGTGGGGACGACGAAGAAGACTTCCTTGAGACCCTTAACACCGGGGGCCAACTCGTTCCAAGCTACCTCTTCATGTCTACCGTGAAGTGCTTGCATAACAGAGCAGCCGCCGGCGATTGCTTCTCCCATGGCACAGGTTTCTTGGTCAGGTCCGTGGACAGGATCATCGACATTCCATGTGTGGCAGTTGGTGACTTGACCGCTCGTCAGGATAGCCAATCGCTGGATGTTGACCTCATGGTCATGTTGATCTTTGATGAAGCGAACGATGGTGTTCATGCAAGTGTTTTCGGCGAAGAGGATGATGTCCTCTTTATGATTGAAATATGTCATAATCTTTTCAAACTCGGAATCAGCGCTCTTGAATTTGGGATTGGTGGAGAAATTGACGAGGGTCCAGAACCGATTAGCCTCCGCTCTAGATTCGACGCAGACGTTCATAATGCTTGGAGCGATACAAGAGCGGGGGGGCGAGTCGGTAGCGGTAGTGCGATACCTTGTCGTCCGAGTCGGCACCATCAAAGATGACCTGGAGAACTCGACCCGTGGGAAAACTTCGTCTCCAAATTTTGATACGAAGCTCAAAGGGTAACTTTGTGAAAAGAGTGAAGGACTTCAGTGGTTCACTAGGTTTTGTCAATAACGAACAGTTTGTTGACAAGATCTGACATACCCTTGTGGCTTAGCTACACGAGCTCCAGCGGTCCCACCTGCAGTCATGGAGAGGTGATTCATAGCTATAGGGATTTCACCGACTTGACGGTCACCTGCTGGTTGACGAGCCATACCACGACCGGCATTACTGCCTTGGTTCTGACGAATCTTGTTGAATGGACCGGCAGGGGCATCCGATTTCTTGGTGTCGGTGGACCAGTCGGAGGACTTCGTGCGGTTTACATACTTTGTGGAAGGATTAGGAATTGTGTTCAGATCGAGAGGTTGCCACTTGCGGCCCTTGGCCTTAGGACCGCCAATATTGGATGGCTTAGGTATGGGAGCAACGGGTGCAGCAGGCGAGGTGGGCGCGGTTATGTGACTGCCTCAAGTCTGTAAATATTAGGATGTGATGTAAGAGCAAGGCAGGAGGGGAAATTCTCACTGTGCCGGCTGGAGGAGAAATCTTGCCAGGCATTTTGTTCAAGTTCCCCGTGTAAGGTATCTGAGGAAGGGCCAAGTCGGTAGGCGAATTCGTTGAGTTGGACTATGTGTCTGTTGAAAAAAGTCAAAAGATGTCGTAAAGAAGTTGTCGATGAAGACGATGTAGTTTGTTTCGAAAAGACCTGTAGAGAAGGCCAAGGACGGTGTTATATAGGAGCCGTTCAAGCGGCGTTAGTCACGCTAGCCTGCTAAGCGAACATCCTCGATCTGTGAATATACACAAAGAATGCATCAATTAGCAAGCCCAATCGGGCTAGACCGTGAGTAGCTGCAATGACGAACTTCACCCTTGTTATTCTTCGCGTCTCCTGATCGAAGCGCCGCGGTTTTCGTCCTTCTTGCTCGCTAGCAATCGCTAGTGATAGATTGTATCGATATAAGCATTTATTACGGTATGGAAAATTTTAAACAACCTTTTTATAAATTGAATACGTAGTGAGAACCATATCATACCAACTATATACTTTACGTAGCCCAGAGTGTAATGGGCTTTGAGGTACAAAAAAAAAAAAATCCTAGCAGCTCATCAATCGTTCACTGGAGGTCATCCATAGTTCGCGTAAATCTCCACATTTATTTAAAAACACCCCCCATTTTTACTACAAGCGCGTGTGCATGCGATAGGTATCGCATATGCAATACACGCGCACAAATGGATAAAGAGACTTACGATTTGATGGTTGATAGACATTATTGTTATTGTGGCAGATTGTGGTTATTGTAGTTTTTAATTGTAGTTGTTGTAGTTGAAAAGGTAAAAAGAGAATAGAAGAAAAGCGATATGAGTAGGTATTACCGGTAGTAAAGGAAGTTGAGGCTGAATCACTTGTCTCTAAGAATTGTATCGTAGACACAATTTAAAGGTGAATAGATAAGTCCCGTGAACTACTAGTTTTTATCAACAGATTGGCAGGTGGTATAAGTAAGATGGCCCTTGCTAATCCGAATACTTCTCACCACTCAACTCCCAGGTATATACAAATTCTCATATTCGTTAATGAATACTAACGAAATGGAGCGGTCCCCTTACCAAGTTCACCAAGCCCCGGAATTTCCAATTGAGCTTCGTACCAAGATCTGGAAGCTCTGCTTGCCCGCAGATCGGATTCTTGAAGTCATCTGGGATGGTTCGGAGCAAAGTTAAGAGAAATCATCTCACTTCCGTTACCGTTTTGCCCCGCGATCAGGTCAGCATACTTCCTCGTTGGATTTGCCCAACGCTTGTCAAGCTGCAGCAAAAGATCCTGAAGCAAGATTACCCCACGCAGAATCGTCGTAAGATCGGTCTTTACGGCAAGGAAGGTGGCATCGCAAAGGCTAAGAAGCTCATCCAAAAGCAATTGGTATGTCAAGAACATCTAAAGTATAGCAATAGAATAATACTAACGATTTACAGGACTTCCTTTCTGGTGATGACTGGGTCCCTCCTCCAAATCCGCTTATCAGACCCGGCTTCAAGCTGGGAAATAACCTGGACCTCAAGCTCTACAATCCCCATCGCTCAGCTTCCAAGTACCGAGCGAGCCTCGTCTTTTATTTTTTCTCTCACACTCGCTCAGTCGTTGGACCGCAATTTCGAGGTTGTGTTTCATCTGGTGGAAAATTGTGCAGGGAGCCTTACTTTAGTTCTTTCTTGCGTCTTCTCCCGGTATCTCTGTGGTCCGGCGAACAAATTTCGGGATGTGGATAAGTCTTTGCGGCAATCAGTTCTGGCTGCATTTCGCCGGACGGATTGTTCGGATGGGCTTGGGTTGCTTTCTTTCAGGGTCGGGTTTGGATTTGGTTTTGTATTCCAGAACAAGCATCCTTCGATCAGGTAGCAGCAGTCTAGAGGGGAGGTGGAAATCAAAATATCTTTTTTTTTAAAAAAGAAAAGGTCCCATTCTTCAATCGCGTAGAATTTTTATGGCTTTTTCTCTCTCTTTCTTTCCCACTTGCATGATGGTTTCCAGCAAGTTTGTGATGGAAAGCGTGATATCTATTTTTCACTTCTCCTTCTTTCAACCAGGAGCTTTCCGTGAGATCAAGCATTCAATCACCAAACATATTCCCAAATGTCACCGTCGTGATTGCACCACAAGGTCTGCATCCTCAAGCCAAAACATCTACAAGAACGGCAATGATTCACAATCATATCTGCTTCCGCACAGAACCAATCACTCCTAGTCATGCACTTACAGGTTTCTACGCAATCACACCTGGAACACCTTGCTAATAAAAACATGGAAAGATAGATCTTGCTCCCAAGAAGCACTTAGCAACCGAAGAGCCCTAAACGTTGCAGACAAACACTAACGCTTGATATACTTAACGCTCAGCACTCGACATACTCAAGCCCGTTCAGAGACTAGACGTGCTGCCCAGGTAGACTGCTTTTAAGTGTGCTTGCTTGTTTGGTAGCTCTGGGCTCGAGGTTCAAGCGATCGACGATTTAAAGGCAGGATTCGAACCGAGGATATTCTGTCTTTACCGTCGTTGCAAAGGTCGCTGCAGCGTTGAAATGGAAAGTAGCTAGGTAATACCTTTATGGTGGCGGTGGAAGGCCACGACGCCTTGGATATAAAGAAGGGGGGGGATGGGGCAGCAGGAGTGAAGGGACTAGCATGGTATACCTTTTGGTACAGGGTTTTTGACGTGAAGTTCGACTGGATATTTGATCGCGTTGCTTCGAGTTGGGTACGGCGTTGGTCTTGAGAGGATTGTGAACTGTTTGTTATCTGCTGAACCTTTCGCGTCAAATGAACATGAGGTGTTTTTCGTCGCCTCGCTTAATGTTAGTATGGTCTTGAAATCAACGTCAAGTGGACCTTAATGTATTGCAGCTTGCTATCACATTAAGGATACCTAGAGCCAAAATGTTATGCCGTAAGAGCTTCAAAGACAGGTTTCATACTATCCTTTTTGCCTTGTCCGAAAGCAATAAGATAGATACACGACCCGGAAGTTGATCATTTCACTTGAGCTAGACACGTCTACGTTATGCGTAGTCCATTTTCCAATGCTATTGGGATATTGAATACAATTCGATACCCGATGTCTCAGTCAGGCGGAATACTTGGTGTCTCGACTGAGTGAGTTTTTTTTCAGTACCTCCGATCGATGCCCCGGCCCATATTCTCATCCAGCCCTTCCAAAGAAACCATTAAGCCAACGGCAGCACCCGGTCAGCATAATTCCAATCATCATCTGCAGCAAGCCCATGCATCCTATGCGCGGGATCAACCGCATCCCCGAAGTAAGAAGTATGCCCAATCCTGCGATACCCAACCTTGCGCCAGAACCTCCTAGCCCTCTTCACATTCTCATGGCTCGCAGCCGCCCTAGCCGCCTTGTCAACCTCTGGTCCGTGATAGAACTCACTGATATTGAGCTCAGCCGGCCAAACAATGACAAACCGGATGTCTGCCTTCCAGCCGTGAGCAGCCTCGACGAACCTGGCAGCCACGGCGGTTCCGACGCCTTGTCCGCGCCAATCCCCGTCCACCCAGATCATGTCGATGGTCAGCAGAGCGCCCTGGCTCAGTTCGTCACCCCAGACTCCGCTGCCCATCTGCGCGACCGCGGCTTTGAAGTGTCCCCGCTCGTCGAAGAGCTCGGTCGTCATGCAGGCCGTATCATCTACAAGGTCCGACGTCAGGCCCAGGAAGTTGGCTCGGATGGCATCCCGGTCGATGTAGCGCCCTCTCGCCTGAGCGATGAGCGCGTCTCCGTACAAGCACCGGACGTGAATCTGCTGCGTCCAGAACTCGGTGTCCTCGTCCATGGTGATGTAGGAGATCATGTCGACTTCGGTCTCGGGGAGGTCGGGTGCCTGCAAAATAGCTTGTCGGGTCGCTCTTTCTCCGTGCTTTACTTGGTTGTAGCGTAGGTACTGCTGATCGACACTGTCCTCGACGAGGTGGGAGGACCCCACGGACTCGCTCTCTGATTGTGTATCCTGTCCGTCCTCTGCAGCTCCACGCGGTTTGGGAACCAGGTTGGAGAAGTCTCCGGAGCTCCTAGCACCCTCCATCTTTTCTGTAGTCAAAGCCTCTGAAGCCATAAGTCAACTGCACGAATCGGTAGAGGGGTAAATTCTTTACTAACTCACTTACCTGTGGCCTTCTGTCTTCTTGTTACTTGCCACCTCGAATTCGCCAGTCTTGCGGCTCCAAGACAGCTCTAAGGTTTTGAGCTAGCTGATAACTGCTCAACCAGCAGCTGCTGTAGATAATATCAGCCTTTCGAAGTGATCGCAGTATGCTCGCAGCCAAGGACAGGATATAAATCTGGGCGGACTAGACGAACTCCTGCGTACTTAATATGAAGATGGGAAAGGTCAGATAGAATAGAATCGCAATATCCTCTATCAAGCCTTATCCTGCACGGTATTTCTTTGTCGGATGCTGAAAGCCCTTGGGAGTTTACAAGTAGCTCATTGACGCGTTCCCTGGGTGGAGAGTAGGCTTGCATGAGAAAGCACACCCTACTACGCCATCTCCGTTACGCTGGTCCTGCAATTCTCACCCTGTATTTTGCCAATCGGATTTACGTATCAATACGGGAAAAAAGGCTTCTCAAGGAGCTCTTTGTTTTATTACGAAAATGAGGAGACAGCATCTTTGAGGAATAATAAGATGTCAATAAGAAAATGTAAAGGGCACGCTATTGTAAGAGAGGGCGCCATCTTAATCCAGTGGTTGCCTAAAGACTTGTGAAGAAGTGAATGGGGTCATATCAAAACACCTGCAAAGCTTGCCGTCACGCAACGATGAGGACCGAAAAGAGAACCCATTGCACTCGTGAGCAGAAAAATTTCAAAGACTGCTTCTACCTCCAGAGCAGCACACCCAAGCAGGATCCTAAGCACCAAACTTTAGCCCATTGGTCCAGAACATTATGTACTCATTCGAAGCACAGCAACTTGGGTCTCTCGACCGACTACTGTCGGAAAGCCCAGAATCCAAAACTTCAGCTTTCCAAGATATCAGTGCCACTCTATGTAATCGATTTTCTTGGTCGAGCCTCAGAAGGCCGGCTACATCTTGAAAATACCCCGAGACAACCCTGCGAGATATCTTATTAAGTAATTTTCGTCGAAGTCCGTGTCCACCTCGTAGGAGTCCGGCTCAGGTCTCTCAAATGGATCGAACTTCCTTGGTAATCCCGGTCTCACACGTTCCTCCTGCTCAGGCGATGGGGCTCTATGTTTTATGGGGAGGGCTGCTGGAAACGACGAGGGCTCCGTGGCCCGAGTAGGCTCCGTAGTCTGGGTAGAAGTTAGAAGCCGTGCTGGGCTCAGAGCGACGATGGTGAGGGTCATCCGTTGTAATTTTAGGAGGCCCCCAGAAAGGCGGCGGACCAATACTAGCATCCGGATGGTATTAAGGCTCGTGCTTCAGCGTGTACCCGTTCATGGCAGAAATTCCCAGGCACTCAAGAGATCTCTTCGGGTTGGCGCAGAAGATCCAGTAGTAGTAATCGACATGCAGCAGCGACTTGACGAGCATGGACTGCGGGAGGGGGAATGCAAGGTGGCGCGGGTTATGAGGGTTTCACTCGACGGACTGGTACGGAATCAGCCCCTTCCATCTCACCCCTCCCATCTCATATTTCGGGGGTCGTTGGGTAATCTGCCACAGGTATCCTCTCTGTTGGGCACGGCAAGGTTGGTATCAACCGTGTTGCGAGCAGAAGTTGGGAAGTCGGGGGGTTTTCGATTCGAGGGAAGATGGAAGATGGAAGACGGAAGATGGAAGCGACGTTCTGGTTAAGGACAGTGACCATCGGTTCATCTGGAACGGCGAAAGTCACGCTCTTCCTGGCTTGTGAGGAGACCATTGTGGCAGATGTTGATGTTGCTCGTCGTTGCAACAAAGATAAAAGGTCGGAGGTTGTTATGAGATGAAATCGAACAATCGTTGACAAAAAGACTTCCGATATGTAGCGAATAGTCACTTACGACCACTTCGGCTAGCAGCTCGGCCTTTCCTCATTCGGATCGTAAGCGAGAGGCCGGTCGTCCTCACCACTCTCTATTTGATAGGGTACTTTACATATACATCCTTCCATCAATACCTGTTGAGGATCGAGAGACATAATTTCCGACACCCAGTCAGTAAGTTACCATGTCTTTTTCTAGACTATAGATTCGTATCATCGGAGGCTAATTCATACCTTTCGTTACTTACGGACTACATTTTAGCCGAGTTTCAAAAAGGGATAGCGCCACGACACGGGTCATCCCGCCGCCAAGTGGGGCAAAACGCTCACTCAAGAATAAATTTCGCAGACCTCGAGAAATGCACCACAAGGTCACCAACCACCCGCATCACGACGCAACAATGTTCGCCGTTCCAGGATGGTCCGTCTCTCCAAGCTTGCTTAAGGCAGAGATCTCAGAACCCAAAAAGGGGCGGGATAAGCCAGTGTCAAAACCCGAAAAGATAGAGGAGGCGAAGGCCCCCGAAGCTAATGGCGAGGTTGAATCAAACAGGAGCAAGAAGCGCAAGCGCAGCAATGAGAGTATGAAGGCGAAGGCGGTACATGTGGATGTGGATAATATGGAGGAGCTGTGGGGGACGGTCGTTGAGGGACAGACGAGCGACGGGAAGACGAAGAAGGGGAAGAAGGACAAGAGGCGGAAAACGGAAGGGGATGCCGAGGCGAGAAGGGAGAAGAGTAAGACTACGAATGAAGAGGGAGGTGACAAGAATCCAGAGGCAGCCATGGAAATAGGAATCGAAGGACAGGTGCCAGTGGCTAAAGAGCGAAAGAAAAAGGGCAAAACAATGAAAGAGAAGAAGCGCGAAAAGAAAGCCAGACTCAAGGCCATCGCAGAAGGCACCCTTTCCGCCATGTCCCCCTCATCCGAAACCGAACCAGCGCCGATACCCGCCCCCCAACCTACCAAACCAACTCTCACCCCTCTCCAAGCCAGCATGCGCCAAAAGCTCATCTCAGCCCGCTTCCGCCATCTAAACCAAACGCTCTATACGACCCCCTCCGCGCACTCCCTGTCCCTGTTCGCCGAGAACCCAGAGATGTTCACAGAGTACCACGAGGGTTTCCGCCGGCAGGTCGAAGTCTGGCCCGAGAACCCTGTCGATGGGTATCTCTCCCAGCTCCTCACCCGCGGGACTATCAAAGGACCCATGCGTGGAAACCCCTTGAACAAACAAGCACCTATATTAGAACAGGCGCTCCCAAGAACGGAAAACATATGCACTATTGCTGACCTAGGCTGCGGCGACGCAGCCCTGTCTACTAAACTTCAACCACACCTCAAGAATCTCAAAATCAAGATCCACAGCTTCGACCTCCAAGCCCCCTCTCCCCTCGTCACGAAAGCAGATATCGCCAATCTACCTCTAAAGGATGGAACCATCGACATCGCCATCTTCTGCCTCGCGCTCATGGGGACGAACTGGGTCGACTTCATCGAGGAGGCGTACCGGATCCTCCGCTGGAAAGGCGAGCTCTGGATCGCAGAGATCAAATCGCGCTTCGGCCGCGTGTCTGCAGCCGGAAAGGGAAAACCGGTCGTCTCGCACTCCGTCGGCAACCGCAAACGGCCCTTGGACAAAAAAGCCAAGAAGGCAGCAGATGAAGCGGCCGACGACGCCGTGGCTGCAGTGGAGGTCGACGGCCAGGAAGATAGGGGGGGCGAGACAGACGTCAGTGCCTTTGTGGAAGTGTTGCGGAAGAGGGGCTTTGTGCTGAAGGGGGAAGGGCAGGGAGGTGAGAAGGAGAGCGTTGATCTGAGGAACAAGATGTTTGTGAGGATGTGCTTTGTCAAGGGCGCGACGCCCATCAAGGGCAAGGGCGTGCCGGCTCCGAAGGGGAGTGAGGAGTTTGGGACGAAGGGTGCGCGAGCGGGGGAGACGTGGAAGAAGAAGGCGCCGATGGGCGTTAAAAAGGAGGAGAAGGGGGATGAGGTGCACGTTAGCAGCGAGGCGGGGGTGCTGAAGCCATGTGTCTATAAGTTGAGATAGGGGCTCGGCTAGTTAGCCGGTGTTTTGTTTTGGTCACGCCACGAGTCGTAAATGGTGAACCTGGCATGACTGATGTCTAGCTACGTACGGACATCTTGGTCATCGAGATATTCGTTGCCATGCTAATCTGGTCACAATCACGAGTCGTACGTGGTATTTCTGGCATGGCAAATGGCTACATAGCGAGAGACATCTTGGCCATCGAGATGTTTATTACTATGCTATCTATTGCTGCAGTCTCATCAAGCACGCTTGAGAAACATCGATCCAGATGCCGTCAGTAAGCAAGTGATCACAAGCCATGTGTCCTGCATGCATCTCAAGATCGTAAGAGGAAGGAAGGCAACGCCGGGTGGTTGTCAGTGCGAAACCACGTAGATCCCATAGCCACCACTATTGCTTGGCAAATTGCTATCCAGACCCATATGCCTCTCATTCAGTTCATAATACACAGTCAAGTCCCGAACTCAACCTTGAAATAGAAGTCCCGCAGCGTATTCCACGTCACCGTTGCAAGCAGCCAGAGCGTTCTGTGCTTGGGCCGACGAGAATCCCAGCGCGGTCAGCTGGTCGATCGACTGTTGCGGAAACGTGGGCGCGGCAAGTTGTGGCGTTGGCGCGGACGGTGGGGGAGCAGCTGAAGGACCAGGTTGGGGAGTCGCAGGTCCGGAGACGACGCCTGTCCGTCCTCCAATCGTGGTTCCACCCGGCCCAGCAACCTTCGGTTCATCAGCTCGTTCCTCCTCCATGCTCTTCGGGATATCCGCCTCTCCCAGAAATGAGACTTCGACGCCCTGGATAACCAATTTATCCCTGGACAGGTCTATGCAAGCTTGATGGCGCTTTAACATATCCAGTCCGAGCAGCAAATCAACGTCTTTGCCTTCCATGACTGTGAAACTGCAAGGTAAGAACAAGCTGCCGATGCGGATCTGTGCTGAGTGGACTCGTCCTAGAATTGCTGCTGTACCAACTCCCCGTGCGACACCTGCGAAGCGCTTGTCTACCAGTCTCATAATACCACACATTTCAGCGCATGAAGGGGACATGATGGTAGCTTGGGCGCCGGAATCGACGAAAGCCTTTACTTTGTGACCGTTCACTTCGACATCGATATAGAGCATGTGAACACGACCGAACACTATGAACCTATCAGTATAAACACCCTTAGATCGCGTGGATACTTCTTACCCTCAGGATTATGCTCAATGGCGTTCTGTAGATTCTCCTGCACTCGCTCCTCTCTAATCATCTCTGCAATCTTCATCTGAGCATCGATATCAAACGGATCCGCGTTTAGATCGGCAATATGCTGATTCCGCTGATTTTGCGCCGCTGTATCCTCATCCGCCATGCGCTGCCAGACCTGCGCGAATCGCTGGGGATCATCGATAGCTGCGCCCAGCTCAGGTCTGTGGTTTTCAACTTCTTGCCTCATGACCGGGTTTCCGAGAAGCTGAAGCCGCATCGTCTCTGGATCTAGCTGGCCCGGACGTCCTCCTCTCTGTTGGTGTTGTTGTTGGCGTGCTGGCTGCGGTGGTCGGCGGCCTGCTGGTACACCTGTGCTTCCCACCGTATCTCGGACATGTAGCGCTAGCATCTCGCCGTCTCCGATCGAGAGCTGTTCCATAGTCTTGGAATCATCTGCGAGAAGCTGGCCATTGTGATAGAGGTGTTGGGACGTCTTGGGGATCTGCGACTCGGCTTGGACGGACTCCTTCAACGTACTGACGGTGGTATCGGGAGGGATCTCGAGGGAGAGGAGGTCACCATCATGCGTGGGAGCTGTGATTGTCAAGGTGATGCGCCTAATAGATGCTTTGGTTAGTGAGTGGCTGGCTAGAGCTTCAGATAGCTGATTGGGGTCACACTCACATCTTGTTAACCTTGATGGATGGGATGGGGACCCGTTCAGGTTGAAGAGTCCGGAGTAGAATTTGGTTTGACAGGGGGAATGAAGGTTGAGGGCTTTGGATGGAGTTGAAGCTTGGATGACAGCGGGCGGGGTGGTTCTAGATCGGTGGCAGCCAGCCGAGTTGACCGTGCGAATTTGGACCAGCGCCAGCCTTGCTTTTCACTCAAGTACTGTGTGTAGGGATGGGATGGGAACGAGCGCTGAACTCGCCATTACTGTAACCATCCGCCATTCGGAACAGAATATAGAATCATCTCTCACCCTCCAAAATATGGCGACATCGATCCGGGAACGACGATATGTTGTGGTGGATATAGTGCCCTGGCGAAGGGGGCTTGCTGCATATGGCTTGGGAAGGAAGAACTGGACTTATATTTTTCTTTGGCATAATACTGTATGTACTGTATGTACTGTATCGTACTGACTGTACTTGTAACGGGATTGCAGACGCTTGATGAGAGCTCTTTAACTTTCGGTGTCATAGTGATCCGTAGTATAAGCTAGGTATAGGTATATATATGTACATCATTTCACATACACTCCAATCCTCAGTAGGTGAGATGGCCGAGATAGGTATGTAGTTAAGATAGGTCCTTGAAGCATTTCTTATAATTTTTTACTATTATTTGTTTATATATATATATATATATATTTTCCTAATTTCTTCTAATTTCTTTCCATTCTTTCAATGTTCACAATTTTTTTTAAAAAAAGTTCTTTTCTAATTCTTTCCCAATTTTTTTCTCCAAATTTTTCTATCTTTTTCTATCTTTTTCTAATATTCTCAAGTTTTTTCTAATCTTTTCCAGTTCTTTCCAAGTAAACATTTTCTTCTGAATTTTTCTAATTTAATGATATGATCTTATGATACAAGGTGGTATCGTATGATATGATTTTAATCTAATGATAGAAGTACCTCTATACCTACGAAGTAAATAGTCCGTGCTTCAGTAAAGTATATCAGACTTGGCTCTCTTGCTTAAAAGTCAAGACTCCATCTCGTTCCCAAAAGCAAAACACCCAGCACAGTTACCTATGGCCCAAAGCCAAAATACCTGATTTTCCTATTCATCTCGAATCCTCATCTCATCCTCTTTGATCGCATCACCCCGAATCCTCATCCCCATCCCATCTTATCTCTCTCTATTCCATTCCATCCCATTCTTAAGTCCCGGGCGATCGCCTCGTCCTCGTCTACACTCCCCCAGATCCCAAGAAATCCCGCGTAACACAAAAGACGTCAACCCAACAATGCCGCGTGATTTGGAAGACGAGAAGCCGGTCTCGACCATCGACAGCCCGAAAAGTGTGGCCACCGAGCGGACTGAGAGCCCAGAGCAGGAAGAAGAAGAAAAAGACGAAGAAGAAATGTCATCCCCGTCGACGGACCGCTCGCGCCGGTTCGTGATCATTCCCGAGAGTCGGCGGCAAGGCAGGGCGACCACCACCACTCTTCATCCATACACCAGACCTCTTACCATCTCCGACTTGGAATCGTGTCTTGCGCTCGAGAACGCTGCATTCACAAACCCCGAGGAGCGGGCTTCGAGAGAAAAAGTGAGTTCAGTGAGAGATGGGAAGGGAAGGTTGATTTCTGCGCGAACACGTGATATGTTACTCGATTGGATCACCTCGCTATCTTGCAATTTCCGATACTGACCATCTACCTAGTTCAGGTACAGACTTACCCAGTGCGGCGAGATCTGCTACGGACTCTTCTGCACCGTCATTCCCAATGATGACTTCAAGGCCGAAACTCTCCAGGCCGCAAAACCCGTTGAGACCGGTCGAGGAAACGGGGCCGTCACAGTCCTCCTCGGCCATGTTGTCTCAACCAAGACAACAGATGCCGTAGCTACCGATGCTTCAATGAGTGTACCCGAGGACTGGGAGGACCCATCGCCAAAACCTTCAAGACTTGGCCACAAGGAGGCTGGACGGAATATCGTCCTGCACTCTGTTGCCGTTCTACCTGGCTTCCAGGGGCGGTCTATTGGAAAGACTCTGATGATGTCGTACATACAACATATCAACAGTGCGGGTATCGCTGATAAGTTGTCTTTGATTGCGCATGATGTAAGTCTCATTAGCTCTCGTGGTGCTCATCTACTAATCCCCATATAGCACAAGACAAGATGGTATGAGAATTTGGGCTTCACCATTGTTGGGCAGAGCGAAGCCCAATTTGGAGGTGGTGGTTGGATTGATATGGTGAGCTAGTCCTCCGCCAGCACTGGCAACCCATTCGCTAATGTGACAACAGAGCCTACAGTTGAGGTCACTGGACCGCAGAACTGCATATGGCTAAAGCGCAATTCTCGAACGCTTTCTGATGATACCCAGAATTTTTGCCTGTAAAGTTTTAGGGTGGGCAAATGGGACAATCGCATATTCGCTTCCTACATTTCACTCATGCCTCAAAGAACGACCACAGACACAGTACTAGAACACGGGTATCATATAACAGTCTACCATCTCGCCGAATCCCTCCCCCTATCTAATCACTCGCCTTATACTTCGCCCTATAAGCCTCCATGCCCTTGACCTCCTCTTCCCTGCCACTTCCTCTCAGCCCCCCAATGATGTCCTCCAGCGTCAAGATCGCCAGAACAGGAACACCGTACTCCCTTCTAATCTCTCCAATCGCACTCGGGCCGCCTTTGCCCTCTTCCCCCTCCGTCGTTGGCAACGTCTCCATACGATCCAGCGCGACAAGAATCCCAGCTACAATGCCGCCTTCTTTTTCAATCTTTGCAATCGCTTCTCTTTTCGCAGTCCCAGCCGTAACGACATCATCTACGATTAGCACCTTCTTGCCTTTCAGCGGCGCGCCCACAATATTGCCCCCTTCGCCATGATCCTTGGGCTCTTTCCGATCGAACGAGTAGCAAAGCTTTCCGTATCTCTCCGGCGCCAGCTCCGCTAGCTTGTCGCACGTTGAAGTTGCTAACGGGATGCCTTTGTATGCCGGTCCGAATATGATATCAAATTCGAGAGACGGCGACGCGAGGATCGTCTTCGCGAATGCCGTGGAGATGGCGCGGAGGAGGTCTGCGGTATAAAAGAGACCGCAGTTGAAAAAGTAGGGGGAAGTGCGGCCGGATTTCAAAGTAAAGCTTCCGAATTTCAGAATCTCGCCGTCGATAGCTGTTTTCATAAAATCTTGCTTATATTGGGGCAGGGCGGAGGAAGAGGAGGACATAGTTGGGAATCGGTCGTATGGATCGTTGGGAGAAGAATGCGTGGCAGGTAAAATTGTGAAGTGTGGGATCTCTTGATTGTGAAGGAACTTGGATGTCCTGATCTTATACGAGATCCTAAGACCTTTGGAGTATCGGGATGATGGAATACAGACTTGGTAATAAATCGCATCTGGGTGTCTAGGAATTGAAATATATAGTAACAAGCGTGGCCCGAACGCTTAGTAAATGACTACGTGCCGAGCACGTGACCTCCCCTCACATTGAGGGGTCGATAAGGCGATAAGTGAAAATGTGCCACTAGCGGATGTTCACTAGCGCAGCGCCACAAGAGAATTTAGCGAAAACCCTACAAGATAATTCGAGATCTAGAAATAAAATTCCTCTCCATACCAACCTCACTGGCCTTACTACCACAACGTTGCCCACCATGAAGACGACATGGAAAGACATACAGCCCGTCCCGACATCTCAGGAATTCCTCGATATTGTCTTGAGTAGAACACAGCGACGTCTGCCGACGCAAATCAGAGCTGGATTTCAAATAAGCCGTATTCGCAATTTTTACACCAGGAAGGTAAAGTTCACACAAGAGACCTTTTGCGAGAAGCTATCTCTTATTCTCGATGGATTCCCCCGTCTACAAGAGTAAGTACTTCTCTATTTTCAACCAGGATCTCGAGACATGTTGGAGAAAGATATACTAATCGTGCGCCAGTATTCATCCGTTCCACAAGGATCTCCTCAACACCCTCTACGATGCCGACCATTTCCGAATTGCACTCGGTCAACTCTCCACTGCGAAGCATCTGATCGAAATCGTCTCGCGTGATTATGTGCGCCTCCTTAAGTACGCGCAGTCGCTCTTCCAGTGCAAGCAACTCAAGCGCGCGGCGTTGGGTCGAATGGCCACCATCTGCAAAAGATTGAAGGATCCCCTGCTCTACCTCGACCAGGTCCGCCAGCATCTCGGTCGTCTTCCCTCGATCGATCCCAACACCAGAACTCTCCTCATCTGTGGGTATCCCAACGTCGGAAAGTCTAGCTTCTTGAAGAGCGTTACCAGAGCCGACGTCGATGTTCAGCCATATGCGTTCACGACGAAGAGCTTGTTCGTGGGACATTTCGACTACAAGTACTTGCGATTCCAAGCCATTGATACCCCTGGTATATTGGACCACCCATTAGAGGAGATGAACACTATTGAAATGCAGTCCATCACCGCAATCGCTCATCTCCGATCCGCTATTCTGTATTTCATGGATTTGTCCGAGCAGTGTGGCTACACCGTGCAAGCGCAAATGCAACTATTCCAGAGCATCAAACCTTTGTTCGCAAACAAGCTTGTCTTCATCGTAATTAACAAGATTGATGTCACCCGCCCCGAGGATCTTGACGAGGAGACTCAAGCCGCTCTCCAAGCCCTCCTGAAGCCTGGAGATGTAGAGATGTTGCAGCTCTCATGTACCACCACAGAAGGTGTGCAAGAAGTAAAGAACGCTGCTTGCGAGCGCTTGATAGCCGACCGCGTTGCCCAAAAACTCAAGGCCGGTACAAATAGCAGCGGAGTGGGTGGCCGTCTCCAAGATGTCCTTACCAGAATCCATGTCGCGAAGCCCATGGACGGCGTTGTCCGCGAAGCCTTCATTCCTGAAGCGGTCAAGAATAAGAAGAAGTACGACAAGAGCGACCCCGATCGCATCAGGCTTGCACGGGACATCGAGGAAGAGAACGGTGGCGCGGGTGTGTACAATGTCGACCTCAAGGACAAGTACCTCCTGGAAAAGGACGAGTGGAAGCACGACAAGATCCCCGAAATTTTTGAGGGCAAGAACGTTGCCGACTTCATCGACCCAGACATCGAGGCCAAGCTCGCCGCTCTTGAAGAGGAGGAGGAGAAGCTTGAGGCGGAAGGTTACTACGACTCAGACGAGGAACTGGAGGACGCCGAAGATGCCGAGATCCGGATGAAGGCCGACCAGATCCGCGAGAAAAGAATGGAGATCCGCAACGCGGCCAAGATGAAGAAGTCGCTCAAGAACCGCGCCATCATCCCGCGCACGCTTACCCGCAAGAAGCTCACCGACATGGAGGACCACCTCGACTCGCTCGGTCTCGAAACCGACGCCATCGGCGTTCGTGCGCGCAACCAGAGCCGTGGACGGAGCATGGTACGCAGCCGTACCGGTACCGAGGATGTCATGGACGTGGACTCCCCCGAATACGAGGCGAAGATGCGCGCAAAGAGTAGAGCTAGGAGTCAGAGTAATAGACGCGATGACGGCGTGACGAACGAGGTTGCCAGAACGAAGGCCGAGAGAGCACAGAAGCTGAGTCAGAGACACATGAACAGGATGGCTAGACAGGGTGAAGCCGATAGGCACGTTGCAGCGGCCATGCCCAAGCACTTGGTACGTTATTTTCTCATTCCCTCCTTGCTAGATACTATATTCGTGAAGCCTTTGTCGCTGATAACCCATCCCTTTTCCCCCCTCCCCCTCTTCATTCAAATCCTTCCTAAGCGAAATCCTGTCTCCGTCTCCACGCTAATATTCGCCTCCAGTTCTCTGGCAAGCGCGGTATGGGCAAAACCAACTCTCGCTGAGCCAGCTAGCCTTGGTCCACTCTCCCTTCTGTCGTACGCTACTTTTCCTCGCGACGATTTGCATTACTTCCGGTTTGTTTGGGCAGGCGTTTCCAGGTGAAGGGTGGATTACGAACCTTGCTCTCCCCATGTTTTCCTTCCGATAAAAGGCCTAAAGGTACTTTCCTCTGACATTTGTATGTATGGCGCTGGGGTCTGGTCTGGTCTGGTTTTTTTACATGCTCGCACACACACTCTCTCTCTTTCTCTCTTGTCCACGTACCTATGCAATGTATCTCTGTACATACAAGAAAGACAAAAATAGGGCCGAAAATTGCAAAATGGAAAGAGCATCGACGAGACATAATTTCTTTTCAGATGGGTCATCCAGAGCAATGTGTGAGTGTGAGTGAGTTTTGGGGTCGGAAATACTATCTTTCTCTTGCATGTGGAAAGGGAAAAAAGGTAATCAATCAATCAATCAATCAATCAGTCGACACCCACGTGCGAGTGCGAGCCGGTAACACAATGACAATTGTGGTAGACACATCTTGAAAGGCAGGTAAGGAGGATAACGAGTCTCTCTCTCGACGAACGGGTGGGTAGGTGATAAGAGACTGTGTACGAAGTGATGATATTGATATTGATATTGAATTAGCGAATAGTAAAATGTGTGCTATGTTTTTACCCCGGTCAAAAGTTGGCGGAAAGGTCAAAAGTTGGCGGAAAGGTGAAGAGGGCGTAGATAGATAGGTAAGGTAGATAGATGGATAGCTGATAAGCTAGCTGCTGCCTTCATTTATTTCATTCGCCTTATCAATAGTGTCCAACCCATCCATCCCACCCGTCCATCATGTAT